GATGACATTAAACATGCTTTAGCCAATGCTACGCTGTTGGTTCATCCACATCATCAAGCACCCATTTCTTTAATTACTGATGCATCTGACATTGGAATATCAGGTGTTTTGCAAATGTTTGAAAATAATCAATGGAGACCTCTGGGCATGTTTTCGAGAGCTCTTCGTGGCCCCCAGAAAATTTATTCTACTTTTGGCAAGGAACTTTTGGCTATTTTTGAATCTATCAAATATTTTCGGCATGAATTGACAGGAAGAAAATTTCAATTAATCTCAGACTCGAAAAGCCTGGTACAGGCTATTCAAAGTCCGAAAGAGCGATTAATCCAACGGGAGGCCCGTCAGCTTGAATACATATCAACTTTCGATTTCACAGTAAAACACATTGCCGGTGCATTGAATATCGCAGCGGACACATTGAGCCGAATAGAAATTCACCCCGCAGAGCATGGTGGAATAAATGCCATTGTACCTCAACAGGAAATTATCCCGTTAAACTGACATCTATAACGCACAGCAAAACGACACGAGCTGAAGCAACTTTTAACGAACGCAAGCAAGCATTCTCTACAGTTAGTACAATTTCCAGTCCCAGGATTGGCGGGGAACATTATTTGTGACGTCAGCCTCGCTGGCAAACCTCGAACATATATTCCAACTTCATTACGATATCGCATTATCAACCTAACTCATAATTTGTGTCATCCAGGAATTCAGGAACTCAACAACTTATAAAAGACAGTTATGTCTGGCCGAATATGAGTAAAGACATCCGTGAGTTTGTTCGTGAGTGCATACGATGCCAGAAAGCAAAGTTCAACGACACATACGCACAGAATTGAAAAACATCAAAGTTCCAGATGACGTTTTAGCACTATCAACGTAGATTTACTTGGACCACTCCCCCAATCTCATGGTTATGTTTATTTGCTTATGATAATTGCAGATATACAAGATATCCAATTTGTGTTCCATTGAAGGACAGTTTGACTAATACAATCGTACACGCTTTCACTAATAATTATATAAAGCCATTTTGGTGCTCCTAGTACCGTTATTACAGATAATGGACCGCAATTTACATCAACAACTTGGAAAATTTCATGACATTCCTTGGTTCAAAACATATATTGACAGCGCCATATCGTCCTCAAGAAAATTCTTTAGTTGAGCGTCTCAATCGAACTGTTAAAGCTTCTCTAGAGCTTGTGAACATCCATCTGACTGGTTTCCGAATTTGGGTTTTGTATTACTTGGCATTCGATCAGTTGTTAAAGAAGATTTGGGTTTCAGTCCTGCTGAGTAAGTTTACGGATCAACATTACGCCTTCCAGGACAGTTTGTGGAACCGCAGCCAGACGCGACAAATACTGACCTTCATACATATGTAAATAAACTTAAGAGATTTTTCAGAAATCTCTGTTCAAATCCAACACGCAAACAGCCTTCAAGGAAAACTTATATACCAAAGGACTTGACGAAATTGTAGCCATGTTTTTATCAAAATCAGTCGATCAAGAAAAGGACTGGAAAACTTCTATGAAGGACCCTTCCAGGTCTTAAAACGTGGAAGTAAGCATTTTATCGTCGACCGGAACTCAAAGCCGTATGAATGTTCAATTGACAACTTAAAAGTTGCACACCTACCAACTTCTGACCTATGGCATGCAGATATTGAGGATAGGAATCTTGGCGCCAAATCAAATGAACCACCGGCGAGCGATGTCACTGTTTCGCGCCCACGGACTTTCAATTTCAATATTTCAAATAATAATGATACGATATCCGATACAAGCACGAAACGATCAAATTGCGATGCAGAAATTCATTTTACAGATTCAGCACATCGACTGGGGCCGTCTCCGGAAATGTCAAATCAGCAACAATCAAATCGGCCGCGAAGGCTGAGAAAACTCCCACGCCATTTAAGCAAAGACTTTATTCTATCAGGCGAATTCCAGATGGATATCTGATGACCATATTTTACTACACAATACTTTGCTTTGTATGAGTACGCAAGCCGTTGAGGGACCACTGAAATTATGTCACAAATCGTTACATGGACAGACTTACGACATACGCAAACTAGCTATTTGTAACCGACACAAACTTCATACAATGAAGAATTGTTCAGCAAACATCTACGAGACATCTACCCTTCTTACAAATGTTGATATCAAGATTTGTAAACGTACAACGACCTACTGGCGAACCATTTCATGGCTGTTCTTCGTCAAGCGCAACCAAAAACACGTTCAAATACCTCAGCCAATGCGCACCAATTCTGGTTTTTGCCGGAAAAGTGTGTTTACATTTGTTTGGAATGTTGAAGATACGAAAGCTTGTAGAGCTCGCAACTTTCCGAAATTCAACACTACCGAATTCTTGTTATATTACAATGCATCGGGCAATCTTACCGATTGGAAATACCGATCATTGCAAACCTTCGAAACTTGTTCTCAACTAACGAAATCTTGCATTGAATCAAACGAAGTCTATTGTGCATACAATGGCTTAGTTTTAAACGTAAATGACAACTGCGAAGACATTGTCAGATTACGTCATAAAGGCGTGGCCGCTATTTGGCCTCATTTACGCTTTATTCGTTGTACCCCTGCTTTACATAGGTTATTTCATCTATCGAAGCTTGCCAAACTGCCGAATGTCCGTTCGCCGTACATTAACAAATGGATTGCTGCAACCAATACAACGACTTCTCAGCATACCACGACAAACCGTAGTACAATTCAACGAACAACAAGAAATACACCAGTTATCCGATGTCGAAATTGACGATGAATCGATGGAAAATGCTAACAACTTCTCAGGTGCGAGCACCCAAGCTCAAATTGAGTCGAAAGTTTGACTGTAACAACCTTTTAATTTATCCCCACCCTATTAAGTCAACTCGATTCCGGCGGTCGTTGCGAATTGTATATGGAGTGTATCTCGCAATGTGTCGCCTCGTTATTAATCATCTTGTATTTTATCAATTTAATCGTTTTGTATTTTATTACTTTTCTCTTATTATTATTATCCACTATAAAACATCAAAACACCTTAGTATAAGAATTTAAATATAACAAAAAAAAAAACATACAAATAAAATAATTGTGCAGTGTCAGTTTTCTTTTCTGTGTAATTACTTGTTATTAATCAATGCCTTGTTTTTTTAGATATCACGAGTTCTTTTACTTCATATAGAATTTGATTCAGGTTCAATTTCAGGGATTCAATGGTTCAATAATCATCTGTCAAATTACTCATTATTCAATTTACAGGATTTTTTCTTACTTATTATTTTATTTCAAATAACCTCTAACGCCAATTTTACAATCTTAAACACCAAACCAATTTCGGTTTAATTATCAAGTACTAAATCCGCCATTTGTTTCTTCTCAGGCCCTTCCTTTAAACATCAAAGTGTTTTACATTCTTTTAGGTCCTTTCTTTCAAGTATTGTCGCCATTTTGTTTACTATTTCGTTACAATTCCATTTTAAAATGTTAAGCATTTCTAAGCAACATAGAGAGAGACCCTTTGAATTTTTTTTCTCGTATTTTGTTTTCTCTCGTAAATGGCGTATATTCTCTTGTATACCTTAACCATTACTCATTATATCGTACTGATATCTTTTATTAATTCGTGTTATTTTGTTTTCTTTCACTTCATCTCTCGGCGGCCGGACTCCAAAATTTGAAAAAATTATCAAGTTAATTTTTTTTACTGTCGAGGGGGAATTGTGTAGCGAATGTGCATTGTGTAACTATGAATTATAATGTATTTAACCCTTTCATTTTAATAGTGTGTTCCATTCCCCACAATAGGTCATTTTATTGTAGCAACACTGATTACTGATTACATGTACTGCCTTTCTCGTATCGACCAATTTGATGACGTATCGTTCCGGCTTGCCGAGAGGGCTGCATAATATTGTGTTTAGATCCACTTCTGTTTTTACTGCGTTAAGTGTGATGTGTTTTGGTTCACTCCTGATTTACTGTGTTAAGAGTTAAGTGTGTCTCAATTTTATCTGTTTTCGGAATTTGGATTGTGCATCTTCCTATAATATACAACAACGATTAGCATCAACACTGTGTGCTTATTATCGTCTGAAGGAGTCCAGATTGGAGTCACATTCCATAACGCGTGTCAAAACAATAACGCGGGAATCGAACTTAAACATATAGGGTGATAGTCAATATCTCATCAACAGCATCTCATCTCTTTCTCCCTATAGTACCATCCGCATTAGTACACGAATGTAAAAAAATTGACTGTGAATTGAATAGCTGTTTCGCTGTAATGTATTTTAGTCTTTTTCTTTAATTTGTGAGCAAAACTAAGTATTTTTATAGAAGAACAAAAGGTCACAAGTGTTGAGTCTTCGGAAGAGGGGCAAGCATTATTGAAATTTGAGAACTAACCTATATGATAAACATCTTGTGACTAAAAAATCTATTCCAGACTCATAATGCCAGGAAATTATTATAGTTATCTCAAAAGAGCATTTATATTTATTGGCCACGGAGGACTATGTTATTATTAGCGGTAAATCATGACAATTTAGGTCCACGATGAGCAGGGAAAAATATAGAATAAAGTTGAATTAAACCAAATTTTGCAACCAAGGCGATGCTGTATCAAACTGGTACAGAGCTAATAGTAATAATTCAGAAAAATTACGTTTTCAATCAGCAAATACAGGGGGAAAGCCAGACTTCGAAAGTGTGGAAAATATTGAAAAAATACCAAGATACGAAGCAGCTGACTTTGGATGAAGATCACCCCAAGCCAAATATGACAAAATTTTGCAAGACGGCAATATTCAAGTTGATATCAAAATATCTTTTCCATTCCAATTTTATATTTGTGAGGTCACGTACTCGTATGTCCACATCTGATTGTAAAATATTCAATAAAATATGTATACACAAGTATTACCCATAAATATTGAAAATTAGAGTTTAAAACGGGAAAAAGACTTTTATGTACATTACCGATGAATTTTCTTTGTTTTTCCACGTAGAACTCGTTAAAGAGTTGGAGTTATGGCTAGTATTTGATCCTTGTTCTGAAAAATATCAAGCATATGTAGTTTAAATAAAAAAAATGAGACCTTGTTTGAATAAAAACAGTTCTTGATTAGAAGAAGTTCGGAAGGCAAAACAAACCTTGTTGAGAAGGTGGTCTCCCCTGTTTAGTAATCCAATTATCGCTAGAAGCGCTAGAAAATGGTGTTCCCAGTCTTCCACAAAAGTTGTCTGAAGCCTGTAATAGAAACAGTATAGGATCTTTTGTATAAAGCCCTCGCCAAAAAAAAAAAACTTCGCCATCGCATAAAAGAAAAAATTCAGTATTTATCCAGTTAGGGTTAGGAATACATACTGTGCTGAAAATTTTTAAATCATTTCTAACACGAAGTGCAACGCATGCCGGGTGTGTTTTCTCAAATCTCACATTTTTGCATTAGTGGGGGGAGGGCGCTTTCTACAAAAGATCACAGTAAAATGATCATTTAGAGTAGACATATTTAAGTAAAAAAATTGAGCAAAAATTACAGTTCTGCTATTTATTCTGCTATTGTTATGCAAAATTTTTGGAAGTATGACTTTCCAGTTTGTCATCTTGTCTAGTTCGTTTAGTCTCTGTATAAATCATACATCGTTTTTGCGGGGTTTAGTATAGGCATGTATCTCTTTAGCATTCCTTGCTATATCTCATAGTAGTACTGTAGTAAACTGCTATTCTACTATTATGATTTGATAAAATATTTTAAAATTTAAGTCTGTGGGGTTATGACTTGCAATGGATGATTTACCACCCTTCATAGATTCACCACCCTTCATAGATTCACCACCCATAGATCATCATACCTTTGTCAATCTACTTAATCGGTTTTGCATCACCGACTCCTTTCGTGAAAATAGAATATTGTCGCATTTCATTTCATCTTCGATTCCTCGTTGTTTCTACAAAAGGGAATACAAAATAATAATTTACCTATAAAAATATGGAGTTTGCGGAAATGGTGATGCGTACTGATTCGTTTTTTCCCATTTCATCAAACAAAAGTCAACCTCGCAGAATCGTATTTTATGTCTTTTCAACATACGGGAATGTAGGGTACTTTTCGTTTTCTCTCAAATACAAACAACTAACTTACATCAGATATGGTAGAAAATACGTTTAATATATATAGACTATCACATAATATATGAAAAAAGTAACATATACGCAAATAGCAATAGCTTACAACAAAAAAGACAGATGAACTAGGAGGGCGTGCAGAATTTATATGAGTATTTGACTACCTTACAAACGAAAACAAACTTACCCAAATATAAATTACCGAACGTTTAGTGCAATGCCCCATGTACAAAATATTAGATTCACTTTCAAAACAAAACATGATTAAAAATTTTACACTCTATTTATTTAGGATTAAGAGACGAAAACATGGGTTTATTATAATTTTTCGCATAAAATGTGATAAATTTTCTCAGAGTCGCGTAATCTTATCTAAAATAGCGACTACTGAATGGAAATCTTAACTAATACGGAATATGTAACATATTACCGATTAAACTTACAGACAGTCACAATGAACTTACCACAGCTAGTTCTTTCTTAAATTTTTGGTTCTGAACGTTGACCCTGTTTGCTGTTAAAATGCTCCTCTCTTCTGGATTAATGGAAGACCACCCTTCTGGGCCATATCTTAATTTTACAGAAGCCGACATGCCGGCCAGAGTAAACTACGGGCATTCGAGTGTATTATACTTCTAGTATCACATTGTCAAGGTTACAGCAAATTAATTGCAATTATGATGTCAGAATGTAACGAATTTGGCCTCTGCAGTAGGGATGGGCCGGGATTCGGATCCGGACTCGGATTCGAGTCGAATCCAGGCATTTTTTGGACTCGGATTCGATTTCGAGTCCGCGTCGTTTTTACCGAGTCTATAATCAATTCTGTTTTTACTAATTTACGCCTATTTTTGTACTTTACCCCTATAAATCTTACTATCTACCTTAACTAGTTGAAATTCAAGGTTAGATATTTAACAATATCACTCGTGTGTATTATAAACACTCCTAATAAAAACGACGACAGATATCCAGATAATATAACGCAAGGTAAAAACAATTGATAGCTTATAACAATGATACGCCAGTCGCTTTCAAAATATCTATCCTTTGGAGCAATGGAAAGCATGGAGCGTTTCAGAACGTTTACATGAACTACTAAATTGCAAGCATTGTATTAACGACAAGTGGCATCTCTCTACCATTTGCACACGCGGCATAGTAAATTTAAGGTTAGAAATATCTGGAATTATGGGAAAGCATTGTAGTCAAAAGCTTTTTATTTTTTTATTTGACCTGTAAGAATTTCTAAATAGCCGCCCAGAATTGACGCAAAGTGGTTGGCTGAAAATCCAGTTCACAGCCAAGGGGCACATTGACCCACGTTTACGTTTGTATTATGGCAGCCAAAAAAAAAGAAAAATATATTTTTAAATTGATTCAACAGCTATCTGCAGAACCATTAGGCAAAAAATATGAGCTACGTCGTATGTTTGTTAGCGCGCGATGCTGTAGTATGGTCAAAAACGTGTTTTTCCACTCTTACATTGTGACGTCACGGACTCGGAGGATTCGATTCGAGTCCTTGACCTATTACTCGGATTCGTCGAATCTCTGTAATGCCGGACTCGTCCCATCCCTACTCTGCAGCAGAGCTGCCACGTCAGATGTTTTATAGCTAGATCTGCTAGATGTTTTGTTCAAGATCAGGATGTACAATTTGGAGTCTAGATGTTAGCTATAAAATATGATACTTTTTTTCAACGTTCCAAATAATATCTGGTGGGAAATAAAAATGCGATGTATATAATTGTTAAACGAATAGTACTGTATTTAGAATTAGATGTAAGATTGATGAAACTTGAATCATATGCCTGATTTAGATGTTTTTTAAGGTCAATCTAGTTATTCTAGATGGTTTTATTCAGACAAAAGTGGCAGCCCTGCCCTGCAGTCTGCAGAGTAATTTAGCATTTATGATAGGCAGATCCACCCAAGGAAATTCTTTGCAAATTCAAACTTTGTACAGCATAATCAATACGACCAGTCGACCATACAATTTTATTTCGATCTTCCGTCTATAGCAAAGAACAAAAAAAAATCACACACAATAGCGACGAAAATATCGGGAAAATAAGCCACACAGGTGAAAACATATATCACCACAATCTTACTGAAGAGAATAAAATGAATTATGTGACGGTGCATGTTGCGAAATGCGAATTACAATAATAACAACTACAAAACTAAGGGATAATCGAATTCATAGTGTTTTTCATTGATGTTGGCGACTTCCTTGTTGAGGCTTATCACCTAATCGACTCAGATATCAAAGGAGACTATTCAAGGAAAAATTTAGGTCTAAAGTCAAAACATTCCGAAAACGTGCGATTGGTGGTCAGTCACATGCTCACGACGTCATCTTTCACAATATTTCCGGCTGAGTGATCTGTCAGTTCATAAATCTATCTTGCTGCTTCGGGCTGAATGTTCGTACCGTACTGTCATAGAGTTATGATATCCCTATATTTATAATACGTTTTAAATTAGTAAAGAATGCAATGTCACTATAATTACGGTATGTAGTAAAAAACATATCCACAATGTTAGGTTAACTAGTTCTGTAATTAGCGACGTGGTGCCATTATAATTCAGTAATTGCTGAATTGTGTACCGGTAGTGCGACACATAAAATTTTAGCTACTAAACCTGAAAACTGCAAAAAGATGCCCTAATTTTTAAAGTATGTGAATGCAGAAATGTTAATGAACAGATGAAGTTGAATCCATACATAAGACTGTAAGAGATTGTATAGCAAGACCAAATACTGAAATATGAAGGAAATTAGGTTAGCTCATACGTGTATTGGGAAATTGGGTCTAGTATAGTTTAGTACCACAAGTACTTCCAGTGGGCGTAGCATAACGATTTTTGCATATGTTATTCCTAACCCTCACCTGAATATGCCATCCAAAAATTACGTCACTACGACGTCACCATCACTTCATAGGGATTGCCAAGGTATAATTACAATCGCCCGAAATGACATCTGCGCCGCCGATAAGAACTTGCTAACGCCGGCGATCTCTCTCCTATCGTGATGGACGACCATCCGCATACTTCGGTGGGCCTTATTACGCCACTGTGACGTCGGAATGACGTAATTTTTCGGTGACGTTGTCAGGTGGGGGTTAGGATTGACATATGCAAAAATTGTTGAGCCAGGCCAACTAAAGTGGATGTGGTACTAAACTATACTAGACCCGGGAAATTTTACTCCATGACCACTAAGCAGCAGTAGACTACTGTCTGACTGGACTAAACATTTAGAGGGATAATTACATTGTTTTAATTTAATTTATGCCCTCTCTGTTCTTGACTTGATACAGCAGTAGTGATACTGATGGCAGTATGATCACATTATACCTGTATACCAGTATACTGTTATAACTGGTGATAATAATGCATATCAATTCCCGCAACATTCTGACATTTATGAATTTCATTTTACTATGTTATGACATTTAGTCTACATGTTTTTTTTACTTGTTTATCAGTCTGTTGAATATTCCATGTTGTGAAATACAATTTTTACTGCTGTGTTGTTTTGTGTAAGCTGGTTCCTAGTTTAGGAAATGCTCCTTAGTTTCCTTTGTTAATAGGGCTGTTCACCATAATTTCATGTAAATGATCTAATTACTGAATTAATATAGGCAAGATTTCGACTCTGTAAACCCATGTTAACAGTATCAATGTAAAAGACTTAGGTTATAGTAATTTACATCTTGATACAAATTTTATTTGTACAGTACAGTATTATTCCTCCAATGTTAAATACATTTCCTATAATACTGTAATAGCTGAATTATAGAACATTGTATTTAAGTTCATTATTTGACATCTCAAATAATTCCATGCAACACTCTATGCTAAAGGTTTAGATCAGTGGTTTCCAACCAGCGGACCTTTTGGGGTCCGTGAAGCACTTTCGGAGGGTCCGCAAAAGAAATCTGTTATATGGCTCATAGTTTGATAATACAAAAATTAAGTGCTCAAATTTGCAAATACTCATTTGTTGTCTTTTTGCTGCATCGCAATCACTGCTGGAGACACTGATTTTTCACTTTCGGTTTTGACCACGCTGCCCCATTGTTGTTATGTAAGCTGTAAGCCTGTGATAGCTGTCATTACAAGTTAACTAACTGCAGAGGTGTAGCTGATGCTGTCTTTTGCATGTTTGTTGGTATAGGAGGGAGTTTCAGTAGGCAGTTTAGTTATGTCAGTTCGCTTCTAAATGCTGTTTTACAATAAAACAAGTGCACCCATCCCATTAAACTTCTCCATATACTTTTGTTCGTTTCAACGTTTTCCATTATACGACGTATTGATTTTTGTTTTAATATTTTGTTTTAGTGCACAAGGCCGTGAATCATTGAAAAAATTGCAAGGGCCCGCCATGGAATATTTTAAAAAAAGTTTGGGAACCACTGGTTTAGATCATTTGGGTTCTATTCTAGCTTGAAAATGTATTAATTCCAGTTAAGAATGACTAATAGATTCCATGCTTTGGACATGTACTAATATGATTCATCAAATAGTCTTGTTTGCTTTTCATATCATGTACAAACCATGAATGGGACCTGTTAAAGTTTTGTGTAAAAAACATCTGTCAATCTCACCTTGTAATTTATAATAACAAAAGCCATATTTATCTCAAGACAAGCGAATTGTCATACAATCTTTGAGGAAGTAAATATAAATATCACACAATTAAATTCTAAGTTATTTTTCCTCGATGTTAATGTTGTGTGTATATAGTAGTTACAGGTAGTACAATATAATATACAATCATCTTTACGACTGTAATTATTGTAATGGATATTGTGTTATATGTTTCTCAATATTCTATAGATATATTCTAATTAATATTTATGTATATAAGAAGCTAATATTTAGTTATTATGGTGTTTCGATTAGGAAAGCTTGTTGCTGTTGTAACTGGTGGGAGTACTGGCCTTGGTCTTGCCACTGCTCAACGAATTGTTAAGCAAGGTGGAAAAGTAACCATTATTGACCGCTCGGAATCTAGAGGTATTGAAGCTGTGGAAAAATTGGGAAAAGATAATTGTGCATTCTGCCCTTGTGATGTCACAAACACAGAAGATTTATCAGAAGCAGTTGATTTAACATTAGCAAGATTTGATGCTGTGCATGTACTTGTAAATTGTGTTGGGACGTCAACATCCCGTGCAGTATATAATATTGGTCGCGATTTACCCCATCCATTAGATTTGTTCCAAGAAATATTGGATACTAATATTATGGGCACTTTTAATGCCATTCGCTGCTTTGTACCAGAGATGGCAAAAAATGAACCTGACGAAGACGGCCAGCGAGGTGTGATTATTAATACCTCTAGTACCTTTGCATTCTGTGGTCAAAGAAGCCACATTTCTCATTCAACTAGTAAAGCAGCTGTTGCTGCTATGACTTTGCCTCTTGCGAGAGAATTAGGCAAGCAAGGAATCAGAACTGTCGCCATTGCTCCTGGATATTTCAGTACTCCAAATATTATGACAATTCCTGAGAATATTCAGAAGTTGATTTCACATCAAAATCTATACCCAAGTAGATTAGGTAATCCTGATGAATATGCTATGTTAGCACAGTCTATCATTGAGAACACATTTATCAATGGCACTATTATAAAATTAGATGGTGCCTTGAGATCTCTATATTCGTAATAGCCTAGCTCAGCAGTTCCCAAACTTTTTGTTCGCGCGGCGCCATTTTTATCAGAGAAAAAAACTCACGGTGCACTTACACGAAAAAAAAATGCTGCCTCCAAACAAAACTCAATTTTGTGATCGTTAATGTGTACTTTATGTCTTTCAAAGTTTGTAAACATGTGGGTCTATGCAATATCATTTGAAATGCTGAAAAAATCACTCATGTTCGCTAAACTCGATTCAGCAGTTAAAAGGAATGTAGATCACGAAATTCCAGCAAATAGTGGTTACCTATATTGTTACGTAACGGCAGACAATAAGTAACACAAAGTAAACGACATGGAAATGTGAAATGAATTTATTGATTCATATGCACAGCATTTGGAAGAAGAAACAATTGAACATTTAAAATAAATACAATATAATATTCAATCATATTTCAGTTATGTTCATCACAATTCTGTTAGTTTTCGCGGCGCACCCAGCAACTCGTCACGGCGCACCTTTTGGGAACCGCTGGCCTAGCTGTTGAAGCGCAGCAGTGTTAGCATAGAAAATTTGTGTTCAAATCCCAATATTCCGGTTCTTAAATAGTAAGTCCTCACATATAGTTAGATATCAATGGCTGCTTGTACAAGGCCTTGGTCAAATCAACATGCATGAATAAATGTCATATAAAAAAAATTTTACACACTCGATGCATCCATTCAAAGTGAATATATTATGTGTGGTAATTGATAATTCACATACTATATGATTTTGAAATTTAAAATCCATGAACGTGTCGTGTCGTCTGTTCATTCTGCGATAAAAATTAAAAATTATTTCCATATCTTGAACTCAATCAACCAAATCTATTTCACTTTATACTGTTTGAATGTGGCTTAATTTTCAATTGTGTGTGCTTGAATTCCTTTGATACTGCCAATTAATCTTTTTTATTTCCACTGCTATTTTTCTTTAGATTTAATATATTTCATAAATAGATAATAGCCTGGTTTGACTTCTTCTATTTGTTGTATATGCATATTTTTGTCATTGTTTCAAAATAAGAAATCTGATATTTGCTTTTTGCAAGTGCGCTCCACCCATAGGGTAAAATAAGGAGCCAAAAATGGGCTCGAGGACGACAAATTTTAAAGTTGTCCTGCTTGGTGAAGGATGTGTTGGAAAAACATCTCTAGTCTTACGATACTGTGAAGATAAATTTAATGACAAACATATTACCACCCTACAGGTATACTTTTCTGATCATAATCCTAACATTATGAAGTTGGTTCGGGTATATATAATTTTATTTAGGATTATAGAGTCTCCGAAAGATTTTTCATTCAAGTTTTTTATGACTAATAGAGCTGTAAGGAACGGTATTCCACATAGCAGAAACCTTTGGGAAAATAACTTTTACCATAAATTACTTCTTTAAAACGTGATTTTGATTTCATTAAAAGCATGTATGCTATATATTTATTTAATCCTATTTGCTGTTGTAGCAATCAGCAAATTTGTGCAAAAGAAATATGTAACGTTTTACTAATGTGTTAAAAACCTAATATTAAATTGTTTCTTTTTAGGCATCTTTCTTGAATAAGAAATTAAATGTTGGTGGAAAACGTGTCAATCTATCAATATGGGTAAATATCATGGAGTACTTTATAAGAAAAACTTGATTTGACTGAAAATTAATAACAAAGAAATGCAGATATGCTAAAATCAGTTGCATATTTTTATTGTGGTATTTAATAAGATGAAATTTTATAGGATACCTAATGTGTTCCAATAGCTGTGTATTCAACTGAAACCATAAATGTGTTGAACTAACTAAACTGTGTTACCAAAATATTGTTCCTATATTTTACGTTTGCTATTCAAATTCTTGGGTTAGGGTAGAATTTCCATTTTTTGCTAGCCCGCGGCCTTTCATCTGGTTACGTACTTACCAGTCAAGGTTGCGAAGAGTTAACCAGTTGTTCGTTTCACATGCATGGACTTGATGATGTAAGGCCGATTACTTGAACCACCCAATGACAATGAGGATTCCCCAATATTTTCATACATAATTATAACCCACAAGATATCTGAGCAAGCTGAACTCGTTTAATGTCCACAGCAAGTGTGTTCATTATACTTCGCATAGCAACACAACTGTTGAGCCGGTTATTACGCAACAGTTAAATTTTGCTTTAATACATATACTTCATGCCTGAGTGACTTTTATGATTGTTCTCTCAACAGGATACTGCAGGACAAGAAAGGTTTCATGCACTGGGTCCAATATACTACAGAGACAGTAATGGTGCAATATTAGTTTATGATATTACAGATGAAGACTCTTTTCAGAAGGTATAACAATCCAATGTATTGGTAACGTTTCGTGCAGTGGTTCCCGACCTTTTACGGCTCGTGGCTCCCTTTCGGAGGATTTCATCACTCATGGCTCCCTGTTTATCATTCCAGTGGTCTTAATAGTGCTAATTTGATTGGTAGATTCCAAATCCCATTATATTCAAACAATTCATGCTCAACAACTTGAAAACACCTCATCCAGAAATGAAACTAAGAAGAACGGGGAGTTTTCTTGTCAAGATAAATGTAAAATCTGTTTTGCGCGTAGCATTATGGCCCCCCTTCAACTGCTCTGTGGCCTCCTCAGGGAGCCAAGGGTCCGCGGTTGAGAACCGCTGGCTTGGTTTACTACTATATGTTCACAACAGGCTTGTACCCTTTGAGAAAAAAGTTGAATTTGAATGATTGTGAGCTTACATAAATAATTCTAAAATAATTGGTAGTTTGTGATCATTTCAAAGAATGATCAAGCGTAATTGTTACATATTTGTGATTGTCAACTGTTTGGCATAATTACCTATCGATGATAATAGTTTAAAAGGCCTCGGGATCGATTCCTTCCACTTCACCAAGAGTGCTCTCTTTTAAGTTAATGATTGCTGATATAGAACTTCTTTCAGAGTAAAGTGTGTAAAACATATTAGTTAAAACTTGCCCAAGTATCTCGCGAATATATTTCGATTGACTAGGATCATTGTCAATGTACTTATTAAAGTGACAAATAATCAGAATTTTGTTTGTTTTTGAAATCAAGGTTAAAAACTGGGTGAAAGAACTCAGAAAAATGTTGGGAGAAGACATTAGTTTAGTAATCGCAGGTATGAACTGTTTTGTTTGATTTAAGATTTCTATTTTGTCTAGATAGCCTTGCATAGTTCTTGTTTCGTATACCAAGATAATAGTAGTAGCCTATAGTTTTTGCCACTGTTTCCGCATATTATCTAAAATAATATTTTTTAAAATGGAGTAGGATATTCTATATATTACTCTAAATCGTGTCATGCCAACAGAGAATTTATAAAAGGCAATGAATATGATATCCAATGAGTTTGAATTTCCCTCTCAAGTCTCCCTCTAAAAACATGGAAAATCTTTATGTGTTAGTGGCTAATGAGTCTAGCTCATCATGGAGGTGTGCAAATACCCCATAAAAATGTTTTACTCAGTTATATCGAAGCTGTTTGTCAAGATTATTCCTGTCTGACTTTCAATGTCTGTAATTAGCAGTTTATACCACATTCTATCAACAAAAGCACTTTGGCTTTCTGTATGATGATATTATATTATATAGTCATCCTCAGAAGATAAGGACCAATAAGAATGCCTATTATATGTCAAACCATCAGTATAAATTATATATACTATAAAGAAACATTCAGAATAGTTAACAATTTTACAATAATCCTTCATTTAATAGGAAATAAAATTGATTTGGAAAAAGATCGCCACGTAACAGTATCGGATGCAGAAGCATACGCGGCATCTGTTGGAGCAAAACATATACATACTAGTGCAAAACAGAATAAAGGAATTGAAGAACTATTTCTAACTTTAACTAAACGTAAGTTTCTGGTTCATTTAATGGACGCAAATATTGTGTGTCCTTGTTACAATTTAGGAATAGCTCGAAAGTTTGTGGTAAATTGTATGCTAAACTGCTGCCTCTTTAATGGTTAGCCTACTTGTCAGGTTCGAGATGGGAATACAACGTTCTGAATGCATCTCAACAAAGATGGATTAGCGTGCCTTACTTCTATTGCCAGAATAGTTTCATGAAGTTACATGAGATGGGGAGCCGACGGGCCGAGAAATCTTAGTGGCTCCAGCTCCTAACCATCGAACTATTTTTTATGTTTATAATTTTTCAATACTTCGTAAAAAATATTTAATCCATCCTTTTTCAACTTAATTACTAGTAATAATTTTTAAGTTTAATCTTAAAATTTGATTCACTTGTATCATATCGTTATGCATTTGGACTGATGTTTCATGGTGGAGGGCAGACCAAAGTACAAATTAAGTTTGATTATACTGTTTCTTCAGAACAACTCCCCAGCTCTGGTTACAATTATCTTTTAAATCACAAGTGACATATTACATTGCAGATTTGGTAAAGCCTAAGTCAATTTAATTGCAGGTATGTTGGAGACGCAACAGACAACAAACACCGGTTCACAAATGGCTGGGAGTTCGGCATCAACTCGAAATGCGAGTCGAAGGGGTGTTGTCGTTGTAAGTGATGAAGAGGCAGCAGCTCAACAACCAAAATCAGGAGGATGTTGCGGAGGAAGCGGAGATTCATAAATTTTGAACGACTGTTGATCAATGACTGTCAACATCTATACAGATACCTGCATGGACTTGATAGATATTACTGTGACATCTTGCATGCAAAATATCTACATTGATCTGATCCAAGTATCATGAGACATAACACTCAATCCTCATTACATGCACTTTTCAGCAGTTCTTGTTAATTTCCTGTTATCCACAAATCAATTCTACTAATCAGGGCTGAGAAAGCTCCATACTCTGAGCCAACATCCAGCTGATGGCAATTTTGACTCAGTTTACAGTTCCGAACAATGAAAACACCAAATTTTGTTTGAAACCTTTTCATATGCAAGCATTCTATCATTATCTATCTAGAATTCTCAAATCAACTTTGATTATTGAATATTTTCACTTCGCTCATAACCATTAGAAGTTTGACTAAAATTTTGAGTTTCCATCTCCACAGTTATTTTTCTTTTTGCTCCAAAATCCTGAAGGGACTCTTTTATTTATATGGCATGAATAAATCATGCTGTCTTATTAGATATTTGAAGTTTTGGTATGATTGGGAATCGAAGTTGTGACTAATTAATTTCCTATCTATTTATTATGAAAAGTTGTTAATTTTAAGTGTATATAAACATCAGTGATTTTCTTTAATTCAAAACGTATCTGATTTGAATTCCTGCCTATGTTTTAGGTTGAAAATATCCCAAATGGGAGGTTTTTCTGAAAATTTATTTTTGCGATTGACTTTGAATTATGTAAATGGATGTATAATTGAAAAATCATACATAATATATTCATAAATACACTTCATGAAATGGGCAGCAAAAATGATCAGATTTTACAGAAAGAGTAATTAATTTTGATCAAACGCCCTTTTTCTCGTTAAAATTAATTTTTCAGACATCACATCGAAACACTTAGCTAGGAAATTACCAATTTGCTAAATGAATATATTGTTTTAATTAAGATTGTTGTTAAACAGTAATTACCTAGTTATGAATAACTCCTGTGCTGTTTCATCACAATACCTTGATATATATATTTTTCTCCAGTTACAAACTATTAATATAGATTCTGATTTCTACATAGCTTACAAATAAATATTTAAATGTCCTTTTTAATTGTGAGAGTCTTGCAACAAGCATGAATAGGTAGATTGTTAATGATGAAGTTATGCAATGTGTTTTGCTATGTGAGTATAGATGAAGTGCTGTTTTCCACAAGCAGAAGAAAAGAAAATCCACAACTTGGAAGTATGTCAGCCCCAATCCCTGTTACAAATCTTTTGTCTTTAATACTTTAAAAAACTTGAAACTGTTTGCAAGATTTATGCAATGACTGATCTTTTTATGCTATCTAGCAGTGTTACTGGTATAAGACAATTGGATTCGGAGCTTGATGAAACAAGTAGAGTTTAATTGCTTCCAAATCCACCGAGTCAGTTTGTCCTGCATAGCTCCATACTACCCAAGACTATTAGTTCCATAAATGCTCCGCGATGGGGACTTTGTTCTTATCCAGGTTTCAACGAAGGTTTTTCATTCGAATGGGCATGTTAGTAAAAGCGTTGTTAGGGTTATAATATGCAAGATCGAGGCACTTAATAGATTGGCTAAAACCAGAATATTTTCACTCAATTCATAAGCGTCGCCAATACAAGTATTGCAGCTATTGGAACCCCAATTCCCATTAATATATCATCACATTTCTCCCGGATATGATCAAAAAACACAAACAACAATCACAAATTTAAAATTAGTTATTCGTTTTATTAAATAATATGAAAAAGATATATCCTTCATTTATGACCGATCTTACACATACTTTGTGCCATTCATACAGGTTTTATAGGCACAAAAAAAAAGGTTGCTTTCTTCATAAGTGAATCAAAAGAGGATAGCACTCTCCCCACCTGGATAATTTATCAGCCATTGGAGTACATATATGAACTATGCAGTGTTTATTGGTGTCATTGAAACCATGAATTTCCTTTACTTAATTTAGCTTCAATGTCCATAGGATCTGCTTTAGGTTTTTGTTTAGCAAGTTCTTTTTGTGATCTCTCAAACATAGTAACATCATCTGGATTTTCATCCTTTTGTTCAGCTGTTGGTGTAAGATCCGGGTATTCAAATTGCATGCCTTTCCCCTGAATAAGGTATTGTGATGTTTAGAATCCTTTTCTTAAAAGAGGGATGTCATGTAGTCAATATGACAGAATACTTGCTGCAGTGCTGACTGTGTTTAAAAATCATTGTCGTGGTTTTAGCTACTGGGAGTAATAACTAGATGGTTAGAAATTCTTTCAACTATAGCAAGGGATTGCTTCTGCTAAAGCAGCTGTTTCCTTTCAGGGGCCCAGAAACAAGAAGTCTGGTAGGAATATTTATTATTGCACTCCTTAATATTTTGTAAAGAAATCAGATATGGGAATGATCACAAACTCATCTGAACATTACACGCGAGACATGATCCCTGAATATTAAATACAGTACAAAGACCATAACAGGTGGTATAGAGCTTTACAATTCGATTGTTAAGCTGAGCATTCCAAAACTGGGAGTTTGTGGGCGGGATGGCCCAGCAGTTGAGGGGTTATATTTAACTATGTTGGCATCTCAGGTTTAATTCCCATGCCCGCCACCTAACAAATTAGGAAGGCGATAGGGAACTGAAAAGATTCCCACCATAAATTGTGGCTCCTTGCATACCACTAGCTGTTTGTGTAAGGCTTTGTTTATGGCAAAAAGGCGTCGTAGAAAAAATAGCCAATAATAAACAGTTAATTATGGATTTTCTTACCAAGCGAACATGTGCTATTTTATAAGGATCTGTAAAACACCATTTTCTCGATTCATCTTGATATCTTCCCCATTGAACAGGTCGCAATTCAACACTAGCCACTGGTATTTCGTATATTTTTTCAAGATATTCTTTCAAGTCGTATTTTGTCATGCTGAAAATCAGAAGAGAATGAATAATTGCTAATTAGTTAAATTTCTTAAGACTATTTGCACTGATATGGTCCATTATCTTAGTTGGATAGTACTACATTCTAATCATAAATTAAAAATATATATATTATCGGATAAGATTTGAACACAAAGTTTGAAAACCATTTGAGCTTGAATTTTGTTTTTACCACGCTTAATCACGCTTTCCCTTGTTCCAATCTTTCAAAGTCGTGAGCAAACAGTCCCTGAGGGACCGAATCTTTCTGGTTTAGTATTACCTACACATTTTATAACAGGTGAGGTGGGATTTGAATCCAAGTGTAGCATGTGATGTCAACACAGTTGAATTATGCATAAGACGTAAGGGGCTCTACGATCTATTTGTTTATGTTTGGAATACTGAAATACAAAGCAGCAAATACATCTCAGAATATTAGTCAACCTCTTCACAAGCTCCATAACACCAAAACTTTTTGAGAACCCCTGTATTACATTATCCTATACAAAGTTCAGAAAATACTTTACTTTGAAACATTACAAATACTTAAAATTCAGATTGAACAATCCTGCTAACAATTACAGAATTAGGACAATCAAAACCCTACAATTCCCACCCACTCATCACAAGTCTGTGAGCTTTTGACCATTTTCATACAATTTTTCATCTCAATATATATTTGATTATAATAATTATGACAGTACAAAAATAAAATATTGACTTACTCGTGTGGAACATGAAATCTCACATAATCTGATGGCATTTTCACATAAGGTTTTACCAACTTCACATACCAATCAGGGAAAAATAATCTGCGCTGAGGAGCTCCTTTGTAAAATGGGGAAAACCTGAAAATGTTGTCAATAGTGTGTCAAAAAGTTGGCAAATGCAGAAATATCCTCCATCTACCATGTGTATCTATTTTATAACATGCCCAGGCCAAAAGTTACTGCTAGTTCTTGCAGCCTCCCCTTGTTTCTGTAAAATTCAGGACCTCCAGACCTCGCTTTGAACTAATTTACAGTGTGATTAATAAACTGATAAAAGGAAAATTTAGTCTAGTTTATATATACTTACTGTAAATATGGTAATTTACCGGGAATTCTTATCCGAGACATATTTAAGGCCCCAGACAAGATAAATATGAAGCAAACCTATTCCAGTATTTTGAAGAACCACAAGTCAGCTGAAATTCAGGCTCGACCTTCTCGCGAGCAATGTTGGGGTCAAAAGTCAAATGCTGAAAGCATCCTTTTGGTATAAGATTATTTCGATCCAATGGACTTTTCCCCGATCTTTGACCCCCGATAAATTCTTCTTATACTTTACCATTGCAAAATTTTCGGGGCTATTTAAAGAGTGCTTGGTTAAGAAAGATAGGACATTGGGTCAAGAATAGAACGGTTGGGAAGATAGGCAGTGGCTAGTGGGTCGAGGATGGGAAGGTTGAGGGAGATAGGACTGTGAGTCGAGAATAGATAGGCTGAGGGTGATGGTACAGTGGGTCGAGAATAGGAAGGTGAGAGAGATAGGACGGTTGGTCGGGAATAGAAAGGTTGCGGGAGGAAGGGCATGGGTTGAAAGTAAAAAGGTCTAGGGAAATTGGACAGTGGGTCGAAGATAGAAAAGTTGGGGAGATAGGGCAGGGGCTGAGAATAGGAAGGTTGAGGTAGATAGGCAGTGGATCGAAGATAGGAAGGTTGAGGTAGATAGGCAGTGGTCAAGGATATGAAGTTTGAAGGAGCTAGGCAGTGGGGCGAGTATAGAAATGTTAAGGTAGATATGCAGTGGGTCGAGGATAGGAAGGTTGAGGTAGATAGGCAGTGGGTCGAGGATAGGAAGGTTGAGGTAGATAGGCAGTGGTCGAGGATAGGAAGTTTGAAGGAGCTAGGCATTGGGTCGAGTATAGAAAGGTTGAGGGTGAGACAGCTAATGGGGAGAATAGTGGGTCGGGGTTAGGAAGGTTGAGAGAGATAGGACAGCAGGACGAGAATAGGAAGATTGAGGGTGATAGGGTAGTGGGCCGGGGACCGAAAGGTTGAGAGAAATAGGGCAGTGGGTTGAGGATAGGAATAATAAAGTAGGTAGGGCGGTGGGTCGAGGATAGAAAGGTTAGGGAGGTAGGGCAGTGGGTCGGAGAGAGGAAAGTTGAGGAAGATAGACAGTGGGTCGAGGATAGGATGGTTGAGGGTCATATGGCAGTGGATCGAAGACAGATAGGGCAGTGGGTTGAGGATAGAGTTGGAATTTCTGTTGTCGCTCAGACACTTCTGTCAATCAGACAGATATTCAAGTAAGGTTGTAAACAATGTCTCGTTTTCGTAGTTACGCCCTGGGGATCTTTAGTTGCAGTTGTCATAAATAAGGTTCACACATTATGCGGTAAATATAGCCTAGTATTTGTAAACGGATAATTCTAATACAAATTTTGGTTTCAAACATGTAAACTATTTTATAAGAGCTAACACTCCAAAACACTCTCATTTTTTTTGCAGGCGTAATTTTCTGGGGCCAAAGTTCGGGTGAACGTCCATACCTTATCATTATAATATTTACCATGCTTATTCTGTTCCGGCGTGTGCTGACAGGTTGAACGCTTCAAAAACACCATTTTATTTAAAATTAATCAAACAACTGTTATTAAAAAGTAATGACAACTGATTTAAGCGTCGTCTATTCTAGCAATTTATTTTTCTCATATATACTTATATTTTGGAAATATAATCAAAACCTAAAACAACATAAAGGAGGCAAGGTTTACAATCGCGCTTGAAAATCTGTCTGAGTAAAAAAAGTGCCTGGTCTGCTGGATAAATTTTAATTGTTACGTGACGACGAACTTTATGAAAATATGCCATTTTAAGGGGAAAACACCACTCCGGGAAAGCGTATGCGGACGTGCTGTAAATATAATACATTTTCACGATTCAGTTACGTTCTGGTTGTTACAATTTTTCTAGCTCATCACTGGCTGTATGCAAGATGAGCAAGTAATTTCATTAGTCGCTATCAGTTGTAAATTCATTGTTGGAAATCGTGCTTGTTATTCCTAGGGTATTCTATCACATGAATAAGTAGTCCTATATATTAATTTTATTACATAACAAACTCTAATGCTAGGTGTATTTAAAATCAAGCTTGTAGCCTATTTCTAAAATATTCCTGAGCTCGAGCGTGCCCTGAACCCCAGCCGTACCGTCGCACCCTTTTTTACGCTCCTCTTTTCTGGCCCGCCAATATCCATCTGCTTCAAATTTTGGCCTGCGGTCAATGGATTTTTCCCCGAGCAACGACTTCGTGACATTGGCCAATCAGCAAGATGCAAAAGTGACGTAACAATGCCCCTTTTCGCATCCACTCAGACACTTTTCTTATTCAGACAGATTTTCAGTCGTGGTCGTAAACATTACCTCGTTTTCGCGTTGTTGAATTCTATTCGTTAGTTTTCAGTTGTGTTTCGGAAATTTAAATATAAATCAAATAATTCAATGATCGCTTTGTTTTCTTAGGAGTTTCAGTTTAATCGCAGTAATCAAAAATTAGTGAAACCACTCTTAAAATAACCTCCGAAAATTTTGCAATAATAAAGTATAAGAAGAATTTTCCGGGGGTCAAAGGTCCATCAACTTTGGGAACCCCTGATTTAAATTAACACAACACGCACACAATCAAAGAGGAATAATGGAGTGAGAAAGAGATGATCACAATAATTTTGTCAAACATGATGTACCGAGGACATCTTTCAAAAACTATTAATGCTTTTGCAAGTAGCCTTCCAAAAACTGGTTGGTCGCCCTCTATAGGGAAGCGGGGGACCTGTTTGAGCAACGCTGCCATGGAAGTTGTACATAACTGAATAAACACTTTGTTTCCGATTGTTGCAATCTATTTTAATAGTTTTGTAACTTGATGTTCAAACCGACCAGTGGTTGCGTCAGTCCCGTGGTAATCGGTAATCTTTTTGCGCATGCGCTCTCAACCCTTTTTTTGTAGTTTAAAATTTTGGAAAAAAACTCACCCCCTCGACCGTTTCAGATCGTCTATTACAGTGTGCTGTAATATATGCATTTAAAAGGGCACTAGGCTTCGACGGTGGGTGGTACCAAAAGAACCAACAATTGCGCTAATTGTTTTAGATATTTCTTTCGGGTATGATTCAAAAAGAGTCCATGTAGCGAAACAATTTGTTTATTGCAGCTCAGCTTCATCATCGCAGCTGAACCAATATTCTGAATCCAATCATAAAAACCTTAAGTTCTATAAAAATTCCCTTTGTGTTTGTAGTTTCACCGTGAAAGCATTGATAAATTTAGCCATGTATCAGTACTCCAATCCATTCCTGGTTGGAACGACCTCGTAAAAAAATCGGTTTGTATGTGTATATACCATACAATCAAATGTGCAGTTTCGGTGCCCACACTATTAGGTTTTCAATTTATATTATTAAGCCCCTCGCGACGGTCAAGCAGGTTGGCCGCAGCTAGTCATATCTATTGGGCAATGAATGTTGTTGGATTTTTCCGGAACTATGATGGACCAAATTCATATTTCCGTTAACTAGATAGATTTACACGGCATTTGACCTCAATTCTCTTGTATCACTTGTGGACAATAAGATTAATTGCGCATTAGTCGCAGCCGTGGTCTACTAAGCTTGAACACTTTTTGGAAGTCCCAGTCAATATATAAAACACACATCTTCAATGCCTCGAATATGGTTTTAATGGCACTTGTTGGTTTGAAACATGTACAATAGTTCTACGTTAAAGTGATATGGTCAGGAAATCGGGAACCGATTTTAAACTGGTTTAGTGGCACAAGCAACGGCTCATGATTTCCTTGTATAGGTAGTTAGACGGATCACAAACAAAAATGGGATAGAGAAAAAGAAAATTACAGTGCTGTATTTTAGGTTTGCATAATGTGCATCGTTCAGTACTACAAATGCTGCAAGGATGCAAAATACAGGACAACAAAACTCAACGAGTCCCGATTACAAGATATCGGTTGACCGTTGACACTCTCTTTAATGTTATGAATACAAAATAAAGCCTACACAAGACCAACTGACTAGAGCATATTGGGCAAAATGGCACACCTTAATTCTCCATTCTAGTAGATTTTAAAATGTATTAATCCTTTCACAAACCAAGTGGAGGTTTAGCACTCAATCAATTTGATAAAATTTTAGGCAAGCTGATATCGTGGCCAAAAAATCAGGAAATACGTTATTTGCAACAACGAATACAAATCGTATGACGTACTTGCGACTTTTCCATTAGATGGCATTAGAGAGAGCTCTAAATTTTTTTTTAATGCCTATATAGTATATGCCATACCTAGCCACTTATGTAAGCATGCACAATATAAAAAGGATGAATATCGCACGGACGTGTAGAGAAAACGTCACAGGATCTACAATATTTCAAAAAGTAAGATATATTACATATTTACAAACCCCTACACAAATTTGATGGCGACGCAAAATCTGAAGAAAATGTGAACAAAATCAAGTCTATATATAATCCCTGTTAGAAAGACCGGAACGTTACTTAATGCTTAAAATTAAAACTACAATCTCAAAGATTTTTAATGAAGAGTGTTCTTGCGCAAACGTAAAACGTATCACAGAGTGTCCCAAATCTTAAGTAACACACCCGGCCTTTCTAGACAGTGCGAAAATGATAACAGCATTCAATAAATAAGATAAACAAAAAATTCTATATTGACGTCACCTATGACTCAAACTAAAGAGTTTTGCTATGGGTCATTAATAAGCTCACTAGCTTCCATCCAGGTGATATATATAATTTTCTAACAAGTGGGCGAGTTGAATAAACCATCATAGTCTTGTAATTAAACATGGCTTCTCACAGTTGGCGTCGCAGAATAGTATCAAGAAGGCCTTTTATTCGCGTAGCCTCTGCTACATTTGACCCTTTCAAAAATGTCACTGGCAACAAATTCCTTGTTAGTTTACCTAACACTTCCGTCGTTGAAATGTCTACTTGTTGTCTTCAGATGCACTGTTAATCACTGGTTAGTCAAACCAAGTCGATCGTTAGCCTGAAGTTGAGCTGTAATGTGAGCATACGCTGCTGCATTTGGTGTGGCTGCCAGAGGAGGCTGAAGTGAGGATACCGCTGCATATGCTGATGGGGCAGCACCGTAACCTCCTGTTAATCCAGCTGTTTGAAATGTTGCGGTGTAACCGGTAGGATGGGTGGCGGCGGCGGCAAGAGGATGAGGTGCTTGGACTTGGACGCCGGCTGCTGTTTGGTAATGTGCTATCAAACAAAATATATTTTTGAGTATTCTATTTAATTCAACATGTATTGCTGCACACTAACACAACGTTACGCTACGTCTACTCCTAGACGACGAAATGTTACAGAAATACATCTGTGTTAAGTGTTAGTGTATAGCAAGTGTGTAGCAGACTCTTGACTTAAATAGTTTATTTTTATTTCTGTTTTTATATCCTTGCGTCAGACGCATACGGTTCCAATTGCGCAAGGGCATATACCATAGGGTAGGGAAATGTACCGTAGTTAATCTTGCATAACCGCAACACATAGTTAACAGTATTCGTATATTATACTTTGAAACCAAGAGTCCATTTCTAAAAAATACAACTTCGAGAACGCGATTGTGTTCCTATTGCCAAATTACAAATACAGTCATGAAAAGTGAAAACTGTATACTTACACAAACTCTACTAACTACCAACTGGGTTAAATATATCAACTTACCCATTCCAGCTCCGACAGAGGCTGCCACGTCTTGAGCAAACGGCGAAGATGATGCAAGCTGCGCTGCGTACTGTTGACCGTAATCAATAATCTGAGTAGGTTGAGAAAAGGACGCATGTGCTGCTGGTACTAATACCCCACCTGGTGTGACATAAGCGGTTGCTGCAGTGGGACCATACGGATACAGCGCTGATACTCTGTAACATAAATAAGAACAATGTTACTTATCAGGAACGAAGTGTAGGATTCTGCTGTCTATAAAATTTCGCATATGACTAGACCAAACGGGTGCCCGAAAGAAGAGCTCATTTGAGGGGAAGGCTGCCGAGAGGTAACAACGACAGATAAAATCATTGATGGGTTAACGCTTTGTGAACGGTAGTAAAACCGGTCAAAACTTTGGTACATGCCCACTGCAAATTATTCATCATGAGGGCGTAATAGTAGAATGTCTATGCTCATGATTTGAAACTTCAGATGGTCGTGTGCAATGACAATCGAATAAAAAAAGACATTGAAATAAACCTCACGAAGAGTGTTCTAATAATATACACCAGAGTTTGTTCAATAAAACCACCAATCAACGAGCATATCTCGAGTTTGAGAAAAACAAAAAAGCACCCGCTCTACGACCAACACCACCAGGTTTTCAACAAAATAATCATGAAGCATTGTTAAATATTATGACCATTGATTCGGTCAGCTATAGATTTTATTCAATAACCAAAGCAGCACAAAATTCAAATTAAAATCAACCTTCAACAGTACAAAATATACTATGAGGAGTCTTTTTTTATATTCGGGGGCACACAAACCACCGAATGAGATGCGAACAATTTTGCTGGAGTCGTATTTTCGAATTCTCGGCGGAGTATGGAAATTCTCAATTTTCTTGGATTCGGGGTCAAAACCGCAGAAAATAATTTGTTTCAACCCAGAGTAGAGAATCGGAGTTCGACTCCGCAGCGCCGGAAATAATGTGGACTGTTTTATCAGTAATTTAACTCATAAAGTCTATTCTTTCTAATATATAATCTCTAAGCATAGGGTACAATAGCATTTTCTATTGAAGATAATCCAAGACCGCATTCATTTTGGAATATTGCAATTTAAATTCGGATAAAATATTTTTGTATATTTATACCGTTACAAGAAAGTTTATCAGTAAAAAATCAAATTCCGAACGTGGGGTGAAAAATGTTAACGATAAAATTCGCACAACAGACTATCCTTCCCTCGTGGTTCCTTAAACAAATACATCCCTTAGGATCAATAATAATCAAAATCAAATCATTAAAGGCCTGAGTCGATTTTTTTTACCACTAAGAAGATCAAGAAAATTGAAAAAAGTTCGCTAACATTTCAATTTCATTAAAGATTATAGCTTGGCCCGCTGCGACGTTTGTTGTTATCGACATGTAATTATGAATAGACTGTTACAGACATATTCACGCAACGGTGGGAAATGGCGCCTTGTATGGCAATATTTGTAAACTTTGGAATAAGTCAAATAATTGACGCTATCAGTACTTTTAAATGACGGGAGGTTGAATATTTTGAATAAAACCATGGGTATAAACAGTTTGCAATCCCCAAATTGAGCATAAAAATATTGACAATGGTAAAATATTGGAATAATTCTTCTGGGGTCAAAGATCATCGAAACATTCATTGTTGTTAGGAATAGATCCTGGCCACTAATTAACATGTTTTCAAATACCTAGAATGCTTGTAATTTCTTTTTTGGACTCAATGATAGATTGATGACATCAGCTGTGTGCGCGCACGCTTTCATGCCCATGGGATTCAGAAGATCGTGACAGAACAAAAGCGTTGCAGTGGTTATCAGCTGCCAATGCAGCTATTTTGTTACTGACAGCTGTATGATTTAGAAATTAAGAGACACCTAAATGCTTACTATTCGGAAAACAATATTCGTCACATCTTATTTGAGAGACGATCGAAAATACCTCGTTATGAATAGACTTGTCCTCGTGTGAAAACACGACATTGTCGACCATAAACATGGAAACGAATCTGGGCAAAATGCAACTCCGGCCGTTTCTATTTCAGCGACGTTATATTTCAGAATATATATTTGTTGTATTGTATGCGAATATACTCAAACCTTATACCAAAAGTCCTAAAGGTCGACATACATAATTACTTCTAGTGACAAAGCACAAAAGCGCAGATGATCCATCGCCAAATATATCATTCGCATAGATCCCATCGAACTAGTAAAGTATAATTTGTATATTAAAAAAGAAAATGGAACTTGTTCGAAGACTAAAAAAGCGACAATTGATTTCAATTTAAGCTGTGGCGTAGCTTATTACACAACCTACCTTTAGTTCATAAAACTTAGTAAATTAAGAATAAATGCATCTACCTAATCTCAAATTTTCCGCGATTGGTATCGAATTAAACATAGATTAGTCATATATAGAGTTTCTTCAACATACGAATATGCTTTTCAATTTTTTTTTTTGACTTTTCAAGATTTTTCTGTACTCGATTAGATGCGTATCGAGTGCTCTGATTATAACGTGATGATGGAATATTAGCAAGTTCATTATAATTCCACGGCAAAAACGTGACATCACAAAACATGAAAAAAATGAATGTTGTTGTTTTATCACCCACATTCAACGACACAACAACGTCCAAGCACACGCATGATATTTAGCAAACAAACAAAAAACGAACCTAAGATAACACGAGGGGGCAGAAGAGAGGCAATCAAGTTAGCCTAGTAAGGATTTTCTAAGATGATTTTCACCATTGAAATCGAACAACAGGTTATTACAAACGCCAACCACAGTTTGAGAAGTATTCGATGGATACACATGCTCAAATCCCTTGAATCGCGAAGTTAAATGATAAATCTACCAATCTCCAAACTTCAGTGTCGAAAAAAGTGAAGAAAATTTCCCACAATCATTCAAAACAATGTTTTACACGTCATTCAACCAAAATAGAACATAATCAAATTTTATCATCATTTAGCGTCAAATGTCCAAGTACGGAAATAATTCTTAAACAGGTTTAAATCAAATATATTTCCAAATTATGATATATATTAAACTTAAACAAGCCAGTGCAAAGAAAAATTTGGCATCAGTGGCTGTGATAATTTGCTGTTATAAAAGCCTCTAACATCGAAATTGAATCAATGAATAGCAAAATTTGGAATCAAGTAACTCTTTCTTTCATTACCAGTTATTAGGGAATTAATGTGTTGTAATATTTGAAATCAGTAATTACAACATGATTGTGATTGTTCTCTATTTGTTCTATACAACTTTCAGGACAGAAATCATATTTCCGAATTGTTACAAATTTGTACGACATGGGTACGTTTTTTCATTATGAACACAGCCATTTGAATAAAGAAAAATGCTTACTATTCCACAATTATTTTGGCCAACACGTAGCTGTTTTGTAAATTCAACAAAATAGGGTATTTTTGTTTTGTGTATAAACATCAGTATTTCTATCCACATTTCGTATCGCTGATCTCAAAACATTGAGATTTCGATGATAAATTCAACTTAAGGGAAAATAAAAATGATGTAATAATAAGAACAAGAAAAAATCCCACAAATAAAAAACGCGTAAAACACACCGCACGCGACGTCTATTATCAATATCTCACGTACATGTTTCATCCCCTTTGCTGGCACAATTACCACGGCCTGCAACGGATTTTACAATTCGTAAATTATCTGTTATGGAAGGAAATAAAATATATAGAAATTGGAAGTGAACGCTGGTATGTAAATTAATTTGGCAGCAGGCTCTTCTGTCATAAATACACAACATTGCGAAAATGAAAATGACTTCAAAACTTGATAGATTTTTTGTGATTATTCCAGATATGAATTTCCAAGTAAAACGTCGGAAAAGTGAATTTTTCCTTTATCGTCTTGAATTTACCATTCAAATGGTCATATTATTGTTAAAACTAAGTCTTCAGATTTCAGAAATAGCCGCAAGATACTGTCGCATTATTTAAATAAATGTTCCTAGAATAATCGTTTTGCAGTGCTGATTGGAAAAGCAAAATCAAGCAAACACATTCGTTCTTACCCAAAAGGCGATTGTCCTAGAGTCTGAGGAACAGGTTGAATATACTGCGCGTAGGTTGTACCTTGTCGTGCAATAACATCTGAAAATACAGAAAAATTGACAATGTTACCCTTTACATTGTGAAAAGTACGCTAAAATAAATTCCTATTTCTTAGAGTACTGACCAACTACTACGCTAGTTTGTACCAATCAATATAACGTATTTCATACAGTCATGAAACATCAATAAACGAGTAAATAAAATAAGAGCTGGAAAAAACATGGGTAATGTTGGCTCCAGAAACAGACTCTTGTCTACTCTCAGGTTTGGCGTACACCTGAATTCGACGACGCCGTGGGATGAATATAGGACTAATCTTGGACTGCCAGCGAAGTCAGACTCATTGAGTTTGGGCGTACAACTAAATTCAGCATCTTTTTCTGTGATCGCAGTAAATGTTTCGATAATACTAATACGTGGGGACGGGAACAAATTTGATTGGAAGGATGTATCTCATCTGCTTCTAGTTCAGTATTCTCACAAACAGATGTGAAATTTGTTCCATGAGAAATTGCAAATGACATGAAAATTGACGAATAATACAAGTTATATGAGGAATACAAGAAATATGATGAAAATATACAACAAAAAAGTCGCGAGTTACCGACGGATATCGCTCGTTATATGGACGTAATCGATATGTGTCTCCACCACAGGAGATTTGACCCGCGTATCGACATTACAACACTCTTAATTGAACGGAGCTGAGTGACATTATATTCCAAGCGACGGTTTTAATTAATTTCGAGAACATGTGTGGGTTGTCTTGTCAAAAGATGTTAACATTTATATGGAACGGAGTCGATAACGTCAGTTCTTTGTACAAAGCACTTCAATGAAATAAATAGAAAGTCTAGTTAGAACGTAGGCTCAGTACATTTTGAAATTGTACAAAGTTGAGTTATCTACTGAGCCATGTATTTGATATGGAGTAGCTTCGTTTATACTAAATTCCCATGGCAATTTCATACCCTATGTTGTCCGTGTTCGTTACATTGAACATAAAATTACAGTCATTTTTTACTATTTTCTGATAGTGTAAAACTTACGATAGCAAAAACATAACAGAACAAAAACCGGGTTTAAATTTCATTAAGACCGTAGAAATGTAGTATGGGAACGTTGTATAGGACAAAACACTGACAAAAGAGGGAAAGCGTAACTGAAAACTGACACAGACAATAGAAGAACCAGCATAATAGAATTCTGGTGGCGGCAATATAATTGAATCGACAAGAGGAAATGAAATACCGCTTCTATATTCTGCTATTAAATACCGGTGACTAGCGGTCACGCAGACAAAACAGCGCTTTGTGTGGACGACGAAAGGGTTGTCTTGGTTCGATGAAAAGGTCTTTCGAGATCCCAGAGATTCATTCCTTGATTATGAGCATCAGCGCGAGTCTAGTATACTGGTACAAGCAAAACAAAACTTTTCATTTCCGCTCAATTCATTTAATTTGAAGTTTAGTCGAATTATTCAAAAGCCGCATATTGAAAGATTTCATTATGGATACAACAATTCGTTGAACCCGATGTGATTTGGATATATATCCATATATTAGATTGACAACGATTACAAAATTTAATCTTCCATCGTCGGTACAACACAGAATAGCGTAAAGGTAAAAAAAAGATTTGACAAGACGGTGACATTATTCTGAAATTAGGGTTATTCGCTAGACGCAACAATCAACGCCTGCCTCGTCCCAATACAACCACGTATTATGACGCAACTCCGTGTGTTCTAATAAAAACATTAGAACGTTCATTGTCTACAAAATATAAACAGTCACGTACCGGTCCCGAGCAGAAAAAATTGAAAACCCACGAAAACTTTTTGGTCATCAAAAGTTTTGTACTCGTTTTACCTCCATATTGATTAACCGAGACGGTTATGTTTCGAAAATGGTGTCAGCAGGGGTATATTCGTGGGAGCGGGATCGAACTCTGTCAGCTTATAACCTTATAAAGCGATGACAAAAGAAACTGATGAATTCAAGTCAATATACGCGTTTAATAGCAAGTGAATATCATCTCATGAGAATCTGTGTCAGTATCTATTGTTCAGCGGAATTTCCAACGAAGGTAAAAAGCGGTATAAACCAGTTCAGGAAAACATGCGAACATTTCTTACCAGCTTGTTTCTTTCAACGAATAACTAAAAACGGATTATGTTACCTAGTCAAACGCTGAAAACGGATACTCTTGGGTCGCGCGAGACAATGTATGTAATTAGGAAAACGGTTGGAGCCGCATAATTAAGGGACATTTAAAAGATTAGGATGCCGCTGATGAAGGACAAATGGTGCCTTGCAGTCGATCGTTATATCGTTTAATCAAACGATTCCACACTTACGACAATACCGGCAAATCAATTTTTAAAATGATTCATTGTAAAGTAATAACAACCTGATCAAAAGTATTTAATATTCAAGACGGTTTAAAATGACATAAATTTGGCTGGTCACTCACTCAACCACGCATGGGACAATCTATCATTTAAGGACCGAATTTTCTTGAAAAAAAAAACGGCGTTACAGAAGTGTATGTACCATTATGGAGGTAACTAATTTCGTTCGCCTACTATACTTAATTTTGTGTGTAAAGGGTCTGAAACCCGTGGGCAGGGGGTATACTCACTTGGTTAATACTTGGTCCTCGAACTCGTAATAGAACTAAAGCAAGAAAAATCGGAATGAAATTATGGCCTAACTCTAGCCTGGTACACACACTACGGCAGTACCAAAAAAGCTATCATATAAAATATTTTCAAGTGTACACATGAATAATATCAGTACGTTTACAGCGTTATGAATCTTATGATAATGGGAAAATTATTAGTGCAATAAAAAGTAAGCGAGAGAAAAGTGATTACCCTACTAAATTTACTAAAAGCCAACTATTTTACACACAATACTGCGGTAAAATTTATCGATGGCCACGAAGAAAATTGTGTTTCCTTGCTTCAGTAATTCATTGTTCTTATTCTAGGTGGAAATTTTTTTTTGCGACACTTAGCCCGTGTTATGTATACTACAACATACAAAAATTTTAATGGGAAGTAAGAGTCATCAGCATATCATCTCACGACTTTCAACATATGCTATAAGGTTATGTATAGCGTAATGTAGAAGCAACTAAATGATTCCTAATTTTCTCTGAAACGGCCGGATAAACATTCACCGAAGTCTTTTAATTATGTTTCAGATACATCACCACGCGATAATGGAGCCTACCTAAAATGATTTTGAAGGGTAATTTCAAAATGTGAAATGTTCTTTTCTGCTACATTTTAGCGCAAGCGTAGAATCCCACATGCCACAAATTCAGTAAACAAACAAGTACGCCCTCCTAATACATGGACCAAGGTATAGAGAAGCCAAATATGCGCTGAAGTGGTGTATGACTGAAGTCGCCACGTCGTGTAACGACGTAACCAGTATGTAACTAACCAGCTAGTAATATATTAACGGGCTAATCGAAGGAATTCATACTAGTCGTACAGTTTATATGTACCGTCCAAGAGCCTAAAACACATTAAATCCGCAATACACTGTTGTAATCAACCGCCTATTTGGTAAAATTAACCATTTGAATGAATAAAGCTATACTACATGATCAATATCATTTTATTTACTTCATAAAATTCATTTTATTTGACCTTGTTCAATTTTTTGACGTTTAAAATAAAAATATTTGGAACAAGGGTCAAATGATCAAAAAATAAAAAATCCACTTTTGAATTAATTTAAAGCTGTTTAATTCTAGAACACGCCTCCAAACTTTGAAAACGAATTGAAAATGAATATTTGTTCAATATTGGATATCGAGGCCCTTGCGGATTTCGAGTCCATAGGCTTCAAATAACCTTAACTATAGGTGAGTCTGTTCAAGACGCTCTAAAAGCATTTTCTGGAGGAACAACTTTTTGAATATTTATATATGTTGCGGTCAATATCAGTAAGAATATACAAGAGATTGCATCAGAAAAGCAGATGTATAAATGATTGGATCTTGTTTAAATTTCATATGCAAGAGCATGGGCTATAATTCGCGCGAAAACGTTGAAACCGAGATAAAACAAAACATTGGTGTCTATACTGTTATCAGAGTGAAAATCAAATGTCGTTTGTCACCACCATTTGGGTGTCACTAAAGTATAGACCAAAAATTCCGGATGCAAAACGTATCAAACCTAACCCAGAATCGGTAAAATTGATTCTATCAAACCACGTTGATTACACAAATATTTCATCGCAATCGCCAGGGGATTCCCACAGCTCGAAGTTAACTTTTCGGTGGCTAAAATAATTTAATAATTCATACTGAATTGAGTCGAAACCCGGGAATGAAATACAATAACCACGAATTACCATACTACCAAATTTTCTCCAAAACTTTTTCATATGTGAATAGTGAATACGAGAAGGCACGAAACTTGCCCCCTCCTTAGGTGGGCCGGCTTACCAAGATGACATTAGGCTCATCTGTAAAGTTGGCTACTGATATCAAGATACATTCCAGTAAGGAACCTCATAAAAAATTGAAGACTGAATTGGCGCCCGAAGTTGTGCGGTTAATTGAATACAGGTATAATGGAAGGGATATGATACATGTGATATTATATTTTTTGTGGATTACGACGATACCTGGTGGCTTACAAGAGATCAAATATAAAGGGTTAATTGGGGATGCCGTGTGCTGAGTTCTAACAATACATGCCATATAGGCGGAAATGTTTCACATGCAAAAGCGACATTTTTGCTCTATCCAAGAGAATCAAAAATGTGCAAATAAAGGTGAAAACCCAAAACGAAATTGTTGATATGGCAAACGAGAGGTAGCTTGATTGGCAGTGGAACCGCACCAAAATGCCCTGAGCCCTGGTTGTTACATCACAATATGTCATTGTTGACGTTTTATTGTCCCTTATCAAACTAACACAGCAGTATTACAACAGTGATATAAGAGAGCATTACTGTTTCAGTTCGATTCCAGCTCTTATTCGAACAAATTATCATTTGAATATAAACTTGAATTTAATCAGTTAAGAATCTTTCAACTTCGATTATTTTCATCGTAGTGCCAGTCAAATAACAAACATTTTTTATTCTAAAACAATTCCTTGCCGTGATCGGATATCAAGCATGACGAAATCTAACGGCCGTGACCGGTAGACATTATCATTCGAAGCAATGAGGTTGATAAAAGGGGAAACGTTTTTAAAAGGGCATGACTGGTGGGCCATACCCGAAATGTAAAAAGCAAGAACCTTTAGTACTAATAATTATTCGCTTGCTCGTATGCAATGTATTATAACCTCGCACACATACGAAGTAAACTACACCTCGCGAAAGGAGTAGAACGAATATTGTTTGCAACTGTGAATAACAAAATACCAACATTTAGATTTTCTACCAAGTTATTTACAATAAATTTTTCGTTTAGGGGTAAGTCAGTTTTTTTTTGTACACACAGCGAGTAGTTTTTACTAACAATATCAAAACCATGTCAGTGAATAATGACGTATACAATTCGTTTATTCAACCATACTATTCCGATAATCAATTGATTTACTTCGGATGGATCCCATGCTAACCAAACCGCCAATGCTGCCATGTTTTCGTTGCTTCACAGGGTATATCCTTACAAATCGCGACAAATGTACCTGGAAGTTACGTTACATTCAAAACCTTAGGACACGAATCGATCAGTACGATTTGATCAACATTATATAAATTCGTTAATTGGCTAGGTTTGTTTATATGAATGTTTTATAAAAAGTTATTACGATGTGGCTGATTCTGGGACGGCGAAGAGCAAGTATACGTACTACGTAGTATTGATAGTATTAAGTTTTACGATATACACACCAAATTTCTGTTTGCATACCATAACATCTTCACGAGTGTCGTCGAGTGCTCCTGATTTGATACGAACGTTTAAAACAAGAGCTTATGTAAACTTTATTCCGTGTACTAGATTTCAAATATAGTTGACGTGGGCTGAAACGTAGACTAAGAGGAACCCGAATCGCCTGTTTTTCATATACATATATCAAAACTTATTTGGAAGGAATAGGGACAAATACATAACAGTGCTAGCTTTTCGTCGTGACTTAACAATACATGAAAACCTAAAATTTGGAGCCCCCTGGGTTTAATACCTCCACATTATAAATTGAAAATGTATGAAAATGTCCGAATCTATAAAAACTGGTCGATATTTGTCTCCATGTGGTGCCAACTCAATTTCATTTGATTATCATTATATGGTAAATACGAAATTATCCCTTTTGGACATCGGTCTAGTTGTCAACGTCTCGTTCGTATAGGCACGGTCCCAATTTGTATGTATTCAAATGGTTCCGCTTGGTTTCCCAATTAACAACTAACTCATCATAATCGATCTTGATTTCTTATCACTCAGATGCAAAGTTGTTAACTTTTTGTATACTGTCAACAACGACAAGGTAATTTACGGTTCAGTGATATTTCGACACGAAGCCAGCTTGGTATGCCAGCGTTTTTCGCGTTTTTTCCATTAGTCAAGTGCCGGCGTAAGGTTAGCGTGTGCCCACTGTCAAGTAACTCTAGTGAATTAACACTACAAGTGCGGCGAGAATATTCTTTTAATAATTAATCAAGTAGACTCGCCAAACTCACAAACGCCAAGATAACCGTTCGGTCTACGTGCAATGCGAGGATTAAAGAGGCCAAGTTACGTTTTCAATAAACATGCTTTTATTGGATATTTTAAGCAGTTTCGTTTGCCGTTTACGGGGTTCTGCAATTTGACGGGGTTTCCAAGCCATCTGTAATTGATGCTTGAAGCTGAAACACTCTTATCCGAAGGAGTAGAAACAATAGATACACAGACCTAGAATAGATTCATGATGACACGATATATGCTATGCACGATATAAACAATTCCGCTTCTTTATAAACCAATTCATCTACAAAACCAATTTAACGCATCGGAATCGAATGTTTCCCATCAGTTTTGTGATAATAGGGTTTTTCTGTTAAGGTAACATGTGGTCATTTTCTCGCCCAAGCTCAAACAAGTTGCTGTTTTTAGTCAAAATATTATTTTGAAAGCGAAATTACGTTCGGAAACCTTATTTATAACGGTATACTTTCGACAGCTTGGCAATTTTATGTTTTATTTTATAAAAATTTTGATATGGTGGTAACACATAGTCTGAAATATGACTTGAATAACCACTTATGATCCGAGCCATTTCATAAAACATCAATACTTGACAAGAGGATCAGAGTCATAATATGTTGCTGCATCATATCATGCGAAATACAAACGCAATGTCCCTATTAATGATATCATTGGGCCATGTTTTGCGAATATCACATTTCAATGAATGTAGCAGATGCACTTGGTCGACTTTTCTGCTATCCACAGCGTGCGCAGCCCCATGGGAAGGCAGGTATAATGGCACAAGAGCATCGTCACCACAATCCGATGGGAAAGAAAATTGATGCAGTGAATGAATTTAATATTATATTCACAGGTTAAGAATTAGCTGTCGCATGATTTGACATAGTATCCTACTGGGGCAGATACAAGTCTACCAGGGAGTGTCATATTAAAAGGCTAATTGCCTCAACTAAGATAAAATCTCATACGATATATCCGAAAATATGTTCTGATTTTACGGTCCCCACTTAATACAGGACTACTATTATGTTTTTCATCACTTGTTTGAAAATTATTTACATAAAAAATTATAACACCCACGCAGTAACTTCTGTAAGTATAGCAATAGGGAAAATGTCTTACTGGTTGGTGTGACATGTTGTCCTCTCGGTTTGGCACCAATATAGGCGAGGTTAACGTTGGCTTTTCTTCCATCTATCACAGGATTGGGATCTTTGCAGGCGAGTTCAGCTCCTCCTTTTTCGGCCATAGTCACCTGATATAATGAAATGAAACGTCACGGAATGAAAAATAGAAAGCATATTCCAAGTTGTTCTTTCGAACTGAACAATGTTCAATTCATAGAGGCCAGAAATTGATCGATTAGTTCAACATGTGAATACAAAGATGTTGGTTATTCACGACCATCCGAATTTTTTACACGATGCCACACACTATGCCACAACAGATATGATTAGGCGGAATATCGAAAGTTAATTAATCCGGGTGTATGTTCATGGATTGACAATTTGTAGGCAACGGCAACCTTGTTGAATTTTATTTTGAACGGGATTTTGGAATTTGAGTTTGTTCGGGTTCAGTCATCAAAAAAAGAGCCGAGGTATAATTCTAATTCAACATATCCATTCAAAATGATGCAATTGGTTTGTGGCGATGAGAAACCCTATAATGCAGTGCATCTGTCAATGCTGCTAAATTGATTTACTGAAAGCTATGATCTCATCGTAAATGGGCAATCCTAAAAATAATCGCGTAATCTATGTAATTCGTTCAAACTATTCGATCAATGACAATCACAATGGATATTCTGGAATGCCATCAATTTCAACAATATATGCGTCGGAACTAAACTGTGATAAAGTCGGAATGGATTAAACATCTATGTTTAAATTCAATCTTTGGTTATACAAACTGCAGGACGTTTTCAACAAGTTACTTTATAGTATACGCTGTATACCAATCCCAACCCTACACAGCGCATAATTACATAGTTAATCGAAAAGTTTGAAAAAATAATTTCAAGTACTCACAAATCCATATCCTTTGGAACAAGAAGATACTCGATCCGTGATAACAACCGCTTCATCAATTTCACCGAATTGTTCGAAATACTTCCTTAGAGACGCGTCGTCAGTATGATATGGCAAACCTCCAACAAATATTTTAGTAAAAGTTGTGTCTTTTTGCGTGTGATAAGTCATATTTACAGGTTTTCCTGCACTATTTATAACTTGGTGTCCCACTGGTTGTGCAGTATTCGCAAAAAAGTTCGTTGTTGCCGCGCTCGTCATTATTGGTGCGGCTATTTGCCCCGGAGATTGACCGGCAACTGATAAAACTGAAGCTTGAGCGTTTGCTTGCAATTGTTGGAGAACTGCGGCGCTAGGTGGTTGGGGCACTCCTGTAAGGTTTTGAGTCGCTACCGACGGGATTATACCGTTGGCGGTTGGTAATGCAGTGTTTGAACCTAAAATGTACTGGGTCCTTAGCCCCGGTGTCTGGGATCCAGGCAACACCAGGAAGCCTCTTGATCCCGCAGAATAAGCGAGCGTTGTGGGGTCAATCGCTTGTCTGTGAGCTACACCCGGTACGTGGTTGACAGCACTTGTTGCTTCGGCAATAATCCGAGCCTTCTTTGCGCTTTCTTCTTCCGTGTTGTCTAAATTTGTTGAAACACTTGTAGATGGAATTGATGCTCCGTTGGTTTCTTGCTTGACGAGGAAAGGGCTAGCCCTGCGCTTTCTGTTTAAACTCTCCACAGTGGCTGCGTTGCGCGTTTCTGACTCCTCTGAGGTGAACAGGAGATTTGATGAAGCTAGAACACTATCAACCGAAAAAGGCCTAATTTGAGGTTTCGCCGAGTTGAAGGCTGAAGATGTTGGGTGTAGGGTTGCCAAGTTTCCGTTTGTGCAAGCTGGTCGCAACGGAAGGGCAGCAGAGGTCGAATAAAAAATTTGGGTAGTAATTTTGATCTTTGTAGGTCCAACAGGGAAAAAATATGTTCGATGTTTGTGTTTCCCGGGAACTGCTTTGAATAGTAGCTCAGTGTACGTCGCGTAGTTTTAATGAAGATAATTAAATTTCACAACAAAGGGCGCCGCAAGTTAGCAACCATGTGTGATTGATTTTTCAGGGCAACACATGTGTTCCAGATTTCATGAAGGTCTATCAAATTACACTAGTACCTGCAAATTAGTGTTAATTCAAATAGTTACGCGTGTGGAATAATTAAAGTTGTCGCGGAAGAAAAGATATGTTAAATATTTGAGGATAATGAAAAATCGAAATGACTGAAAAACGGCCATGCAAGTAACAGGAACAAACAAAATCCTTGCTTGAAACAAAGTAAATCTTACTCGAAAACTGCGACAGACTGAAGTTTGAAATTTTTCCTGGCCTGCTCATAAATATAATTCACTAAAAATAATTAAAGAGGCAATAATGTAGGTTTGCTACCTAGAATAAATGATCCTTGAACCAAACGTATCCGTAGAAAGGAATACATAAAGTCTTAGGTCATAAAATAGGCACCATTTAGAAATACCATAGAACACAGCGGGACTACCTGCCTGCATAATCTACCTCTGGTATATATTTGTATGTATCCATTGATTCAAACCACACCAGTCATTCGATACTATCGAAAACGAACAAGAAAAATAGTCTTAAATATCTGCCGTTAGGTATGGTGGTTTGAATTAAGTCACTGGGTGACGGTATATGGCTCGACTAAGAAAACGTCTTAACCTTTACATGGCTACCGGGTTTACAGTCGGGAGATGATAGTTTATACATCGATAAGGTATGTTCTGAGCGCGACGGGAAAAAAAGTCAAACAATACATTTCGAGATCTCGAAAAGCATTAATATTTCATTACGGTAATTGCCGACCCTTGTAGTCGAATGGTTAACAACACACACGTGAAGTCAAACTCTGGGAAAGTTTTTCAATGAAACTAGTCGGCCAGTACGATAGACAAAATATATTGTGTTATACAATGCGATTGCGCGCACTTCCTGGATACATAGGTGTGAAGTATTACATTATTTGGAGTTACGTCATATTCTAGCGTACCATATAAAATTTGTAGAACAAATAAATAAATTATCCACCCATATAAGTAAAATGTCTCATATCATCGATAAGAATGAAATGCAATGTATTGTACACAGCGCCACCAAAACATTTCTTCCAATTCTAGTCTGGTTCTATTGTAATTTATATAATTACTTATCCCAATTGATGGCACTGATTTGATTATTGAGTGGTTCAGCAGACAGTAATGTTTTTACGAAAATCGCTAGCTATTTTGTTCATTCATTGCTCTAATGGAAAAACTATATAATTTATTATTACCGCTGATTAACGTCTACCTGCAGCATTACGTAATGTTACCTTTAAGCTTTCGCCAGCAAACTATGAATTTCTATCTCCAGCGTAACCGTAGTCGCTTCATGCTCAAATGACTGACGATAAGAACACACAACACGTGTGCGCTATCAGCTGTTAGCATGTCGATGTCTATAAAGTTTGGAAGTTTACTTAGCGCTCAGTAATAAATTACTGGCCATAAAATTTATAACCAAATCCTTAAAAGCTTTCTTGGACAAGACATTTTGACATATTCGCGAAAAGAACAACGACCTAATATAAAATTGAGGACAAACTCAGTCAATAGTTTTCTGAAAAAATGCCGTCGTCAATGAAGTAGAATTATACTGTTCTAAGTGTAACATACGAGGTCTATCACGGGGCCGACACAACAGTTAGTGTGATCGCGATAAAAAGCGTTTCAAATCGAAACTGCAATCTCGTGAATCTAGGCAAATATGTTTTGAAACAAACATCTGACCAAGGCTGGACAATATTCGAACAAATCTTGCGATAAAATTACCACCATATGTTAATAATGCACGCAATTAACCGACACGGTACTACTGTTTTGACACTAGCACTTTGACGACCTGCTAGGCCAAACTTCACGCAAAGATAATTCGCACCGATTATCAAAGTATTACCCGTAGTCCTACCAAGGTCGATTGTGTTTCGTTGTCAGTTTCTGAAAATGCTTTCGATGAGGTGATTATCATTTTCCAGCAAGGAAGGAAGTTTAGAATTACGTTCACTACACTAGAATTGCTGCTAAGTTTGCATTTGTCAGACAATGGGCTAGATATGTTTCCATATTAAAGGAAGCGCATCTGGACGCACTGTCAACGTATGGTCGGGTTAATATTAGCATCCGATTTCCCATGTCTGCTGATTACAAGAACACCAGTTATCAATGCAAACATAGATTATATCAGTTCTATATTATGCTATGCGAGAGAAAAGACCATCTGCACAGCTAGTTTAAATGACGGCCGAATTCTTGATAGGGGTTTCAGGTAAATGAGACACACTTTACTGAAATATAGCGCTTCCACCTCATTTTGTGTCTAAAATATAAAATAGTTGGTATAAAACTGTATTCTAACTTGGCTACTGCGTCACATTGGCAATCATGCCTAGATAACTGGAACAAGGAAGTCCCAAAACCATTATTTCTACACAAACGTGTATACTAATCTGCATAGCAGATATAATACTCACCAGTCCTTTCATGACCAGAACCATTGACATACAACAATAGTACAGAGCGTGCGCCAGAGACTAAACAAAATACGACTGACTGGTGGCGATAACATGTGGCTGTTATATCTTCATAATACAGATGGGTGCTAAAGCACTCGGAGAAATCTTTCTCAACCCAATATTGTTACGTTGAGCTCGCATCAGCGTGGCTCGTACTTGTGAGTATATCGCAGCGACCGTTGTTACAAACGACTGAAACCAGCTGAGAGGTCATGCTGGGATCGGAATGCTTTATTAGAATTGTATTCCATAGACTTATTTAAACTCAAGACCAATCAATAATACAGCTCGTCTAGGACAACATTCCAATAAGACGAACACTCTCAAAGTTTGAACTGAACAAGTTTCGCTTAAATTCGCAAGGAATCGGTACAGTTGACACACGCACAATCCACTGTCCCGGTATATATTAGGCTTGTCGGTCTAATCCTTTTTTAACTCACTTCACTTTGATTTTGTACCCGCCTGTTCTAAATCCTGAGGTACCTGCCAAAGTGTCTTGAATTCTTGAAGCGTCACCTTTCCAAACATCCAATATTGCGTAATTAATTATAACAACACGCACGCCAAATACCGTCTGAATAAACTATAGCAAACAAAATAGCTCTGAAAGTATCCTCATCTGGTGCCACGCACGACAGTTACAAAACGCGATGTACGAGATTGAACTACGGCGGGACGCACCTCCGCACCTCTGAACAAACAACCTACAAGGGATCATTGGTTCGGAGTCTTACCAACTGACTAATTATCGCACGACGCCGATTGCTCAGTACTCTGCTACTCCATCCCAACCCCTCATTATTTTTTCTCTCTTAATTATACCAACGGACTCGGACGACGTTGTGGATACATTGGATTAATAATAAACTAATACAAGCATTTCGTCCCGTACGATGATCAGTACCTTATCCCGAAGAAATACGCTGTCTGAACTGATAGCTTTACCCGATATGATAACGTTTACTGTGACGGGAACGGTCCATCACGCATTACGATTGGGGTGTTTCTTTTCTATCTTACAATTATGCCCGTGAAGGTTCTAGAATTGCTATACTCGTGATCATATATATCCCCATAACACTTAACCACAATTTTGCCTCTATTCACTTTGGATTCAGCAAACATGTGAAGTAACTTTACTCTCAAGCATTTCTCGAACTAAGATTGCTTCAAGTTTAAGTTTGTTTAATCTGATCGGATAGCACCAATCTGTGACGATATACCATGCCTGAACGATTTCACAACAATTAACGAGGCCAACCAAATAGATTTATATAACGACAATTTGAAGTGCTGCAAGAATATTTGGTTACGCTGAATAACGCTTGTAGTAATTGTCAACGCTGCCAATTCCTTAACGCTACCCGTTCGCGCGCAGCACAGCAGAAGTTAGGATTCGAATTCGTAAAACTGCGTCTCAAAATTGACCAGTCCGTGAATAGCCTTTGCTTGTTGGTTTTTGGCCTGCCTGTTTATAGTCGCGTTCCGCCCATGAAAACTCAAAATACCTGGTATGATTCTCATTTTTTCAGCAAAGTATTGTACAAGAAATATCTGAATCGTCAGCGCAATACTCACTCTGTAAACATTTCTAATATTGACATCGCGATAGGACATCTACTTGGAGACGACAGTAAAATACGTTGCCTGGCGCGAACCAACTAACAACACACGTGAAGTTTCATTAACTCAAAACATAAAATACGTCGCCTGAAAGAATTCCTGTTTCAATGTTTTATCCCCGGAATTGCGAGACTTTTGTAAGTTACTTATCATCATCTAGCGGTGAATTTCGTTTTAGTGATTTCTAAGCCACTGACTTTGAATAAATCATTTTCTAATGCTCCAATGGCGTCTATACATGCAAACTAGATGACAAAGTTCATACTTCTACTCAATTCGGTGTGTTAAAAGACAATTGTTTAATGCCTTAAGAATTTAGAATTCCACTGCCGGTAGATTATTTATTTTAACTTTTCTGCTGTCGCTCGATGTCCACGAGTATCAACACCAACTTGGTAATGAAATATCTGTGGAGCAGTTTATACGATTTTTAAATTAAAAAGAAAGTAATTAGAAAAGTATGCCTTATAAACGGACGAATGGTGCAACCTTGGAATGTTTGCCAGCTGTTCCAGTTGGCTATCTCGTATTCATTTGTTTCTCACCGTCTTCGAAGCGCTGTCAACGTGCTATTTTTATATCCAAATCCACATTTGGTGATAATGTCAGCGCAAAATATCCGATTTTAATTATTCAACTGCCTGAATAGTTTATAAATGTTAAGTTCCGAGTTAAACTTACAATATTATTTCCAACTGGCATACCTTCGATAAACAGTAGTTGATATCACACAATTTGACATATTGAAATCGGTAACATTTTGAATGGATCTAACCAATAATGTTTTATGATGAGATCACATTTATGCAGTATAAACTCCCATGGTGAACATAGAAGTATACATGTTATAGTACACAAAATTATAATAGACTTCGGAACGTTGCTGGCGGTAGCTGTTGAGGTACTGGCCTCATGATTTCGGGGTAAACCTGAAGCGCAGGGTGCAGGCAATGGATACTTCCAAATATCAATAAATTATCATGAATCTTAGTCATTTTATGTGCCAGCAATATGCATATTCCTCTCTCGAAATCAACAACAACAATAAAAATAATAACAACAGTACTTTAGCAAAACGATACATAGGTCCACTTCGTGTATAAGTTGGCAGCAATGAACATTTATTTGGAATGAAGACCGCACTTTAATAGTAAAATAGTAACAGCCTTTTAAAAAAGGTATCCATCGTCAAGTAAACCGACGAAACTAAAAATTTGAAAGCTGGTACGGTAGTTCCGCTTTGTGCCCAAGGCAGAAAGGAATATAAGGAATATACAATAAGCCTGATTATAATAATACCTAACTATATATTAGAAGACGATAACAACTATTTTCTTCACGGGTCGGAACGAGGTGATGTGTGTACTTCGAGGTAATATATGTGATGTGATATATTGCATCTTTCTTATAAACCGGATGCCGATTTAAATACGATCGTAGGCCACTCAATATTTTCTATCTGAATATGTAGTTTAGTATAAACTGTTCCGAAATGGAATAACAATTAGTCATTGTCAACTGTACTCTTGAGTTTTATTTATATCATAGTCTATTACCTCAAATATTTAATCATATTTCCGTTGCTCATGACGATTTTCACCTTCGAAGAAATCACTGATACGATCAACTTGCTGTATCAACGAATTCACATTTGACATTTATCAGGGCTTAGTGTCACTCACCGAAGCCATGATCAGTAGCACCATTATTTTAAAAGTTGAGATTTTGAGTTATTCATATATTGTATATATATTAAAATTTCAATATAGTATTGAAAAAAATATATAAATCAGCTTTTCATAAAATCCTTACATCGCCATTTGAAGCTATTTTCGATTAGCAACCTAAACTTATAGCTGACGAGAAAATATTCTCTCAGGGAAATCAAAAAATATATATTCAGTTATGACTACGAGTGACGTCTTTCCTCAGAAAATATTATTGTTTTTTAAATTACACAATAAATGGGAGAAGATATTTAATAGGGGATATTCCATTATAGAGCCCTGGAATAGGCACAATTATAAAGAGATATAGCTTGATGTTTTGTACCGTTTATACGTAATTTGAAGGGAAAATACCTATACAAAAGCGAGAAAGAATAATGCTTAAGTTCACGGAAAGTCCCGTTGTAGAAAACAAAATATCTGATAAATTTATTGCCCCGAAGAATAGAAAGTTATACTCTTACAAAATTAGATGATATCAGTGCAGGACGTAATAAAACGCGTAATTGATTAGAACTTTACATATATATTAAATATCTACTCTTCGTGCGATATCCATTTAGTTTTTATTGTATTGCTGTTACCGCCGTATAATAACATTTTAATGGCGAATATATTAATTCATAAAAATGCTTGTGTTAAGCAAGTGAGTTCATGTAATCATTGTGACACGAATTATTAAATCAATCTATAAGTTTACGATTTGTTCCAAATAAATGACATTGTGATCTGTTGACAAGTCCCGATTCAGAGTTCAATTAAGGATATTTTCAATTGCATAAAAGTGTTGTGTATTATAATGTCATAAGTTGGTTATGGTTCATACAATTCGATGATATGCAATTAAGAATATATTGCTGAAGTAATGACCATAATGCCTCTTGTTCTTGGCTATTCCTGGATGAAACATAAGATAATTTAGTGGGCTGCATGGATGCGTCGACATGCTGCTGCACTTAAAACTTTCGAACGTAAGTTGAAACGCGACCAGATCTTAACCACCTATATTCTGTGTCTGCGTAATGTTCCAATCATACACGTGAGACATTTATCGAAAAAATTATCAGAAATTCGATCACGTATTGTTGAAGTGTACTATTTCATATATATATATATATCGTTATTACAAAAGCTGTTTCGTAATTTTGCAAACGTTTGCGTTGATCAATCACCAAAATGTCATTACAGGCAACGAGTCAAGCCAAGAATACCTAAAGTTGACATTAAAAAAAACTGTACTAATCGTCCACATGAATGTGGCTAAATGTTTGGCAGCTGTAACAAACCACATTATTGCTTCATTACTTTCGTATGGTAAGTATATATTGTTTGGCAGATGGAAACAACTGCAATAAAAACAGAACAGAGGTCAGGCGTAGCATTTCCAAACGTAAATTGAAATGTTTTATACCAGAAGCAATTCTAGTAGTTTATCAAGGTATATATTTCTCGAAAATCTAATTAATCTCCGGTTATTATGGTGATCGTGAACATTGTAATCTATTAATAGAGCCTGTACAAACAACTTCTTCGAAGTCTTAACACTTGAACTCGCGTCTTTAAAATGACGCATCGAATGTGACTCATTACAGAAATCAGTGTTGTTGATAAATATTTTTTATATAATAATCCGGGTACAAAAGGGGTAGTGTTTCTGCAATCACTGTCCTCAAAATATCTCCGACTTTATCTAAGCCAAACATAATATAGTTGTCAAAGTGCTGGAGGCTATTGTTTTTATTTTGTGGATCATGACAACATATAGATAAATCAGATATTTATAAAACGTAATTTAATCGAAAAATTGCCCAGTCTCACGTTAGGTTGAGCTTCAACTTGAAGAAAATCGAAAGGATTTTAGAGACACGATGGATATTCACTCGACATACATTGTTTTGGTGGTCAGCATGATTTCTTTGATGAGTAAGTAGTTCAAGTTTTATTTGATATAATATAGATAAATATTACTCTTCCTTTCTGAGGCTATGCGTTGTTGATTAGGAATTTTAGTAAATGAGCGGCTTAGCATCAATCAAACGCGTATATCTTCTAGTAACAGAATTATTTATAGTGGCACTAATTTGAAAGAAAATTATCCCAAATTGGTACGAGTAGCTGTAAAATAAATTTAATTAATTTGTAACCCCTGTCCAACTCAATTTGTACTTTTGATTTCTTACAATATAATGTACCAAAAGTTTTGTCATATGTTTAGTCTTCTGATTAAAGACGATTTCCCATGGTCGCAAAAAACCTAAATCAGTTATGCACGAAAAATGCTAACTTTGTATACACAGTTGTAGACTAAATCGATAAAAAATTAAACCAATAATTCAATTTTCATTTTTGAAGTTATTTTTCAAAGTCTTTCGTTACAAATTATAACCTTATTAAGAAAGGGTTAAATATACCCCCGGAAACTTTGTATTGAAAACTGTATTATTCCAAAATGATGTAAACATTCAATATGACGTTTTGTGGAATGATAATGGATAAATGAAACCAGTCAAACAAACAATGAGGTTTGCAATCGTCGACCACAAATATTAATTTATTCATTTATTAGCGTAATTTCCAACCTTCTGATATTTATTGTTTCAGATTTTTGCTCGGTCAAAAGCGATGATGCTCCTACATATTTTGGTGAGTTTTTAATATTTATTGTATAATTATATATAAAAAATAGAGGAAAGGGCGTATCATCTGTCAGAACAGCAATATTTCGGTAAAAATAATCCCATTCCCGCAAGTATGTGGCTTCGCAATAGTTGAAAGTGTGGTTCTCGGGCGTATTTTTTTTTTTTTACTTGGACGTCATTTATTTGATATAAATGACAATCAATGCATTCCGAAATTGCCTGTTACGTCAATGCGGGTGTAAATGCACTAAAATACATGGTGTTTTAGTTACTGATATTTTTACGTGATATATCCTACTGTGGCTGAAGCTACAACCATTTTCCTTTGTGGGGAAATTTCTTTATTTCATCAGAGCTAAACGAGAAAAACAACTTGTCTAAAATATCATTGAGTTCAAACCTGAAATTTATCTTGAAATCGCTCGGATATTGTTGTTACGCAGTACAACATTATTAAATTTGCCCTTTCAATTGCAGAAAATGTCAAAAATCTCTCGTGGAAATCGGCGGCGGATCGCTGTCAAAAGATTAACAAGAACTTATGCCTGAGGAAAGATCTTTGCCGGCAAATATCAAAAGGCAATGTTCCGAAGCAGAGAATAAATGATTTTGTAAAAGATACTTGGGTACCTATCTTGGACGAGTACAATGATTGGTTATATTTTGGACCAAAACGAATTAGACAATGCGATAAACTCAGCGAAACTGATGGACCCCCTTCGTGGGGTGAAGAAAATTGCACAAAATGGAATGCAAACATACCTCATCGTAAAATAAAAGTTTTTTGTCAAACTACCAAAGGATTTTTCTGTTGCGAAAAGAACGAGGTTGTACAAAAACCAGTAGCACATCCAGTTTCAATTTATGTCAATAGCCGAAAGGATAGAGGAATTCCGTATTACTCATTTTCACTGGAAAGAGTTCGAGACAAAAATGATTGGTTTACTGATAAAGCCTCGTGGCGTGAGAGTGGGAGATTACCGGGTGACTTGAAAAAATTTACATTGATGTCTAATTTTGTTGAAAACAAATTTGAAGATCCTATCTTCTTTTGCATTCGTTCCATTACAACGAAAGATAACCTGCTTACAACAATTCATCGGATCTCTAAAAGGTGGTGTAGCTATCCCTGGAAAAATAACTTTTACCTGTACGGTTCATATTCGGTTCCTTCAAACGCTTCGGCAGAGAGACTGATAATTGGGAGCAATGGTTACGGCCTCGATTTAAACTCACGAGTGGCGATAAAAGACAACAAGGAATTTCCAAAAAAGCACTTTTTGTATGTACCCAGTAACGAAAAATCGCGCCCTTATATTCAGACCACACAGCTTGCTAAAGACGGATGTAACGGTAACGTGGAAATGTTATCATCAGAATCCGGCATTATTTCTTCACCGGGATTTCCCGAAAAATTCACGGCAAACGCTAAAAAGGATGTAGTGTGTAATTGGAAAATCAGTGCGTCGAGAGGAAGCGTTATAAGAATTACGTTCAGAATCATAAGGCTCGATAACGAGAAAAAACGGAGCATCCCTACATGGAAAGTTAGTCTTCAATATTTTAGTAACACATGGTTATTCTATATATAATGTGGCTTGACAAGGTAGTTTTACGATTTGCAAAGTATCTATGATTTTCAATCGATCAATAATGCTAATCCATTCCTCCGTGACTAAAATTGTTTAGGAAAACACACAGCGATTAACTAAGCACGCCCTCCATTTCAAAAATGCGAAATATGGTTGCCGAAAATAAAATAATTGGCTAAACTTTTTCTGTAAGGTAAAGGAAAACCGATAAGATTGCTTAATAACAAGGTGAGCCACGGCCTCTTTCGGAGTAATGAAAATGGAATTTGGCTATTTGCACTTCATGGTGACAGACTGCCTGTGTGCGCTGGTGAAATGATTAGGTGTGGATATAGAATAAGCTATCTAAAACTAAATTTCTCGAAACTTAGCGCTCGGTCATTATTTATATGAATCAAGATAACTTGATAATTTGTGTTTGCAATTTTCAGTTCCAAAATTTCGTAGGAGGAAGAGCTTCATCTTTCAACTTCGACATGAACTGCCTGAAGGACAAGGTCGAAATTTCTGGATATGGCACGTTTTGTGGGAATAGGCTGCCACCAACTTTTGTTACAATCGACAATAATTTGAATATCAGCTTTTTGGGACGGCGGTAAGCACTGGGCCTCGGACTTGAGTGTGTAAATTAAGTTTTGCGAAGGCTCTGCACTTCTGTATTATTCCGAAACGTAATTTCGCGAGAATTTTCGGTAGATGGATTTGAATGAGTTTCGGTGACATCCCTCTTTCGAGCAAAAGTAATTCGACAAAAAAAGGATTTTTGCGAGAATGTAGTTTGGGAATAATGAACGGCATTTATAAATTAAGATCATCAAAATGGTAATATTCTCGCAAACGTCCGTCTTCGCACAAATGTATTCCGAATCGTTTTCGCACAGAAAACGCGAATTGCTAATGTGTATAAATTCTTGAAAACATATAAAGTTAAATTTTGTTTTACAAATCTATGTATTACTCAGTCACTTTGAATTTTAGGTCCAGCACTGGGAAGAGTTTTTCTCTGCATTATGAAATTATAAAACCCCCAAATGATCTCTCTATGACGCGAATTTCCGACGAAAAATTGCAATTCTTCACTTGGAGGTCAGCCAACGACACATGTGCAATCAATGGGAAAACACTATGCAAGTCAAAAGATATATGCAGGTAGCATAGTTCAGGTTCAAACTGAATGTGTAAGTTGAATAAACAAATACAAATGCTGTTATTTTTCTTTATGATGCCAATTCCGAAGTTTCATACTCTCTGAAAAAATGTAATACCAAATGTATGTTTCACATGCAACGGATAATAATTTTTTAGCCTATAGGTATGGGCAGAAAAAGGCATGTGACTACACAAAAATATGAATAGGTAAATCGAAATCGAAAATATACAACAATAAAGTGAAAAAATAATTGAATAATTTTGTATTTTATGCGATTTCAAGAAAAAATTTAGGGTTGAACTCAATGGCATTTTACTCAAGTTATTTGGCTCTCATAAAATAAAAATCCTTCACCGCGCAAAAATGATAACATGCCACAGAAAACGGTAATTGTTTAGACATATTTGTTGTTTCTTAGTCTTGGCAGCCGACCATTCTATGGCGTTATGCAAGGTGATCAATGGGCTCCAGTTTTAGACGAATACAATGACTGGATTCAGGTAATGCGCTATTTAATATCAAAGACTTTCGGCATAGTTTGATTTTAGCAACTCCAAAATTGCGGATAACTTGATCTGTTTTACATTATAGGCTATCCAATTTCGGCGTAATATTTCTACAACAGAGACTCTGCGTCTAAAATCTGTTTAATATCCCAAGATACGATACCAATATCCCGCCAACTTCAGAGGCAAAGCTTACTTCAGACTATACTTAACTTTTTCCAATGAAATGTTATAAAAGTGCATGCATCACTTCCAGCGTATTTATTACACATTATACATTTGGCGTAACTTTTCATTGCAGATTGGCAGGGGAAATGTTGAAACATGTGGAAGACACAATAGGATTCATGGACCTCCACAGTGGGGAACGCTGGAGAAGAATTGTCACGGATCAGATATGTCCCGTCCCTGTCCAACTAGGAAATTTTTATATTGCTGTAATCATCCGGCAAATTTTATTGCTCAGTCCGACAAACCTATCACTGTACTTATTTATTCTACTGTGCAAAATGGAAATATATTTTTCAAGTAAGTCACATGACTAAGCTGACGTCTGACTGGAAACAATTTTAGCTATTACAAAAATAGTTGTCCCGTACGTATCAGTTACGCTTACAGCTTGTTTAGAGCATTATCGAGCTGATGATGTGAAAAAATCTCAATAAAATTATCGAAACATCTTTTGAAAACAAAAGATTGAAGATGTTATATAAATTCACAAGAAGTGTTACGGTATGATATTTTTCATTCATGTCATGTTCATTCATAGGAAATTTTGTAAGACGACAATCAAATGCGTTCCATACACATCATACAGTATGAATAAAGTTAATATGTCAGCATGAACGTCATGATTCTTCATTTTTTAAAACTCTTCGAAGGTATCTGAGACAAGGAATAGACGACGAAACCAAATTCGATACAGACGGAATATGGACACCAGGTCGAAAGAAAAGAGGAGATATAACATCCCTAAGACTATATCCGGAACGCGCTGAAGGGTATATTAATTTTGGATTTCATACTGTTTCTTCAAGTTTATTATGACTAATTTTTTATGAGAATAATATAACATCTTTCGGAAAATAATTTTATTTTATTCATAGTTATCACTCTGAAGCTCCGGCCCGTTGGGTATTTTAATCTAGCCCGCTTGATGCTACCAGAACCAAACTGAAACCAAATTTTTATGTCTTAGCTAAAAATAGCTCAATGAATTTGTTGAGATTGCGGTTAAATTTAGTTCTGGCACGAGGCTTATGGTTTTCCACCTTTGCTTTGTAACACTGTAAATATTGTTCATAAAATATAATTTTTTACGTCATACTTACATGGCCCGTCAGACTAGGTGGGCAAAATTGTTGGCCCCCGGTTCAAAAACCTTGCCCACCCCTGCTCTACGCCCTAAACTAAAGCCATCTCGTTCAAGTATTTTGGTGAAAATTGCCACTTACGGATCCCCGAAGTTGGAAGTAAACAAGGCGGAAGCACCTACGGTTCAATACACAGTTACTTTATGATTTCTATAACAAATTTATTTTTATATTTTTGTCAGAGTGGATCGAGTTATATACTTCTGTTTTAAAGAAATTGTCCCGGCGATTGGAAAATTGAAAACCGCGTATTCAATGTTCTTGCAGCCGTGTGAATCAAAGAGTTGGAAGTTATTGTATTACTTGTACGCTAGCAACAAAAAGGAAGTAAGTAAAGTTCCCACCCCGTCTCTACATACTTTTTTCGTCAATCGGTGTTACGCGGGCCTAATATAAATGATTATATAATTGGTATATTCATGTGCTTATTGAAGGTAAGAATGACGGCTGTACATGTCGGAATATCGGAAAAACGGCCGTATCATAGTAGACCACATCTCAGATCATTTCCAGAAACATTTCAAGGTGACGAATCGTTCATCATTTACAGTATCGGCCCAACTACACAATCTCAAGACAAGGTAAGTATTTTTGCAAGATTTATTTATGTCATTAAGTTGTAGGCTATTACCGCGTGTGATTTTGTTAACTTCTGCAGAATCTGGAATCAAATGATGAAGATTCTGCTTGTTCTGGTAACACTTCTGTCATTATAGCTCCTAGCGTGTTAGAATCTCCAGGTTATCCAACGAGATATGGAAATAACGTTGAGTGCAAATGGCTCATTAGGATGCCAAAATCAGATCAGCAAAAGGGTAAGTTTCACTTTTATGCGTTCAAATCAACATGTTGCGACAAAACATATTGTGCGGTGAATTTAACGAGAATAATTCTTACGGGTATAATTTGAAAGGACTGGCTTATTGACTCAGTCGGTAGAAACTCAATTATGTCACCATACGGACAAAGATACTATGCGAATTAAATTTATCCAAATACGAACCAATCGATCCAAATACTTGATCTTTACTTTTTAATAATGTGATCTAAGTATAGTGGTGCTTCATTTTTCGACACATATATACCATAAACTAACTAACTATATATCCATCAGGAAATCGTTTACAAATTACTATTGAAGAACTAAGTCTGGAAGACCCTGTTGATATCCTAACCGTGTATGTTGTACCATCTTTCGCTGATGTCGGAAAAGCATTAATTACCGGAGAAAGTTTTGGACTTCATAGCATTCGAAGGGACTTTACTGGCATGGTCAGTCAAGTCACAATGAAATCTGATGTCGCCTTTTTCCTTGTCTTCAAGTCCGACGATACAGTACAAGACAAAGGATTCCGAATCAAAGCTGAAATATTGAATAACAAGTGTGGTGGTCTTGTTACGAAAGACGGTGACATCATATCAAGTCCTAACCACCCTTTACCTTACATTGGCGGAACTAAATGCAAATGGTCTCTTCAGGCCCCATCTAAGAAACACACGATCGAACTGCAGTTTCAACATTTTGATTTGATTTCTTCGAAGGATTGTTCGGACAGTGTTATCATTGATGGGAAAGGTTTCAAACGTATATCTTACTGTGGTGGTCAGACACCTCGTGGTGTAATTATATTGAATGCAAATACTGCAAACATAACGTTTAAAACAAAATCTCGCACTAACTCAAAACCAATAAAAGGAGGCAAAGGATTTGCTGTTAGGGTCAACTTCGTTTCAACGGAAAAGACAATAGCGGACGATCGTTCGATTAGACCCCAATGCGGAATTCAGTCTGTTCCATTTGCGACAGCTGATCCAGCAACAGACAGAATTGTAAATGGGCAAAAAGCTCAAAATGGGAACTTTCCTTGGGTCGTTCAAATCGGAAAGCCGAGGCTAAATTGCGGAGGATCACTAATAAATGATCAGTAAGTTTATCACGAATCTGTATTTGGTCCTCAAATGCTATAAACTTGCCCCGAGCAAGACCCAAATTTTGTATGGGGTGGTTAAAATAGATCATGCTACCTACTCTAAATTTCTTAAAGAGCTCACTTAGATAATGAGTCGAACTAAATACCCCAAAATCGCCCTTCGCACCTACAGGATAAAAATCAAATCATGCCATCAAATTAGCATATGAACGCGATAATCATTTTTAATATATATATACATACAATTTGATAGGTGGGTTCTGACAGCCACACATTGCTTCGTTGCTCAATTTGTGCGATCTCTTGGGATAATGCTTCTACATGAAGAATTAGACAAATTTGTAGTGATTGCTGGAAGATATGAAAGAACTATCCCATCCCCTGGTGAACAGCATTTTAATGTCACGGAGCTGATGGTTCACGGAGGGTAAGTTACGTCAGATACTTGCTTGAAGATTTTCAAAGTTTGTCCGAATCCCTTTGCATCTATATACATGGAACAAATTTGTGGCATTTAGCGCTTTCAACTGTTCATGAATATTATTAATTGCATCGACAACTTTTCAGGCGACATAAAATTTATAACTGAAGCTGCACAGAAGATTTATTTCACAAACTTCTATTTCCCCTTGCTAATTTAAAACTCACATTGTATACCACCTATTGCAGTTTCACCAGATATTCAGCACGCTGGCGATATCAGAGCGGGATGTCAGTGTTAGGAATATTTCCATACAACGATATTGCACTTCTGAAACTTTCAAAGAAGGCAGTGTTCAGTCCAACAGTTTCGCCAGTGTGTCTCCCTACACAGGTAAAGTGCATGATGTTTTTATTTTACTATTTATTGCTCTGGTGCTTGCCGCCAAATGCTTCTCTTTTCTTCTATGCTCAGCTTCGGCATATATCCTATTCTGTATACAGGGATGAAGTAAATAGACTTTTAGCACTCTTTGTGAATCTTAACAAGTAGATAATAAAGTTAGTAACGCTAAACCAAAATAAAAGTGAAAGGTATTAAAATCATGGAATTAGTATTGTTCGGTAATGCTTCATTTGAAACACGCGCAAGGGAGTTATACAGAAGCAAAACATCTTTGTGTGGTAACATAGTTTACCAGCTATCTCAATTTATCGATACTTGAATGCCAGGGGTAGGTTGCCCGCTGATACTATTTGCGTTTTCGACTAGTAAATATTTGAACTATGGCATTTAGGATGCATTTGTCGGTGATTTTTGCTACGTGGCAGGATGGGGATCACGGAAAGCTGATAGTATGGATTTGGTCTCAGAAATCAACTACGCAAAAGTTCCAATTCTTGATAACAGTTTGTGCAATAGCTGGAAAGAAATGAAAGGCACAATCATGGAAAATGCTCTGTGTGCAGGTAAATTGCCTACAAAAAACACATCAATTAGTGTGGTAGACCATAAGTTTTTGGAAGGAAATAGAATATCATCGTCACTAAAAAAAAATATTTTTTTTCTTATTCAAGGATATCCGGAAGGAGGAAACGATCATTGCTGGGGAGATTCGGGAGGTCCATTGATGTGCCGTGGTCGGTATGGAAACTTTTATATCAATGGAATAGTCAGTTGGAGTCGAGAATGCGGTAAAAAAAGAATGCCTGGGATATATACAAGAGTTTGGAAATATACCGAATGGATCAAAAGAGCGATGGAAACAGTGTGAAACCATGAACAATATTACAGTGATAAAGTTCCTTGTATCTGATTATAACACCACATTCAGAATCAGTGTTCGACAATAATAACTATGTTCAAAAGTTTTTATTATCATGCTGGATATGCGTGTGTTTTGTATGTTTAATAGTGTAATTGATTACTGCATTTTCTTTTATTGTTTTTGTTCAATTGGTCTACAATAGCATATCCTAAAATGCAGAATACGCCAGTGCGTCACCTATGATGTTACCAAAATAAAAAAAACGCCTTATTCAATGAATTTAATTTCTTTATGAGTGCATTTTACATCGTTTACATCATACATTTTATACAACCAAACATTTCCCCTACTGGATACGAAATGTATATATATAAATCGTTTTGTTATTATCATGTTGTTGTTGATAGTCATTATTTTCTTCTTCTTGTGGCAAAATCGCTTTCACTAGACCAATTGCTTTGAAATTTCCAGTGGTTAAAGATTTTATTTGTCGCTAGAGGGCTATTTCTTTTATTCATCTCAAAATGGGCTCTGTGGGATTCGTTTTTCTATCCAAAGTCCATGCTTGTCACTTGATTAATTGAAGTAATGTTCATTTTGCCCCGTCCATCAGTGATATCGCGATAAATCGAAGATCTTAGGCATCAAATGTAAACCTTGATCAACGGATAATATTATTTCCAATTCTCGAAAATATTTCACTATATGATCTATTGATCATTACAAAATAAAACCCTTAACACCAGATTACTCTATCTACAGCAGTGTTTCCCAAACTTTTTCCTTCCAGCGCCCCCATGAACGACTTTTTAACTAGCAAACGTCCCCCTAACAAAAGAATCAAAGCAGCTTTATTCTCCATTTATCATTAGCATAATGTGAAGGTTGCGCCTAGTGAAATGCCACCAGCTTGATAATATCTGGCTTCATTTCAGTAAAAAAACAGTCTTGAGTCTCTCCGTCTGACACTGTCAAGGTCTACACTAAATACTGCACTAAATACTCGCTCTACCAAGAATGAGCTGGCAAGAGCAGTAAAAAACTTCTAACCTGATGTCACTCGTGTTAATATTTCAATTTGATTCCGTTCCCAAAAAGATGGAACACTGAACATGGGTTTGAAAGTATAAAACCAATGGTAGTTGTGCATTTTCGCTTCTGGAAATTCAGGGTTATCTAGAAAACGGAATTCAAAATTTTCTTCATCATCTCTAAAAAATTATTTAATTTTATTTGCGCTTGAACTTCTGTTTGCGTATGATTATACTCAGAAGTTTCGCGAAATTTTCAACCACTTACTTAGAATTCTGCTGAAGCGCATCTTCTGCTATCAGGACATGGAAATGAAAGAGTTCAAACGGTGAATATAGAACATTACTGCATTACGTGTTTGTGCCGAGAAAAATCTGGACATTGATAGAGGTGACCAGCAGCGGTTCAAGCATGACGAGGTGACCCCCCATACATCAAATCAGACGCTTGCTTTCCTGAGAGAGAAGTCAGCAGTGACATCCAGTGGGCACCTTAATTATCGGACTGAAACCCCAGATTTTGATATGTAGGGAGTTCGAAGGACAATTTGTATCAGAACAATCCTCAAATTGGTGAACTCAAGGCTGCAATTGCAGAAATAAAATAGAGAAATGCCCAAAGAAGAGTAATTGACAATGTTGCAAAAAGAATGCAATTGCCGAGGAGGGCATTTTGAATATATTCTGGAAACAACATAATTTTTGTGCAAAACGTCCTAGGTTTTCCTAGACTTTTGGGTACAAACATACGCAAACAGAAGTTCAAATGTATACAAAATTAAATAATTCACTCCATTTTCGTATAAGTAATCGAGAAATTAATGGTCTCGTTTTTTGGAGACCACGCAGTATAATACTGTTTTTAATATAAATCGGTTAAATATGCTGCTTAAGTCACTGCGAGGCGAGGCGTAACATTTGCATGTCATTCTTGATTCCCACCTGACTACGTCATCAAAAAGTTACCGTACGTTACAATCATGTCAATTCGAGAAAGAGAGCTGACTTTAGCACTTAGTGGATTTGGTATTGCTCACGCAGACGCCATTATGGGCGATTGTGGGAATATTTTGGCTCATCGTGCTAAGGCCCAGTGTTTCCCAACCCGAGTCCGCGGTCTCAAATGAGTCCGCGGAGCGTTGGAATGAGTCCGCGACGAGCCAGAAATTCACTGCGGTCCGCAAACGTTTTTGCGAAACTTGACTATTAGCAAAGTTACGATTTAGGTTACTATTTACATAAAATATAAAAAGCAAATTTATTCATATACCATTCATCGAGTCAATAATTATATACTGGGTACTGAGTAGGGATGGGCATATATTCGAATATTCAACTATTAGAATAGCAATTTACTATTCGAAAATTTGGTAACAGGTGACGCGACAGGCCACTTGCGCGTCGCTTATTCAAACGATTGGAGTTCACAACTCACTTGCGGATTTCCGACGAAAACACGAGTAGGCAAACGCGTTGATAGATAGTGGCGTTGAAGTGGCGTTTCTCGCGAGCTCGAACAACGAGGAATAATTTTCTTTTCTGGTAGGTGTCAATGGTGGCAACCTAAATTTTCTAAATTGAAAAGGGGCAATACAAAATACTGAAAATAAAACGGAAAACACCATAAGTTAAGTTCTATGATGGTCCTCGACCGATTAAAACCGCTTTTTTAGACATTGAAAATCGCAAAATTTCGGGTGCTATATATACTGTAGTATCCGTATCAGGGCATTTTCTCTTAGGATTCTTTGCTTTACTGCCTCCACATTGGTACGCACAGTACTGGAGCGCCGTAAGTGTTATACAAACAGCTCAGATTTGTCGAATTCACAAAAATATGAATCTAAACAACATATAATCGGGCACTTTACCACGCATTTTTGTGTCCACGGATTGTCATGATATTTTCTGAGTAGTATTGCTTCTATTTCGTCAACATAACCGCAGATTGAAATTATCACAATTAAATTAATATTAAAGAAAGGCGATTTTTTATTTACTAATATAGTTTATTTATATTTTTAATAAATACTTAATCAAGTTGTACTTTTTGGAAATTTATAGCAGATAGTAGGGTTTTTCTAACAGCGATAACAAATTTGCAAGATCGCAAATAATATGTATCAAAACTAAATATAATCGGGCAATATATTCTCACATTATTATGTTCGCAGATTGCCGTGGCAATAGAGAAGTAGTGCTTTCATCTTGTGATAAGTCGACGCAACCGCGAGTGACCATGAACACAACTAAATTAAAATAGAAAGACATTTTATATTCTCGTCGTTGTCATGGATTGAATATTATGCGACAGAAAAGGCCATTCATACATTGAAAAAGGTGGCTCTATCAACAAACGCGCAATTGCGGCGAATTTCCGATTTTGAAATTCGTTAAAATTCTGTTCTGTTTGGTTTTATTACTCCTTCACGCAGAGTACATTTGCAATAAACTTACGTTGAGTCCGCAAAGGCTTTCGCCGGTGAGAAAATAGTCCGCGACCAAAAAAGGTTGGGAAACGCTGTGCTAAGCTTTAGGAATACGTTCGCCACCACACGCACCTCTGATTAGTACTGATTACTCGTGCGTGGCTTCGAAGGTTCGAATCAAGTGGGGATAAATACGTGTGAGAGGATTGCTGGACGAAGTCATCCAACAAAGTGATGATATATATATATGCTATTTATTTAAAGATGAGAATTGGTTTAAAAATATATACCGTTTGCGAATTCATCGTCTTCAGCATTTTGTTCCACAAGGCTATGCGAAGAAAGTTGCAGAAGTGCATTATATACCGTGTTTCACCGAAAATAAGACCTAGCCCGAATTTTAAAAACGATTACAAGCCGTCTCCTTAAAATAAGACCTAGTCTATAACGCGAATTTTTTTTTGACCTTTTCGATAGCAAGAAATCGTGTTTTAAATTACTAATAATCCATGTTTTGCAGTTACTTTGAATAAAAATGTGTTATTTATAAGTAAATTGATATCAGTTTTCATATTTTGTAGATTTGAAAATCTCGTCGGAAATCAACTAGAAGTGCATGTGGTACTAAACTATACCAGACCCAGCGATTGCTAGTCTAGATTAGAACGGGGTTGCACAACTCGAATGGGGATGAGTGCGTAAGTATTCAAAACGATCCAATTTAACTTTCATATAACACATATTTACGGATAACTACCTATATTTACTAAAAAAAATGGATCGTTTGTACAACTACCTCGCCAACGCTAAGAATAAGAAATATAGTAATTATCCAGTTAGGATTTGGGTTAGAAATGCAGATTGCGCTGAAAATTCAAATCATTACCAACCCCGACTGGATAATTATGCTACTAATTTGTTATTTGAAAACGTCACTAATGGGGGTGTTTTTCTCAAATCTCACATTTTTGCATTAGTGGCAGAGGCCTCGTACAAAAGATCAAACAGATTGATGTCCTGAAAAATTACCCCTTTATTAGTTTTTGACGGATCAAATTTGAAAAGTCAGGTTTCAAAATATAGAATAGCGATGCACATCAATGAATCTAAATGTAATGGTACATATGTTGAACCAAGTTGGTAGCTGAGATTTGTTTGTTTTTGTGGCTGAGAATGCCTGTTCACAGCTGCAAGTGCTTGCAAATTGACAACGCCAAACCATTAGTGGATAATTCTCTCGGAGAGTAAAATTAAAGAATTTCGTTGGAAAACGTCTGCAAGACTTGGTTGACTTCAATGTGGTTGAGTGCCAACGTAAATTACTTTTTACCAAACCATTATGGTACGTAGGGTTGCCAACTTCGTGTTAAACCATTCCGGGACACCTTAATGTCTAGAAGACCAGGGTGGTCCAAGGTTGTCGGCTCCGCGGGCCACAATAGTGCCAAGAATGGGTAAACAGTGCAATACAAAAACAAACGCTTTTCATTGTGCAAACACATAGTTATCAGACATAGCTATCCCAAGCTAATAGAATCTGCATTCTATTTTTAGTTTTCTATGATGCAAATTGTAAGCATATATTCCCGCCCAAAAAGATAGAAAGCCAGATAATAATTTAGACTGCCAAGCACCTCATGCAACCTCGCTGGTTGCCTCAGCTAGCCATAACACTAGTCAATTTAGTGACATTAGTGATGTAACAATATGTCAAAAGATTTTTCAGATTAATTTTAGTACGAAACAACACGAAATGCGATTTTTTGATCAATCTCCGAATGTGACGCGGGCCATAGATAATGAAGCAAAGGGCTACATGTGGACCGCGGGCCTGGGTTTGGACCACCCTAGTCTAGACTCTAGAATTTGAAAATTGATGCAACAGAAGCTTGTGGAACACGAATCACGTCAAAAGCAACAGTGCGCGCCGTGCAGCGTTACTTTCACAAACTGTAAATAATTTTATAATAATCATAGAGACTTGTGAAATGTTGAGTCTTTGACGCATAAAAACTAAAACAGGGGAAATTTGTGCTACGTAGATTTAATTATTAAACCAAAAACACAAGAAATCAGTCTTTCTCGCATTTAAATATGTATTTTTATTGTGATTTTGCCGCTTTAAGAAGATCTTTGTTAGTTTTCACAAAGTTTATGTTAAAATTTGTAATCCTCACGGAAATATAATAATAATGAACTCTCCCTAAGACAAGAGCTTTCTACAATGCGTCATAAAACAGACGGCTATGCGAGCCTGACTGAATAATGAAATCTGATGCTCATAGAAGAGCCTCACACTAACAATGCATTATAAATTAAAAACAAGAAACACAAAAAATTGTTACACGCCGCAACTTTTTCGACTACATTTTTCAACAAATCTCATCGGATTAACTTTTTGATACTCTCAAATTAAGGTGACTGCTGTATATAATGTTATCATCCATTTTGCAATTGTTCAGCTAATGACGAAACATGTCTTATCCACAAATTCCAACTCACTCCTATTTGAATGAACCATACAGATGTAATCGTTTTATTGATAAATATATTTGCGTGATTACATCCGTTTCCAGTTCTGAACGAAGTCGACACGCTTACAATGGCAATGCGCGGCGGTGTGGCTCATCGTGCTAAGCGTTGGAATAACGCTCGCCACCACACCTCTGGGTTCGCAGGTTCGAATCTCATGTGGGAGTGGTCATGTGCGAGAGGATTGCTGGACTCCTCGCCGCCTTAGGGTGGTTCACGTAACCGCTGGTCGGTGACTAACTAATCCATAACCCGACATGGAATGGTACGGTTACCGGACGAAAGGCCGTGGTTCGCCATATGGTTAATCAGTCTTATCGGCTTTCCTCTCCCCCGGGGATAAATATGTAAATCTTATCCTATCCTTATTTTAGAACGCCTTGGTTGTCGTTAAATTTCGGGACAGTCGTAGCTCAGCCCCCGACGCTAGACGTCATTTCTGGGACGGTTGGTAGCCCTATTGGTACGGAACATTGGGCATGTATGTCATGTTTTGTCCACCCTTGCTCTAGAAAAAGGTGCATACAACTTTTCAAAAATGTAGGCTCTATGCTTCATTCTCCCTCCAGTTAGTGAAGTCATAACTAGAAACCTATATTGTAATTCAGTTGGCATCCATCATTTGTAAAGTGACTATAGACTTGTATACTAAGATTTATCGATTTTATTAGTTTTTTTCAACTTAACAAGTTTACTATATAAATTGTCATAATTTAAATCATTTATTCCAGATTGTGTAGTGTTTTTGATTTCTTCATTAGATTCGATGTTAGAATCAACATGATCTGCATCTGGTCCGATATCCAGTTCTTGTTCGTTTAAAATTTTGTCAGCCATGGCTAATCGTTGAGATTCATAATCCATATAAAATTGAATTTTTGGTATATTACCGAAAACATGACTTGATATCAAAAGATGTCGAATCCTTCCGCTTAACCTGTTGCAAATTACATGAAAAATTTAAATGCACTGGGGAAGGCCAATACTACTAAAGATCAAAGATAGCGGTTAGAGCCATGTTCAAAAAGATGGCATAAGCTATGATAACTATCACCATACCAAGACTTGTAATGGAAGCTTACCCAGAGGTTGCTAATCAGAATATAATTTATCTAATTGAAAAACTTATCTCTGTCCTGTGGAAAACATGGAAAATTATCCTTTTATCATGGTCATGTGCAAACGCAATTCTTACGTGTTTTTATTTTTGTTATTCAACTTTCTGCTGTGACCATCCAGTAAAGTCTGTCAGTCATTGTCTTTACCTAGTATTGTTATTTGGGGTGACATGACACTATGGTTGCTTCAGATCAGATGTGGAAAACCTGACCAGCAGAGCGGCTGCATAAACTGCCAAACATCAAAGCGCATTTTGATATTGAAATACAACACCAAAAACATTCAAAGCATGTGTTCAGCCATGTGTCAGGTTATTTAAGACGCTAAACACATCCACTGATGGTCAGACCTTTCAATACAATATTTATTTTTAATTAAAATTTCATGTTTAGATATTATAGTGATATCCAAAAATTATTATATTAGAAATATAAATGAAGAGTCCGTGCAACCCAGCCACTGGCTGTAGTTTCTCCATTACTGCAGACTATCTCATGAAAAATTTATTTGGCTATAACAATGCCAAGCACCTACCCATTCAAAGTTTCATATATTTCCACATCTTTTGCCGAATTATCTGGTTCCCATAAGATTCTACAAATATCCTGAGATGCCATAGATGATTTGGTGAATGTTAAATTTAGTTCTTGAACCTCACTGCCCAGTTCTCCAGATTCCACCAAATTCTGTAAAACAACAATAAAGGAATATAAAAATTCTAGAAAACAAATTTTTCATAATGCTGAAACTTTGCAATTCTGAATGGGTCATTTTTCATCAAATTATACGTATAGTAGAATTTCACCAAAAAAATTTGTTTTTGAAAGGCACCGATGCCAGAGTGTCCCCCCCGAGTATTGCGAGTTGCAGTCAAAACATACCTGAATTTCAGTTTTTAATAGGTTACTGATATTCCTTTCTCTAATGATGACATTTTCACTTAGCTTCTTTGTATTTGCTTTCTTGGGACATGTGATTGATGATGATCTGGTAGAAGAGACGAATTCTTCTTCATCCATGTTGAACTTTTTAAATTTTTTTTTTCTTGTCATAAAATTGTTCATCTGAAAAAAATATTTCTGTGATATACGCAAAATGCAATTTTCCCCAACAAAATGAAGACGACATGCACCATATACCACGGGGAAGTAAATACAGCAATCAGAAATTTATAGAAAACTGAATAGATGTTTTCTTGAAGTGTTGCATACTTTCACTATAAACAAACACCCCCCATAACAGATGTGGGAAATCAGAGCTGAGAGTTCTCTTGACTGGACAGACCTAAATCAACAATATAAAATTCAACAGAATACGAATCAGCTTACATAATTATATTACTAATTCTTTGGTTCATATCTAGCTAATATTAGCAATTACTTCCCACATTATTAACAATCTTTCTATATACTTACTAACTTTTGGGAAAATTTCTATAATACACCATAATATTATTGACAAAATTGAATTTACCTTTTGTTCCAACTGCGCTGGATTAATTTTAAACTGATTACGTCTTGTTCTTTTCTGAATGACTATCGGTGAACCACAGATGCAGACTTCACGTCCGAGGCTTATATAACCCAACAAACTTCTTTGCATCATATTTTATCACTTGTAATGAATTACAAATGTTACAGTACAAAATTCACTTAAACCAAAAGCCTAATCACATGCTTATGAAACAATAATTACAAAACATTTTTTTTTTTAATCTTAGATTTTGTTCAATCAATAGAAAAGATGAATATACCATTTTTCACTGATATTTTTTCGTTTGGAATACACAATATACTTAGCCTCAGTGATAGGACCTTAAGTAAACAAAGTATTGTTCAATTATCTATAACATATTAATGCTACAAATTCCTGTTACACAGAAAAATTAGATGAAACTATTCATTGAATTCTTTATAGCCTACAAATAACTGTCCATTACTAAAAGCTATTTTATTTACATATGAAATAATAAAATAGTATTGAAAGCAAACACAGCAAAAAGCAAATCAAGAAGTTTATACAGGATGTTGAAACTGTTGGTTCATTGCGATGGGCGCATGGCATACAACCATTAGAATCAGTAAAACATGATGTGTGACTGCGTTACTGGATAGATTAAAGAGGGACTGGCGGTAAACGTTTTTTCTAACATATGCCAAAGTCTTATGATGAATCCAGTCTTATTAATTTCAGCTTCTTGAGATAGATATAAAAATCATATCATTGTTATTCACCAACTCTGTGCAGATGGTCGATCAAAGAATATTTTAATTGATGGATCTTTATAAGAATGAATTTCAGCCCAAAAATGGCCATAATTTTTACTTTCATTTGCACGTAATATTTGTTCCATTTTTTCATAAGTTTCCTTATCACCTTCTTCACTTATCCAATACGTGCGACAACGATCTTCACAATATACCATGATCAATTTATCTCGATCGGATATATTATTGAGAACTTCAGCTATGTGCACTCTTACGATGAATTGTTTTCCCACATGATGAGAAACATCTGTTTTGAAGTCTTTTCCCTCTGATGGAGGACAAGATGCTCCAAGTTTTTTAGAAAGTGTAAACATCCACTCCTGATCTTTTAGAGAATCAACTTCGACCTTAGCAATCAAAAATCCCTTACAACTTTGTCTATGACCTCGTTTCCAGTCTGCTATTTGACAGTTTTTGCTGCAGTACAATTTCGCACTGCATTTTCCACAGCGTTTCAGCTTCTCTACTGAAGAACTACAATTCGCACACACCGCTCCCCTTTTCTCCTCTTTCAGATCTAAACATCGAACCATATCACAAAGCAATGATTTACACTCTTTACTTCCATTCATTACTGCAACATTGAGAGCAACTCTTCCTTCCGTCGAAGGAATTCTTGGATTCCCACCATATTGCCATAACAATTTGACAATGTGTGGCTTTTTAAAATAAGTAGCAAATAGTATTGGAGAAATGCCATCAGGTTGACGTATAAAGTTTGGATCTGCACCATTTTCAAGCAAACACTTTGCTGTCTCCAAATGATCTTTTTCACCAGTCGCGTAAAAAAGAGGAGTGTAGCCATCATCATCATGTAGATTTGGATCTCCACCTTCAGATGTCAAAAATTCAATGGTACGACATGACCTTCCAATTGTCGCATAAAAAAGTGGCCGATTCCCAGTTTCATCTTTATGATTTAAAAATGTACTTCTTTTTTCCTTGGGAATGTCAGCAATTTTAGATTTCAGTGCTGGAAGTGCATGCGTATTTGATTCCGCATCAAGACAAAGGAATCTAACATCCATGTTATATGGAACCACCTTCTTTGCCGCCATGCTGATGGTTTACTGGCAGGTATTTAGAGTTTAGGGACTAAAATATTGAATGAAACAATGTTTTCAGATAAATAAAAGATTGACTAATTTGAGCATTAAATAACTAGTCTATTTATAAACACTGAAATAGAGTACATATATTCATTATAATGTTTTCCAAATTCATGACTTACCGGTGCGGTAACTACAACAAACTGGGTCCACATAACTATATACGGGAATACTGCAAAAATGGGATATTGAGCCCGGTGAGTCTTCGGGCAAACAAAAATGTTCACACTCTTGATCCCATACTGCAGTACTGAAAACTCAAGAGTCCTTTTTTGTTTCTGAATTCTGTCTGTGCTCAACGCTAATGTACGGTATTGATTCTATGGCGAGTTTTTACGTTTTACATCTGTCACAACCGGATACCGGTAACACTAGAAGACTGAAAGAAAATACGGATGAAGTGGTTAAAAACCGAAAGTTAAGAGTTTTTCGTAAGATGAAAAACACGAAAACTAAAAGAAGGAAGTGAATGAAATTCTTCCTAGGTACCGTACCTACCGTACCGTAGTATACGGTAAATTTACGGTTTACTAAAGCCGATATACGGTACCGTACCGGTACCGGTACTGTCTGACTGTACCGGTATAGTCTCTCTTCTCTGCAAAATAGGATGCACCCACTACCGGTACCTTCTTTTTTTGCATCCACATTTTTTTTATCCTTGCGTCTTCTCAACCACAACAGTAATCCAAATTTTTGCTAAAAGTCATAGCCAAACCACTGAACAAAGCACCTGAACTCAACTCAAATCTCGGAAAACGCAGCGTGTCAACGCAAAGAATGTTTCCTCGAGAATTCCTTGCGTTGACGCAGTGCGTTAAAATGATGATTAACCGCAGGGGTGTGCAACCTGCGGCCCGCGGGCCAAATGCGGCTCACAAGGAAATATTGTGCGGACCGCGATTTTTAATAGACACAGGATGAGTCCACAATTAGTTGGATTTGGCGAATCCGAGTACAGTAATAGGTAATGGACTCAGTCGAATCTTTCGAGATCGTTGATTCATAATCAAAATGTGAAAAATACGTTTTTGACTTTATTGAAGCAATGCGCGCGTGAAGCCATATTTCATATCTTCTTGCCAAACTGAGCCATAGGTGGCTGCGGAACTATTTTAGGAGTATATTTCATTCATTTTTGGCCACAATATAACTTTTTTAACGTCTATTTAACACAGCTAGTTTTATAATGTCGCGTTTGGTGATCATCTGGAAGCAAAAAATCCGAAATTCTTCGATGAGATAAGGATGGGTCCCCGTAATAGCAGGAAATTTTGCCGTAGGCCGTACAATATGGAAATATAGAAGAAGTTATATTACTGAGTTGCATTTAATTATTTCTCACGTTCAGACACATTCTCACCACTTTATACAATTTTTGTCCCTGATCCACGGTGTTTTTCGGGGGTCAAAGGTCGAGGAAAAGTCCATAGGTAGTAGGTACCGGTACTTTCCCTAACTGAAATCTTAGCGGGATTGTCCACAAACTTGCTTGTTTTGTGGCATTTCTCGTTGTTAAGACTTGGCTAAGGAATTGAATTCTGTGGATTATATTTTGAGAGTTTTATGCAAGTATGTCGTCGCGGCGTGCTAATACGCTTGCACCTCTGGCAACCGGATATGATGACTTCTCCTTGTAATCCTGTACCGGTACCGGGAAAAAAATAAACCTGATTGATACCGGTACGTACCGGTACCGGTAATCACTTGATTCTGTTGGGCAATTGATGGTCTGGATTGGATGGAGACATGATAGTATAATAAGGATTCTGTCTTGGCATTACAGTGATAAGAATGCTCGATAGGTTCAGATGTTAACTGTGTGTTATTGCATGCTTGTTCCTTTCTGCCTTTTGTATACCTACTACCGGTACTAGGAATGTTACAAAACGCGCTTTTTCGCGCCAAAAAATGTACGCACCACATCTGCTAAGTACCGTAACGCCGTGTCAGAATACCGCTCATAAAAACGACTACGGACTGCTTGCTGTTGTTTGGAATTCCATGAAATTTGGACATAACTTAGATAAAATGCGCAACTATGATTTGGTATTCGAATTTTTTCATTAGCGCATAAATTTCCCAACATTCAGGGCTTTTAAAAATTCTGCTAAAGTTATACGTACTGCAAATTAATGATATTGTCTATGGACACCAATAAAATATATATGGACGCATGTATGTCATTCCTAACTTGATACTTACCAATTTTTATGAAGTTTGTTCAATCAGAACATCGTTAATTATTACCCGCAACGAGGCACTGTCAAACTAATATGCTCAACTCCAGGGTTGATTTGCGACGATCTTCCGACAGCCTCAATGATCGTTGCCAGAATAAAATCCTAAAGTAATCTGAATTTTCTTAGATGTGACGCACATCGAAAAATTAAAGATTGATATGTGTTTTTTTTTTCATATTTATTAAAGTTCTTATTGAAAAAAGTCAATTCGCATACGTTTACGAAACGGTACAAATTAATCCAAGGCACGAGAAGTATGATCTTAGCACGCTCTGTCAACGCGCATCAGTTATCGACTGAATGCCGACATTTTCCCTCGCAGCGATTTCTCTCGTTTTGCGTTTCACTAAGCGCGGTAAATCTCCTACGAGTTAAGGAATATTAAATGATAATTAATCGTTCATTAAGGTCGGATATGAAAAACGCTCAATCAGTTAATTGCCGCGTATGCGGGGACTTGCGTATTGGGAAAGTCGTTGCCGACCAGAGGTTATGTAAAGTTCAGAAACTTTCTCGTACATAATTAATTGAAAAGCAGCTAATATCGTTAAAAAGAATTTGTAAACTTTTTTGCATTAGGTTCTTCTATTCACAATAACTTTCGTTCAAAATTTTTTTCGATTACCTCCAAAAATAGCCGAGATACATTCTGTTGTTTATCGGTCTGACATTCTCAGCGGGTCACAGTTTTTGAGTCGGCGCAATACAATCCTTATGGAAAAAATTGGCCCTATCGGGCGGTACTTAAATGCAGATATCTCCGTTAATTCTTGACCATTTTTCGCAAACTTGGTATTGTTTTCTTATTTTCACTTAGATTTATCCACTAGTGCAGTTTTTATTTAAATCGGATGAACTTTAATTTTTTTGTAACATACCTACTACTACAGTACTACTGACTTACCAGTGTTGGATTTAAAACGCATAAGTTAAATGTTTGTCAAATTTTCTGTGATATTCGTTATAACATTTATCGAATAATAATTAGAGGGCGCAGTGTGGTTGTGCTAATTAGCGATTCGCTTGCACCTGATATTCCTTTGTGGACTCACAGTTTCGAATCTCTTTTAGCATTATACAGATATACCGGTACCAGTAATTATGTGTGAGATTGCTGGACTCCTTATCGTTCAGGTCAGCAGGTTGACATAACCTCTGGTTACATTACCGTACCGAAATTGATGACACAATTATATACATTTATTATAGGAAAACATGACATAGTTTCAAACGTGTAGTTCCGCTGTTAAGCGATGACTGGTTAAGGTTTTGAGTACCAGCAGCTTAGTATTTCTGTATTTGCAGTGAGAAACCTACTGCTGCTCGTAAATCTTTTAAGTTGTGATTATGAAATTTTTGATCCACATTCTGATTTTTCAAACAGTTTTACAAATGTAAAGGATCATGCCTTCTAGAGTTAGGCTCAGTTTTTGCAAACCTCCTGCACTTATGCCTGAAGCTGATAAATTCATCTTAGCAATTGAGAAGGATTTTTGTGAAACAATATATGATCTTCAGCAACTTATAAAATACAGATTCAAATTTTCCAGAAAATCAAATCTTCACTTGGAAATTGATGGCTTCGTTTTATTGCCATCAAATCCTCTAAGTGTTGTTAAAGAAGATGAAGTATTGACTGTATGTTACGAACAAGAAAAAAGTTACTCAAGAAAAAGAGCTAATACGAATAACATTGAAAATGTAAATTCTTCTCGAATGAAAGCCACAAAATTAAATATCATGAATGATAATCATGATAAAACCATCACAAGTCATTGCTTACACGCTGATACAGTCAATTCTGCTCCTAACAACTCATCATCTGATATCAGCAAATCAATGAACAGGTCGTTTCAACAAGCTGATGATGAGATGAAAATAGGTAGTACTCCTGAAAATGTGTTTCGCACAATTTTGGAATGTGATGGGTATCCTTCTTGCTCTCCAGAAGATTCGAATAAACTAAGTGATTGGTTGAAGTCTGGCATTAATAATATGACAAAAAAGTTCTACGAGAAAAATGAGAATGAGCCTGCTGGAACATTTGATACAGACATTAATGATATTTCTGACAGTTCGACAGTGCATTCCTCTGATAAATCTGATGCCACGATGATAGAACAAAAAAATAATCAAACTTAATAAAATTGGATTATGGGATCCTTCAGCACAAATCGAGTTGAAAAGTTATAATGTTTATTGATATGAAGAATCGATCAAAAATGTTTTATTTAAAAGCATCCTAAGGAATACCGTGTTTCCCCAAAAAAATAATACTAGGGCTTATTTTCGGGGGATGTCTTATATTTTCATTTATCAAAAACAGAATTACAAAGTAGAGAATTACAAGATTTTCAACGAAATATGGAATCCGATATTCATTTACTTATAAATACCAATTGTTATTCAAAATAACTGCAAAACATAGATTTTTAATCATTTAAAAAGCGTAGGAGAGATTTCTTGCTATTGACTGGGTCAAAAAAAATTATTGACTACCGGTAAGTCTTATTTTAGGGGGTTGTATTTAAATCATTTTCAATATCAGGCTAGGTCTTATTTATTAAGGAGAAACACAGTAGTAATGAATATTTTTACTGGTGTTTCGTAGAGGCTTTATCTCCATTCTTCATATCATTAAACAGTGAATATTGAAGCTGATTAATTTGTTAGCCATTTTGAAGGTGAGGATTCACTGGTATCAACAAAGTTCACAGATTTCTAATAATTCTCAAGAAGTCAAGAATTTTATGTTTTATAAACGTTAAAATGGCCTCACAGTGTTAGTAGTTGACAATCACATATTGCTCTTAACAAGCTAGAGGCCGTTTAAGCTCTTCTATCACCTGCTCTGATATATTCGTTCATAGATAAGTGCTCTTAACATTCCTCGAAGCAATTTTAGTTGAAAAAAGTGTTGTCATGAACCTTTATCTTAAATTGATATAGGCCTGACCTGAGCCATGTAAGATGCAATATGATGCTGTGTATTGTTGCTGTGAACTGTGTATTGTTGCAATTTTCTCAATACCTGCCTTTATATGTTCATTGCAGTTAATTGTAATTGGGCACTAGTTTATATCTTAGATTAATATAGGCCTGACCTGAGCCGTGTGAGATGCAATATGATGCTGTGTATTGTTGCTGTGAACTTGTATTGTTGCAATTTTCTTGATACCTGCCTTTATATGTTCATTGCAGTTAATTCTAATTGGGCACTAGTGGCAAAATTTGTTATTATACGAGGGAAATTATCATTGAAGTGTATTAAGATATGGGCAAAAATTATAGAGCATGGACATAGCAGCAATACAATAATAATATAAATTGAATACGTAAGGAAATGAACCTAGTCTTTTTTCCATCTATCTATAGCCATCAAGTAGATGAATTTTTATTCACTTAATGAATGTTGCAAGTGAATTTTCTTTAATATTAGACAGAATTTTTTTCCGAATTAGATTTATTTCTTATGTTTTGTGATTCCAGTACTGGGTTACGATCCTGTCAGTTACACACTTCCCGGACTAGGATAAATATAATTCTACTGTTATAACCAATGACTAACATACCAGCACTATCGTATTCACAGATACACCAAAACACTAATAAAACCGTTTCCTTTTTCCTAAAGCCTCATCGACCTATGTTTTACTTTTACATAGAATTGCATAATTTGTATTATAAGCAATTTATTCACATCACTCATCAGCATGACTAATCGATGTTGTGTTCCACAATGTGATAGTGTCAGAGTCAGGGGATCTTGCACCCTGTTTTTGGTACCATCCAAGCGATTTTGTTCCGGTGAAAAATTTATATGGGCAGACAAACTTGAAAAAATTGTAATGGGTCTGCGGGCTGATTCTAATATCAAATACCTGTATTTACGTGACAGAGTAAAAATTTGTGAAAGGCACTTTGAAGAAAATGACATTCAAAAAAGTGAGTTCAATAAAAAAAGAGGAATTTTCAACAAAGCCTGTGTAATAAGCTTATTCGCCAATTAACATTGCGTTTGTAATATTCTTGTGTTTTTCAGTTGGAACACAGTTGCGTCTCCGAATTGGTGCAATACCCAAGCTAAACATGCCCCAAAAAAGTTGTTCGAAGTTGCCAACTTTGAATAGATCTTCAAAAGAGAAAAAAGTAGCCGAAAAAATACATCATAAAAATTTGCAGGACTTGAAAAAAAGTGCATCAAATTATTTACCCTCTAACTGGAAATACCAGGATTCAGATGATAGTATTCAACTTTTTCTCAAGCCCAAATCAGCTGCAGAGCAATCAAGTTTAGCCATAAATATTGATTCAGAGTTGCATATCAGTGCACTTTATCATGGTTGGACTAGTGTTACATCTGAAGTCCTAAATAATATTGATATAAAACACACAACTTTATCAAATATCCTGCATATTATTTATACATCAATCATTTGTGAGGGTATAACTGGCAGCAGCAATTCCAGTTCGACAACAAGTCAACATTTTGAAGTGTCCTTTTCGAGAACTAATTCAGAAAAATTCAAACAAGGGCTTGCTTGCGTTAAGGTATTACATATTTTTCTAATCATCTGTTGCTAAGAATTCACAATGTTCACCACTGGTGTTGATATCATCATGAAAGTTGAAAATTTAACTATTTTTTCGCTCAAAGTATTTGAATCAGTATCTTTAGCTCATTTTGTCTGAGCGTAGTACCGTCCAGTTACAGTATTATCTTGCGAATGATTTTACAACACTGCTATATGGGCAATTCCTTTGAGCAATGATAAGAAATGTCTGTTATCATTATTTTTAGATCACTAAATTGTGAAATATTTATTTCATCTGGGAAAAGATGCAAACAGTGTTTCAAAGAGGAAAAAAGGACTGTTAAGTCATCAGAAAGCCAAAAAAAGTATTTTGATGCTATGGGATGTTGTTGAAATCTCGGAAAAAATACCTCCGTTAAGGCTAAGGACAATGAGTATCGTATGTTTCTGTCGAATCGATGTGTCATTTGCATACTAATTGTTGTCTATAAAATTGTTTTTTATGTTACAGGCTGAATAAATTAGAAGACAGAATTGAAAAATTATTGGCAAAACAGGAATATCATGTTCTCGTTGATACTGACATTGCAGAAGATATGAATTTATCAATAAAAGGGAAAGGTGGTATTATACAAAATTTGGAGTGTTTTTTTTTCCCACATCTTTTGAGATGCATTAGGCGATTTAATCATTTAAGAAACAAAAAGTTTTGAACTTTGTCTTAAAAATTCTAGCACTTACGATGAACTGCAGAGTTCAAGTTACTTGTTCTCCCCAGTAGGCGAACACTCATTGATTACCAGTAAGTAAAATGCCATTTTTTACAACTGTGCAATTATGTGCAAGGAAAGGCCTAAATAGAGGATGAGCTTGAGATGCCTGGAGAATTCAGATATTATTTGATTGCATAATTGTTCAGAAATGTGTACAGCACAAGCTCAGGATTTTCAGAAAGTGTTGGAGGGAGCGGAAAGCATCTGAATTACCTGACCATGAGCGCCTCATTGTATTGTCAATGGGTGAACTTTTAATAGGATTTGTCAGTTTTCGTGCTAGTTGATGAGAAAGTGGTAGTAGGTCAACTTTGATTCATCATTGGTTAATCGCAATCATATTCGGTAATATTTTATTTTGGATTGCATTAGCAAAAGATTATTTTTCTGTACAATATTGCTATTACAAATTTAGGTACTGTAATTTCCTATTATAAAATGACTTTCATAGTTTTGAATATATACGGAAAGAACTATAACACCATAATAAACAATTTTAATTTGCTACTAATCATTAGTCGGTCGAGGAAGTGCTCGTTTAAGGATGCCGAAATATCATTTCTGGAAAGACCGCCCCCAATTATTTTGAAGTTTTGTTTGCGGACCTTCGATAAAAATAGTTGTGTAGCCCTGTCATATACTGTACAATTATTTTTTTTTAAAAACTTTAATGTGCGAAAGAAAAATTTGGTAATTGGTTTGAAACCTGGCATAACTTTGTCTTCAACCTATCTTTATCCATTTTTAGTCAAAGAAAATATTGTCTACAATTCAAAAAAAGATATGATGGTTGGCTTCGTTGACTTGGGAGAGTCGAGAAAAAAGTTCCTGCACACAATGCACTGCAAGTTTATACATGTGGTTTGATTGGAAAGTTTTCAAAGCCCTTAACGTTCTATGCAACAAATTTCATTCGCTCAGACCATCTCACCAGCATTTTCTTGGGAAAGTGTCGGAGAACTCCAAGAATGTGGGTTTAGGGTCATCGCACTCATTACAAATGGACTTGGAGTGCAAACCGTAAAAAGTTCCATGAATTAAATAATTTGAAGGTTTCCATACAAATGTATCAATGTGTTCCTCCCTGACCATTTCATTTACCTCGTATTCGACCCTCCTCATTTACTCAAAACAGTACACAATAATGTGTTTGCGAGTCACGCTTGTGGAACTCGCCTATTAAAAAAGAGGGCAAGTCCCGATTCTATAATCAGTTACTTTTATCTATTATTATTATCGTATATTGCTGATTATGGAGTCGAAATAAACTTATAACTATTCTGTGGGACCATTTTCGTGCAGTACCATCCTTCTCTTCGTCTGAAGAGTTAATGCTTCTGCAAATTGACAGAATCCCATATGTGCTTACAAAGCTACACAAAAATACAGCCTAAGTGCTGTCTAGAACTGTTGCAGGATTGATGCAGCAGAGAGGTGGACCTGAGATGCAACAAAGCTCTCGATTAGCATCATCAATGGATAAATGCAGAAATGGTTTGATATTATGAATACTATGCCAAATTTTGGATATAAAAAGTGCTCCACCTCGGAGTCGATGGAACCACTGTCCAAGATGTTACAATGTTTCTGCGTCAATATTACATGAAATAAATACGTGATTTTACTGTCATACAAGTTGTTTCAATCTTTCACCTAATCCCTCGATATCCCAACCCTACTTGGATATACTGTATGGGAAAAAACTTGAGAAATATTTCAGGCATCGACTTCCTTACTGCGTGACATTGGCCAATCAGCAAGATGCAAAAAGTGACTTAACAATGCTCCCTTTTCGCATCCGCTCAGACACTTTCCTCACTCGGACAGATTACCAAGCGTGGTCGTAAACATTACCTCGTTTTTGAACTATATTCGTTAGTTTTCAGTTGTGTTTCGAAAACTTAAATATAAATCAGATAATTCAATGATCACTCTGTCTTCCTATGAGTTTTAATTTAATTGCAGTAATAAAAAATTTGTGTAGAAATAGCTGTGATAGACTAGGCTAAAATTCTTTACCGGTACTTTTGAAAAACAGGTATGCGAAGAATCATAATGATAGTTTGATTCACATACCCCATTTTACGGGTGCCAACTCGCAAAAGCACTCTTTAAATAGCCCCGAAAATTTTGCAATGGGAAAGTATAGGAAGGATTTTTCGGGCGTCAAAGGTCCATACTAATGCAGTACACCTCCAAAAAATATTGTTCTTGGAACATATCACATCTTAAGTAAAGTACTTTTCATCAATTCATGACCTCGGTTCATTGGAGAGTTCCCGGTAGCCAAAGTTTTGAAAAAATAACAAAAAATGAAACTGTGAAATAATGATAAAAACTCTAAACGTGGTTGCCAGAAAGTCATGGATTGTGAGCAAGACTGTAAGCGCGAATGTGAGGTAGTTTTGCGAGAACGTCATCAGCGTCATTCACTGTTTATCAGCGTTTTAATCAATTTTATAAGATTTACGTATTTATCCCGCGGGATGGAGTGAGATGGTTGGTGAATACCGTAATGTGGGTACCGGTAATATGGTGATATTTAGACATATATTTTGCTTTTTTGTGGATGGCGCCTGACATTCTTCTTTTGTTAATCTTTATGAATGTTGGTAGCCACCATACAGTATTCAGTGATTGTCACTGTGTTTTCCCATGCTTTCATTTCGTAAATTAATTTACCTAATAACCTTTTTATATTGTTAAACTCATTGTGTAACAAGTGAGCTGTATATTTAATTGTGGATAATACATAAATATTCGAATCCTTATTCAAGTATGTATAAATACTCATGAATGCTGGTAGCAATTAAACAATATTCATCGATTGTTATTATTTTTCCCCTGCTTCTTCATGTGAACTAATTAAGGTGCCAAAAGGAGTCAAATGATACTTTTACGTCATGCACTCCATTACTGAATCTGTGATGATAATATTTTCTTGTCCCTATCTTTCAATTTTTGATCTCGGTCTGTGTCCAATAAAAAAAAATTAATTCTTCCATTGGACATGATCGGTTACATCGGTACTTGACCTCTCAAAATCCTAAATTGCCCTTTGATAACTTTAATAATAATAACTTTAAATTGCCGACTCATTCACTCATTTCTTTATCTTAATATATATTTTATTTAATCCCATTTGCATGTACCCATGGTACTATATTATGCCATGATAACCTTATATACAGCATTTACACAAGGGTCGGGAGCCTAGATGACCTTAATCGGTCCTGCACACCGACCCGCACAAAACAATAATCAATCGCTGTTTATTACTTATCGATCTTAAGATCGGTAAGTATGTTGATAGGTATTTGTATGTTTGTCTGTTAGATGAACGCGATATCTCACGAACGCGTGGTTGAATCTGCTCCAAATTTTGCATGTGCATACATCTTACCTCGGACCAGAAGCCTATAGATTTTGGGTTAATTATGTCGTATAATTAGCGAGTTATTAACTAATTACCGATCTAAGATTGATAAGTCTTCGGTCTCCGACCGATATTCTCGTTGTATTATTATCTATTATTGTTTATATTAGTGTTGATTTTGTTTTTGTGGCAATAAATCTCACTCTCTCTCTTTAGACCGTAGGCCGTATTTATATATTTGGTTTTAGCCTTGTTAGGTGTAAATATATACGGTACTGTACTACTGTGTCTGTATTCTTGATTCCATATACAATTGCAATTCCAATATGATTGACTTGTGCATTCACGATGAATTGTTGTTGTTTTTCCTCATTGTGATTTTGGAGATTACTGTTTTTTTTTTTATGTTTGCCATCGTTCACTATATTCACCAATGTAACATATAGGCTACTTTGCTGCTCTAAACCAAAATTGCATCCATGATATTTCCTAAGCAACTTTAAGTCTTTATTTTTATATTTGATCACTATTAATAAATGCTCATATTTAAAGTGTCCCAAATCATGTTATAAAATGTTGCATTTTTTATTCCATAAGGCTAATATGCCAAGCTTATATGGTATTCATGATACTTTCTCTGTAAAATGAGTTCATATAATTTTACCTATTCGATTATGACTATTAAATGTTCACTCTCAAGTTGTCCCAAATCATGTTATAAAATGTTACATATTCATTTTATAAAGTTAATATGCCAAGCTAATAGCTCATTTCCCAAATAATTTGTATCTTTGAGTACCTGAGCTCCAATCTATTTCATTTCGATCATTTTTATATTTTTGAAATTCAAATTCAATGTGTGGCAAAAATAGGTTAGTTGAAAGAACGGCATGCCAAAGTTTCGCTTTGATAATAAAAAATGGTAAAAACATTTATATATTGTATATAGTAAACAAACCTGGAAGGTATTGATATATATTGACACCCAATCTGCTATATTTATTGTTATGCTTAATTAATTGAATTGAATTTTTATCATTCGGCCATCGATCATGCCTCCAGGCTATTGACCTTCTGTCAAAATTGTTACGCCTGAGTCACTACTGGTATGCTACCGTATGTCTGTATGTACAAGAAGATAGGCAACTGGTACAGTACTTGATTTTGGGTTTTTTAATTGAAACAACATGAAAATACTGGAAAATATAGGTACGATACTGTACCGGTACCGTACGCTAGTACAGCATCCTCAATCACAGCATTAACATTACATACATGCATAGCATTTACTTATTTATCCTGAAGGGAAAGGACATTGACAGTCTAGATACGGTATCGGTAGCTTATGAATATTACGCTACTGTATTAAGGTACATTACATTAACCTTTTCGGCGGTGAGGCAAATCACTAAATTCAATGGGGTTTGGACGATAATAATTAGAAAAAAGTAAATAAATGGGCTATATTTACACAGTGGGAGTAATGTAATGAAGGTTTGAATCCTATGAGGCGTTAATTATGTGTCTTATCCTATTTGTCATGATCAGTCTTCTAACATTGATTTTCAGCTGAATTGTAAAATAAAGAAAGTTATTATTTTCATGTCACAACTTTGATCATCAATTCTTTTATCACTGATTTTTTTTCTCAGCTTTATGTGTAAACTCGAAATATAATTCAATGGAAGAGGCAAGTACATCCTCTACTAATGTGGAGGAAGACGTTTCAAAGATTGAGGATGCTCAAAGCAAAAAGCAACAAAGATTGGAACGCCTTCGAGATTTGAAAATGCGTCGCAATGAAGCCAGAAAATTAAATCGAGCTGAGGTAGTCGAGGAAGATCGCAGAAGTAAACTTCCAGTAAACTGGGAAAACCGAAAGAAAAAAGCTGAATGGGAATTAGCAGAAATTGAAAAAAAGAAACAATGTGAAGAAGATGGTGAAGAATACGATCGAGTAAAACTACTTAATGTCAGTGCGATTGATGCAGAAAGAATTGATAAGTTTAAAAGAAGAAAAAAGAATCCGGATCAGGGATTTTCGACTTATGAGGAGGCTTCAGCAAGGCAAAATCGGCGTTTAGTGGGACAAATCAAGCCAAATATGGAAGCATACGAAAAGCAGCGACAGCAAGTTGGAGATGACATTTTCTATGCGAATGTTAATACAATATTGCCAGGAAAGGTTAAGGACACCCCTGAAGCTCTGACACGTTTAGTTGAAGATCTTGAAAAACAGAAAGAGAAATCGAAACGCTTTCACCGGAGACGATTTTTCAACGATGATAAAGATGTGGATTACATTAATGAAAGAAACTCTAAATTTAATGCTAAAGCTGAACGATTTTACGGCAAATATACTGCTGAAATTAAGCAGAATTTAGAAAGAGGAACAGCTGTATAAATATTATATATCAAGACATAGTCACTTTGGCTCAATAGCAAGGTGTACATGACTAAGATTGTACAAATTGGTGTACTGGTGAGCGGTGACTTTGGTCACGGCATCAAGCTCTATATTCTCGGAGGTTTTTAACTGGAGAAGCATTTTATCACCTTGGTTTAAACCATATTTTTACTTTTTATTTGATTGTTTATACTCGCCTTATGCATAATGAAGGTTCATTAGATGCCTAGATGTCGTGTGAGAAATTGTTCGGTCCTGTTATAAATTCATTAAAAATGCTGTGATTCATTTGAATTAATTCACTTGGCTGTCATGACAATATCAACCTAGTGAAAGTCGTGTTAGGGATCGCTAACTGAATTCAACATTATCGAGTGGCTCTATACCAGCAAGGGGCATGCAACCTACGACCAAATGCGATCCAGAAGGAAAAATTTGACGCACCCCATAAAACGAGTTTTTAATTGTGTTACGTGCGAGTAATTCCAACCAATCTTTTTGCCTTTTTATCACCTTTGTCCATATAACAATTCCCTAACAGCAAGCTAGCTTGCACGAAGCGAACAACGCATGTCATAAGATCAATAAATAGAATTTTTGTGCCTTATGTTGTGCAACCTTCGTTTATGATAGCCTTTCTAGTAGTTGTAGCTGCTCTTCAAATAGACTTTAAACGAATTCAGTGAGAAACACGTTTTTATACTATTGTGTATTTTGCTAATATGACAGTGGCACTGGTGCATGCTTTGCGACACAAAAGATTAACTAAACTAAAACGTTTTGCGGGCACACAATTCAAGATTGGCACTTCTCCACGGGCCGCAGTTGGTACACCCCTGCCTTCTACTACTAGGAAGCATAATGGTTGATGGTTCCATAGAGTTATGTGTCTGGCCAGCCTAATTAAAGGTTGCACACCCTGCTCTGTACATCACAGGCCGCAAAAACACACCTATCGTCTACTCGTATATTTTAGACTGCCAATTAGGGCTGTGTGTTGTACGTAATCACTTCTAATCATGTTAATAAATACACAATTGCATATTGCAGCGGAATTTATATTGGAACGTTGTGGAATAATAATTCAGTTAAGCACCAGGAATGGGAGTTTAATAATTCGTTCTTTTCCAAAAATTACAGAAAAAAAGGAAATATTGCACAGATAGGCAAAATGATGATAGCAAATTAAAATTTCTGAAGAAATGGAAGGAAATACACCTATCACTCAATTTTGATCTGCTTTTAAGGTCAATATTTCATAATTGTGTATGTTCTCATAGCAATATCTACATGCGGATACATTATATTTCACTACCGTTTTGGGGGAATATCTATTATCTGGCAGATAACACCCTGGCCCTAAACATCCACAATTTTCTGGTTCTCACAGCACAATTCGATTATAACAGACTGGTGGTGGTTTTTAACCAGGGTTTGTGGCAATTTACATTCAGATCTGAGAGTTCGTTCACCAAGGGTCCGCACTACCGAAATGGTTGAAATCAACGGTTATAGATGCTGGCAAAAACAAATTTTTTTTTACGCTCACCATGACCTTGGTTTGAATTGAAGATAAAACTAGTTGCAATTAGGATTAGCCAATTATCACCCCTAAAGTAATCCATACCCCAAAATCTGTTCAAGGACATTTCATATATTATCTAGTTTTCAAAATAAACTTCATTCGCATAGCACTTTTTTTTTTTTTCAAATAACCAATTTGCAAAGCTTTCAATAGGTATGTCCTAAATAATTTTATATTCTATTCAAACCAAAGTACGATGCTGTTAGGAGGAACAAATATCTATCTGTCTTAACATACAAAGATAAGTTAGTATCTACAGAAAATTATTCATGTATATAGAAATATACTAAACAGAACTAAACAAAAGAAATAATAGCTTCATAACTGGAACAATAGCATTTATAACATTATGCTGAAACAACAAAACCTATTTTGATCAGTGAAGGTTATGGCAAACAATAATGAAATAACTGGATTGATAATTGTAGGGCGAAAATTGTTTTGAAAAAATTAAATAAAAATACTTGTTAATTAATGCTTCAAACTATTACTTACTAAGAGAGCATTATTCTATGTTCATATTTCAAAAAGAGTTAAAAGTAGTTTTTTTCATGATTACGTGGATTGGTCCCGCATATTGCAATTTTAGGTCACACCTGTGTTGTCTTTTACAATTCAATTTGTATCACAAATACATTTGGCGAATTTTGTTACAAAAGTTGATATTTGGCATTGTATGGGGGTTGAAATCGGCCCCTATTCAAGAATTGTCCAGTCTGAAAATATATATTTCTATTCCCTTTATTTTCAAAATGTCAGTATTAGTCCTTTTCAATTACAACCCCACTGGTGTTTAAAACCTCCATCGGTGGCTAAGAAAATTTTTTAAGCTTCATTGAATATCTGATCAATTTGATCATATTTTTTCTGAGATTTACTTCAAATGAGAAAAAATAGATGTTTTACGAAGATATAATACCTAAATAATGCTTCTGAACCATGACAAAAATCTCAAACGAGTGGTGTTATTGATACATGTATATATATAGAAACTAAAAATTTAGAAAAGCTACAATTCAGTGGTTTCGGTTTGGCAGCATTCATTTTATCCATTACGTTCTCACACAGGAATTTATAGCTCATCTCTCTTTTGAGCTTCATCTCCTTCCTTAGCTGCATTTTCAATAACAAAAGCTTTCAGAGCTTCTAGAGTGCGAGCACCGCTGTACTTTTCTTTCTCCTCACCACCATCAAAGAGCTTCAGTGTAGGGTAGCCTTTCACCTTGAAAAATAGTACAAAATTCAAATTTCATATCCTACAAAGTCGATAACCCTACATTCAATCAAATTTTTGTACATACAACGGATGTTAGTCAATTAACACAGATGTACTAGTTCCAAGTTGAAAAATATTGTAATGTCAGTGATTTTCAAAGTGGGCAATATGGCCACAGAGGGAGATACAAAGGGGCGATCAGCATTTTTGAGATATCAAAAGTTGAATTATCATAGTGAAACCATTCGAGAACATTAAACATTACTGCTATATTGGAACAAAAAAACTAAGTGACAAGATCGCTTTGCCATCGCCGATCGCTAGCACGGCGATGGTGCCACGTTGGCCACATTGGGTGGCGCTAAATCAATTTCATCTCATGAAACAAGGTCAGACCATGGATGCTTTCATTTCCAACAAACGGGTGATTTAAGATTGCAACCCATTTAAACCACCGCATCATAGGATTAGGCCTAATTGTTTAATTGATCTGATACATACCAAAGTATAGTGCCTGTGTACAATGAAAACAATGATTTACATCTCATAGTGACCAAAATACCTACTTAGGTATATATATCATTACACCTAGAAGATATAAAAATATCGTACCCCATTGTCCGTACAAATTTTAGTGTGCTTGGTGCAGTCAACTTTGACAATACGAATTGGTCTTTCTGCACTACTGAAGTCTTCATCTGCTAATTGATCCCAGACCGGAGCAAGTCTTTTGCAATGTCCACACCATGGAGCATAAAACTTTACGAATGTCAAACCAGTGTCAATAACATCTTGAAAGATGTCGCTGTCAAGTTCCAAAGCTCCAGACGGTGGTGGCGCCTTTACAGAAAATAAATTAATACTTTTTTGTCAGACTGAATACCGGATATCAATTAATTCTTCATTAGGAATAATTTGGAATAGTTCCATTTAAAATGTCACTTTAAGCAATTTAATGGGCGCTCCAGAAGTATGTGTACCAAGGTGGAGGTCAAGTTGTGTGAAGGGACTGATTACTGTGGCCGGGGGGTGTTAATCACCTGGCTAACACAGGAACTCGTAATAGAACTAAGATAAGGAAAATCGGAATCAAATTATGGTCTAAACCTAACCTTGAACACATACTTCGGGACTCAATCTTCGTTTGAGTTATGTATAGCATTGAAAAATTAAAACTTTCATAAATTTATTATGCGGATTCCTATGTCACAGAATAGATTAGAATGATATTTTTACGAAGAACCGTATTAAAATACCACCAACGCAAGTGAAAAGATGTGAATCAAGGTGCCACTGGAGTTTGAGGCCTTAATATTTGTGGCAATTCTGGATCCAGTTACACCTATTACGATTTGTGTGGCTTCCCATCTCTGTTTCTAACTAAGCAGAAAAGTGATCACAAAAACTCACCTCTCCTTCATCCTGATCCTCCTCTTCCTGTTGTTCCATTGCCATCATTTTAACGGTAAACTCTTTCAAAGACTCAATGTCTCGGCCGCCCTTGGAATTTTTGATCAAATAAATATCAAGAAAAAAGTCCTCTTACTGAGGGGGAGTATAAAAACACAATCCTATCAACAAATAAGCATCCCCTACTGGCTAATAACTCTGATGTTTTATGAAAATAGGAGTGCATTACCAAAAAGAATTGAACTTAAAGAATTGAAAAAGGTGGTTTTGTTGAGCTGAAGCTTTTATATCAAAAGTTTATGATAATGCAATGGGATGTTAGGCGAGCAAGAGTTTGGAATAGACTGATTTTTACCCGATGCATAACTTCTATCAGTTCATCGTACAATCCACAGTGATTCCAAACTTGAATAGCAATATACTACATAAGTCAGAATATTTTTATCTGCGCATAATATTCTAGAAAAATACCACTCATCGCAAACAATGTATGGTCTTCCAACTTCAAATTCATTTTTTCAAGAAGTCAGTGCAAATGAATGTGCTGTAGTTGGGTCTTGTGGCTATAAAGCCCTACATTATTCCATATATTACATTGTTACGACTTAAACATTGTAATAACAATGTTGACATTAGCTGCATAACGAGTAGTAGTAGTTCACCTATTGTCAGATTGAATAAAGGCCTAATTTTTTATTCATTCAAGCTGTATATATTGTTGAAATCACAGTTTTAAGATTTTTATTCTATCCATACCCCCCGCACATTAGTGACTGACTTCTTGTACAGAGTCTATTTCATAGCAAATGTGTTAAATTCCTTATAAACACACAAATAAAATATATTCTTTGGTTGATATACCTTAACTATTTTGAATTAGTATTTTTCTTTTTCTTTATAATATTGTCATGCAAACTTTTATAATTCATATCTTACTGCTGATCCTTCCTTCTCTTCACCATTTCGAAAATATTTCAAAGTTGGGTAACCACGAACTCCTTTTGATTGGCAAACTGATTTATGTTGGGTACAATCGACCTAAAATAATAAAATCAGTGATGACAAAAATTCAGTTTCAGTCAAAATACTGAATTTCTATGACATCACCATACTATCTGAATGCTTTTTGACCAGGGATACAAAATTGTCAACAATATAGTAAAACTTGATTTTAGTTAAATTGAAAAATGTAATTTTTCAGTTATCAATTGACGTCTATATCAAGTATAGGCTCATTTACGTCAACCAAAACGCCTATTTTTCCAGTCCTCCATCTCTAGAAATACGGATTGCAAATCTGGATATGTTTACTAAATATAAAATATATGTTGATTCAAGTGGCGATTCTACAAATGCACAGAAAGAGGATACTCACATTAACGAGAATGAATATAATAAGAAATTGAGATACGGGAGACAATATGAAAAAAAAGTGATTAAAAATTCAAATTCAAATATTTTAGTATCAAAACTGCAGCATGGTGTGACAGGATTGAGTGAACATTCCTAAAATTAAAAAAAAAAAAAACTCCTTCACATACATATCTGGTATAGTTCTACATACCCTTCCGATTTTAATCTTTTCATGACCTTCATATGACTTTGCAAGTTCCTTCCAAGCAGGTTCCATTCTTTTGCAATGACCACACCATGGAGCAAAAAATTTGATGAAGAAATCACCCTGAGATGTAAGAGTTTCGAAGTTTGCTTCAGTCAGTTCATACAGTCCTTCAGTAACAACATCTGCTTCTTCCTTTTGCTATAAATATAGACAACAGTAAGAAAATTTCGAACAAATTTAAAAAATAAAAACATAGATACTGTTTTTTGAAAGACAATTTAATATAAACATATATCCTTTCATATAAATATTCTAATACATGCCTCTTCATCAACTTCTTCCTCTTGTTCCTGCTGAACATCTTTCTGTTGAGCTTCTGACATTTCCGTCGTAAACTTATTTAAAGATTCAAAGTCCCGGCCACCCTGTTGAAAAGAACAATAGTGACGTTCGTAATTTGAATAAAAGTCATCAGACTTTTACACAAAAACTAGTAAACTAGTAAAAAGGGTTGGGCATTTTGAAATGAATAGTAAATTATTCGAATCAGTTTAGATGGAGACTTCAAATTGCTGCCACTTTGTTTCGAGGTGAGTCACTCAATTTTTTGTGAATCCATATTTTTAAATTGCATTTCTGACATATAACATGACATGAGTCTATTCTTCCCAGTGAGTTGTAGATGAAACATTTTTCTTACACTCAGTGAACTGTCTGGGTGATAGATTCAGTTTTCAAGAATTTATGTGTCTGGAAGACCAATTACAATAAAAAAGTCACATACAATTAGACATCTTTCAAACAAGTATCAGAAATTCAATTCGAAATAAATATTCGATTTGACTTTGAATTGTCAAGTATTCGAAAATACCAAGCCCTGGTAGTAAATGTTTAGTATAGAACATAAGTTTCGACTGAGAAGAGTCACATATTTTGAGCATTACAGTAACTGCCTACTTTGGATCTGCTTTATTTCTCGTTATGGATATTTTCATCATATGGTAATAATAATAATTGCTCTAGGATTTTTCTATTCTTTTTTGGTTTCTATATACTACTTCTGACTTTCAAAAAGACTTAATTATTTAATTCAGACTTTATGTTTTGCTTGGATTACTATCAACAGAAGGGTTCTATTGATAGGCAATGAACCATTTTAGAGTTCACTGTAAGTATTATTTCACCAAATTTCCTTTCATTTCACAGGGAATACCGACTAAAATCAAGTCTCATATCTAATAGTGTTTAGTATTATAAAGAGAACTCCAAATAAAATACATCTTACCGGTGATCCATCCATCTCTTTACCGTTGCGAAAATATTTCAAAGTAGGATAACCACGAACACCTTTTGATTGACAAACTGCTTGATTTTTTGTACAATCGACCTAGGAAATTACAAACAAAATTTTGAATAAGATTACCGTCTGTCAATGCTAATTCCATACAAAGAACTTATTATTTAACGCAACACACCCTTCCGATTTTGACCTTTTCATGACCTTCATAAGACTTTGCAAGTTCCTTCCAAGCTGGTTCCATTCTTTTGCAATGACCACACCAGGGAGCAAAAAATTTGATAAAGAAATCACCCTGAGATGTAAGAGTTTCAAAGTTTGCTTCAGTCAATTCATACAGTCCTTCAGTAACATCCAAAGCGTCTTCTTCTTTCTGCTACAAGTTGGAAAATACAGAAAACAATGTAATAATCAAGATGCAAGACATTATATGCAAAAAAAGTAAAAACTTCACACACAAAATAAAAATCCTGAATTTCAACAGCTTTAAGCTATTGTTTTTTCATCTTTAATTTGTGTAAATTAATTTCTTTACCTTCTGAGCATTACTTTGCATTGTTCAAATTCTAATAAAACAACATCGAACAGTCTATTGTTTTTCACATTCCACAACAATCACTTTCACATTTTCAGTAGTTAAAAAAGAAGGTGTCTCCTAGAAGCTGTAACTTTTATAGCCTACTTTTCCTTTGCATACAGTGAAGCCAATGTTTCATAGTCAATTTTGTGGGAAAAATGCCAGCCCGTAGTTTTATTACATTATATATTGACAATCCACGGTCAACAAACACGGTATAGGCCAATGGCATTGTATTCATATATTTCTGCATTGTCATCTTATTTCTTATATAACGAATGCCTCAATAAGAAGTCATCTCCAAGCGAACTGTTGATTCAATTATATCCATTATAAAAATAACATGGTCACTGGTCTGAAATAAATAAAATTACTTGAATGAAAATATCAACTTACTTGAACAACTTCTTTTTGTTCCTCCTCACCAGTTTTTTCGACCTTTTGATCACTTGTCATTTTAACAACATATTCCTCGAAATCTTCCAGAGATCTTCCACCCTGAAAAAGAACAAGTATACCACATTACCCAAGTAATCTGGTAAATTTTAATTGCATTCAATTTCATACTTGTCTTAAATGACTGATATTGGCAAACCATAAAGTTTCATAGTGGTACCATTGTTTGTTATAAGGTCAGTTCTCAATATATTTGAACAGAGTTATATCTTATTGTAATCATTGCTTAATCAAGTAAACTACTTATGGTATTACTATTTATGAATAGAGAATATCCTTTGCAATTCAAAAAACTTGAAGAATTTATGAACAGTCCGATTCTAGGAAATTATATAGGCCATGGTATTTTAGACAAAAGAGGGTGCTCCCGAAGTATGCGAACCAAGATGACGGACATCGGAACGTAACATGAGTAACAGGTTAGGGTTAGGCGATAATTTTTTTCCAATTTTCCTTATTTTAGTCCTATTATCAGTTCGAAGACTAGCCAAGAGCCTCCCGTGGTATTTATACCTAAAATTATGGCCTAACCCTAACCTAGTACACATATTACATTCCGATGTCCGCCATCTTGGTTCGCATACTTCGGGAGCCCCCAAAAGAGATTCTTGGAAAAATTACCAATTTCCTAAAAATCCATCTACATAATGCTTCAATGGAGTAATTTTTAATTTCTTAATAATTCATCTATATAATGCTTCATTCAAATACTAGGAACCTGGTATGCGGAAATAAACCAACTCACAATGAACGTATATCCTGTTCATTTCAGTTTAATGACTAAGAACAATAGAAATTGATGTATAGAGATATTACAGGAAGTTCCTGTATATAAATATTCATCATTATTAAATCATGTCATCACAACAATTCCAATTACTAAACTATAGAATACCTGGTATTTTTCGACTTCCTCTCCGTTTTTAAACCATATAAGAGTAGGGTATCCTCGTACACCTTTTGATCCACATATCTTTTGGTTCTTTGTGCAATCAACCTGAAATAGTGGGATTCATGCGAGTTAGATTGTAGAATTAGCTTTGTTACTTTCAACTATACATGCAACACAAATTTATACCAAGAATGAATTAATAATCTACTATTCTGTGGATATTTCAAATTAATATTTTTGAACATGAAATATTAAATTAGGGCATGTTAGCAAAAAACTTATCATTCAATAAGTTTGAATTAGGTAATGCAGGAATACTGAATTCAACAATGATTTGATCCATTTTCTATATACCACAGTTTTTTTTTATGAAATAAATATCTTTCGTTCTTATTGCAATATTTCAATTTCACACAATGCCATTTTTTCAAACAAAATTATTTTCAGGTAATATTAAAATCATGAATGCCTAAAATGTAATTGTAATATAATTAAGTTTTGATTTGAATCAGACATTTAATTTCTTTTAGACACCCCTGCAACTTTTTATTGGCCCTGTTCTTCTATAAAATGTTGAATGATAATGCTACTGTAGTGGGTCCGACTCCCGTCATACCACGCACATCCGTACCTCATTTAAAAAGCAAATGACCTGTTTTGTTATATTTTCAACACTACCAGCAATTTAAAATAGGAAATAATAATGTTTCAAATAGGAAAGCACGAATTTATTGCAAAAATAGAAATAATGAATCATACAAACCCTGCTAATTTTGACAGCATCATCATTATATTTAGCTGCAAGTGCTTTCCAAGCCGGCTCCATCCTTTGACAATGACCACACCAAGGTGCAAAAAATTTGATGAAATGATTCCCTTCAGATATGTGATCATTAAATGTGGCATCTGTGATCTCATATAACCCCTCGTTGACTTCAATATTTTCTTTTTCCTCTTTTTTGTCCTGTTCAAGGCCTAGAGTAGTTGCAATGAATTCCTTGAGAGCATCAAGATCCCTTGCTCCCTTGTACCTCGCCGATTCTTTGTCAGGCTGGAATATTTTCAGACTGTAAAATAATAGAGATAATATTTACTCTGAGAGTGAGATAAACCCCTTTACATGATGAAAATGATACCAGGGTCCAGGGTGCTATCGAAAATAAGAGAAAAATATTATTTTCAAAACTCAAAGGTAGCATGCAGTTATAGCACTGAAAATTTGCATACACAATCAGACATCTTACTGCTAGAGCAGTGGTTACCAACCTTTTATGGCTCGTGGCCCTCTTCTTGGGCTTTTAGCACTCAGTTTATCATTTCGGTGGTATTTATAGTGTTATTTTGATTTGTAGATCTCAAATCCCAATATATTCAAACAATTTATGCTGAACAGAGGGAAAAACACTCTGTGGAATAAACTTATCAAGCAATGAAACTAGGAAGAATGGGAAAAGTAAAATCAGTTTTATGCCTAGCATGGTCCCCGGTACCGCTGTGCTATAGACTGAAAACTGTAATAAAAGATGAGCAAGAAATAAATATTATACATTGTTGATTGTTATACTATAAATTTTCCAAACCAAACTATTTCAAACTAAAATTTGCTTTAAACTAAATAATGAAATTATATTGATTAAAGCAAAGGTTATAAAAGCAAATTAATATTTGCTTACGTGGGGTAGCCGGTAACACCATTGTCAGAACAAAGTTTCGTGCTAACTGTGCAATCGACCTAAAAAAAATCAAATTGTATTATAAACTAGGTGACTAAGCTGATAACTCGAAACACAAGATGGTTAATGAGATTCATTAGTTTTGGCATACCAAGGTATGAGTGTGCATGAGTTTACTCCATTCTAAAGTCATATTCAATAATTTATGATCCATACTCCTGCTTATACAAATCAATGATAACTCTAATTAAAATCATTTAACAATTTTTTTTGAATGATGTGAAGTCAAATCTACCATTCCATACCCTAGTAATTCTATTTCTGAAATTTTATTTGCAGAGAGGTTTTCAAAAAACTGTAATATACATAACATCTCACTGTAATTGTCACTATAGATCAAGTTATTATCATAATCTTTACATACCATCTGTACTTATGCAAATACAGTGCTATCAAAAATAGCACAACATGAGACTGTGAGATACTAGGAGTATCGTTGCCATGAATAAGAGACTTGAATAATTTGAAAAAAATAAAATTTCACCTTAGCAATTGTAATGATATCTGTTTTTTCTTTATTGTACAACTCTGTCAATTTTTCCCATGTTGGCTTCAAAGATTTGCAGTGACCACACCTGAATACAGGAATAGCAAAACAGATTTAAAATGAAGTTATTTGAGGAGCTTTAAAAACAATAATATCTGAATACAGAAATCTGTATGTAATATGTATAATATAGATTTATTTATGGATATATATATAGTATGACCCTTACCCTAATTATACCCAAATGTCTCATGTATTTGTATAGGCAATCATTATTTTTAAACAATAAATCCCAATGCAAATAAAAATCACAACTTAAACAGTCTTGTAGTTGGCAAAGCCCAGTGTTGCTATATGATGCATTTCAATGACACTACAACCATGATTTGATTTCCAGAATGAGACAAATAAAAGACAAAACTTTAAGCATACCTTACAAACATGACAAATGGAAACATGAAAAAAATACTGTACCATGGAGCAAAAAACATAATGAAATGAGGTTCTGATTCCACAGTTTGCTGAAAATCAACTTCGTTGTAAAGAAATGGATCTTCTTCATCATCTGAATCAGACTCCGATAATATTATCGGCAGCAATGACAACAAAACGATAAGTGCAAAACAAAAGGAAGACTTCATATTTTGACAGTGTTCTAATGATGCAGATTGTCTACACTACTATGATTTTTATACAATATTCAACTAAACTGTTCAATGATATGAAAAGTAAACTTATTACTGTAGGTTCAGTTATTTCGAACCTACAAAATCTGAAAATTAAAACTCTTCGAAAGGTGCGTTATTCACAGCAGCACCTTACAGTTGCCTAATAAAGTAATAGCTTTCCACCTGATAACTCACTGCTTTCCTACGATCATTTATATAGAAGCGTATAGAAACGCTTCCATTATACGTGTAAAGACGCTCGACGTAGCGTATGTAATACCTGGATACGTGGTCCTCAAACGCACCGCCGATCCTACGCTTCGGTAGCTCGCCGACTGTTTTACGCAACGACTAACAAATGCACTCGACGGTCCTACGGTATTCCACTACCCTTCATCAAGCACGATATTATGAAATCGAGAGAGGATTGTGAGAGAAAGAGGAAGTGGGGTGCTGCTTACATCCCAGAGCTGCTAACATCCCAATTTTGTGATCGATAATGAGTAAATTATGACTTTTCAAGTTTGTATACAAGTAGGCCTAAGGAATAAACTAAAAAGACCAACTCTTTTCCCTTAACTATGGCCAGTGTTACCATCTAACCCAGAGCCGAAAATAAGCATGGATATCAAAAGGTTATTTATGGGGGTACTAAACAACGGTAAAAACGCGGAATAAAAATGAGAAAGAAGTCATACACGAGTCTCTTCCGCACTCCCGATCTTTTATCCACTCAAGTTTTTTCATTCGAAGTCGCTTCGAACAAGATTTCATGCGGTCCCGAAATCGCCAAAAGCCATGGAAAGGCACGAAATCACAGCCACGCGCAATCTCCAAAGTCTTCATACTTTGGTTTCCCGCAATGCTTCTTGCAAAATTCTTGTGTTTTGTGGTAGTATTGGGCGCGCTAATTGCTGTTTTCCCCATGGCTTCTAGGTTGATATCACGGTCACAATAACAGCAGTGAGCATAGCTATTAGCCTTTCGACTTTGTTTGACATTAAGAAATTTCTTTTCCTATTCGAAACGGAACTCGTGCTTACGCTTGTCTACTCATTGTCTAAATTATGGTTTGTCCTTGAAAACAGTATCACTAAAAAGTGGAATCATTTATTGTAACTGTGTCACAGTTTGCCTGGTAGTACCGCAAACAGAAAATGTTCGCTCTGAGAGTGAACAAGTGCGAGACATGAGGTCACGTCGAACGTGGATAATTGTTACGTCACAATAATAACGCAGGAAAGCGTGATTACGCATCATTGTCCTCTTTTCCACGGTAGCCTTGTACGCATGAAGACATGAAACAGTCATCTGTGTTTCTAAGACAAAATAAGCACTTTTCTTTAAAAAAAAGCACTTTTCTTTAAAAATAAGCACTTTTCTTTAAAATAAGCACATGTTACTTTATAAGACGCAAGCTATGAATAAGCACGATATGGTAACCATGCCCATGGCTGATTGACCTCTGAATGCCTGCCCTAAAGAATCACTCATGTTGGCTAAACTCGATTTAGCAGATAAATAAACTGCAACTCACGAAATTGAAGCAAGTAGCATCTATCTTATGTGTTACGTAACAATAGAGGCTGCTACACGTAACAGAAAACGACACAGAAAGGTAAAAGCAAATTTATTGATTCATATACACAGCAATAAAAATACGAAACGATAAAACATTTATAAATAATACAATATGTAAAATATTCAATCATATTTCAGTTATGTTCAACACAATTCAATTCTGTCCAACACAATTTTCGCGACACACTCCGAAACTCGCCGCGGCGCGCGCGTGCCGCTGGCATAATTAATACCGCTGGCATAATTAATCAACAGAAATGGACTGAGAAGAATTATAATATGTTTCATGTATAATAATGAAGTCTGACTGATTAAACAACGTTGGTTTGTTGTTAGATTTGAATAACATAACTCAGGGATTGCTCTTTCTTTCCTTTCTCTTTTATGTCAAATATATATATGTATATATATACATATTGTTTTTGAGCAAAGATACTGCTATCACGTTTAGTCGATTGGGTCGTTTCAAACAATGTAGATGAGATGGAACAGGTATAAGATTACAATATGATAATTTTTATATTTCACAAATGACACCGTTATATAGCATCGATGGTTCGACGTTGTAAATTCCGTGAGCTTCGTCATTGGGATTTTCTCTCGCAAGGAAAGCTATATTTGTTCGGGATGCATCTAAATAGGGATACCCTGGATACCATATATCGCTTGCTATGGGTATATTTTCACCAGATGTTGAGACCAATTGACCATCCTGTTAGAATACAATATATAGAACATTATAGGCCTTTAAAATAGACACGAGGTTTAGTTGACGCTGTGGTCAACGTCGTATTTTTTAAGCTTTCCGGATTCGAATTTTTGAACTCCTCGAATCGGGCGTCGAATTTTGCATTTTTTTTTACCGATTTGGATGTTATTCACCGATTTTCCATGTTTTGACTCCACGGTTGTCAAATCGCTCGAGTTCGAATCCCACATCATTATACTGGAGAGTATTGTTGTACTGCTATGAAATTATTTAAACATCTTGATTACATTTCATTGTTTTATTTATACAAGTGTCGGTATATTTCTGAATAAAATCAGTTTTTCAATGGATCTTTATGAAAATTTTCTCCAAGCAAGGATACGCGCAACTAACGAAATGATAAAAAATACTGAAGACATGAAGAATTATCGCATTACGTGCCGATAAATTACGATTGCCGATTAATAAATTTGAATAATAAATTAAATTACGTGTTGGAAGCAAAATGGTAATTTCACGATATCAAATTACGGAAATACAGCCTGTTGTCACTTTCAATAAAAATGCAGTGATGTCATTAAATCACTTTGATTTTTATATTTTCCTTTCAATATATATGTATATATTTGGACTGTGAAGGTAAAATTTAGTATTTGCTGTTGTCGGAATCGTATTTTCTTTTACAGCTCAGAATTTAGCGTTGGCAAACGTTCAAATTCAAATTCGGAAATTTAAGGGAACACGACTCCAGTTATGAAAAAGATACTCCGACTTTACAGACCGTGGATTATAACCCAACACTAACCTGATATCTCACACTTGTCCAGACAGCAACTGGCAAATCATCGCTATACATCGAACGTATACGAGATAGCAACATGTTATAATGACTGAAGTCGTAAATGTCGGCAACGGTGCCGTAGTTATAATTTTTGCATAGAGATCGGGCATCAGTAAAAGTGATGTTCACTACAGAATATACTAGCATTCGGAAACATTTTGAATTGTATGTGACGTCGCAGGTACCTGGAAGAGAATCAAACTTTCAAAACTCAATCTTGATATCGCAGGTGAAACAAAAGGGCGTTGCACAAATATAAAGAAACGGAGACCAAAACGACGTCATACGAATATGCAATATGTCACAGTGAGTAGACTGGGCCTACCCGTACCAGTATTATCGTGTATTGAATGTAGGTTGATTTTAAATAAAAGTTTACTGAAATGTCGAATATTTTCGCGCACGAATCGAATCAGAAACAGATATAGAGCGAAATCACGGATTATCGTCCATTATTGAGCTTTGAATGACCGCGCCTGCTTTATTTAACAAAAAGGAACAGGTAGTGACTAGCTGAAGCAAGATTGAGAAAGTTTAATTTGAGGTTAGTAGGTAAAATACAAATACTTTCAACTCGTTGCTTCTTTTCAAAGTTCCTCTTGATCATTCTGACAATTTCTATGAAAAATAAAATTGTAGTTTGAACTGTTTTATGCACGCTTGATCGAAAAAAGGTTTCGAGGCTTTTATGTAGTAGTTGCAAGATATCATACAAATATCCTTTCTTTATGGGGAGGGAGGACTAAAAAGCTCTGACGACGGAAGAGGTCATGTAAATGGCGATTGTCGCCGTATATCCAACCCTTTGGACTCAGATATAATGACATCAACTGACGAAGATATGAGGTGTAAATTTCATGCCTGTAGCCTGGAATAGGATGTAAAACAGTAAAAACGTTTCATTTCACCAACATAGCAGCTGTTTGCATATCAGTTATGCCTTCCACATGGGTGGGAAATGCCTCATAAAAATACCAATCTTTAATTTCAGCCGAAAAAAACATTAAACAGTCAAGCTAAAGAATAATAAATATATTTAGACATGATTTCGTGACTTCGTGGGCCAGAGGTGAAGAATGAATAGAACTTCAATTGTCCGGTAGCGCTTCCGGTTTATTCGGTATTAAAAAAATGTTCATTTTATCTTGATATAATTGTTTTTAAGTTGTCCCTATTACTCACCAGATGCGTCTACATCTTTCTGTAAAATATAAGTGAAATTCTGATAAACGTAATTTAAGTGCGACAGGGGAATAAATCAAATGATTATATCCCCAAGCATAGACTTTCTCGTTCTTTCGCAAAAACGACGAATCAACAACAAGTTAAAGAACAAATAAAATTCGTAATCAGACAATCGAACACTTTTTTAATCAGACAGACATTCAAGCATGACTGTAAAACATTCACTCGCTTTCGTGATTCAAAGTTTCATTTGCCCGGTTTAGTTATTTCCCCAAAATATAGATATAAATCAAACAACTTGGCGGTCCAAACTTAAATAATAATAAAGTGTAGCAAGGAACATCCATTGGTTAATGTAACTTCAAGTTTTGAAGTATTCGTCAGTGGTTCACTCAGAAGAAGGCTCTTACTAAGCATTCATCGATACACAAGAAGTAACTAAAGTTCGTAAAAGTAGTTTGTCAGCAAACTGGTTCGGAACGACTGTCTTAAACAGAGCATGAAAAAACATTAATATTCATATTTTACCTGGCAATCTCCAGTAGAGACGAATTTACCTTTCACAATCTTGGTAACACAGACTCCATCTATATATAAAATATTAAAAGAAAAGTGACATCATTATTTTCTGACGTGTTTCATAGCTTTCTATATACATAGAGATAGCATTTTTGGATAACAAGTTGGATTTTTTTAAATCGAATTGATGTTTCGAATCATAACAGCTTGTAATATTATTTCATCAAATTTCTATTCAATGTATACGCAAAATCTATTTAATATGAAACAAGCGGGCAATGCTTAAATAAATGGACATGCATACCATCTGGTTGTTGCGCATCGGTACTAATACATTCAGGCCTTCCAGTATCATTTAGGCTGAAATGCTCGTTGAACATGACCGTAGGTGGCAAGCGCGTTGGCAAAAGTGTTTTTTTCTTCTGTTAAAATGAAACAGGAAAAATTTGGGGGGAAATATTGGGACCGATTTGAAATTCGAAAAAAAAAGTATTGAGCTTCTAGCGACTTATTTGTAGCGTACCTATTTGAAATCGACTGGTCTATCAGCTGCGGAAAAACAATTTGCAAAAATTTATCCAATTACGACAACGATGTACCTTACATTTTACGCTGGTTATGTCGTTTGTGGAAATTGTTTTGCGCGAAGCGGTCGCATGAAACACAAGATCATTGCGTCCCGGTATTTCACACGCCATTACACTTTACATATATCTATATACTTTGTACGATGAATTTCTTACCCGTTAATTTCTCGGCAAATATTCCACAAACGAAGAACAAAAGGCAGATTGTTTTCAAGATAGACATACTTTAAAACTGTCAATGTTAGATATTGAATTCAGCTGACCAGATTTGTAAAACAACGAGAAAAAATACCAATGATGGTGCTGTTCAATTATATACAGTAATGGGTTAAATTAAAAAATATAAAAATGTGATAGCTCTTTAAAATACATTTCCATCTCGGGCAACTGAAACCAAACACTATTGGTCCAGAAAAAAACAGCATCTTCATGAACACCATTGTGGTTATTGCTTTGAACTTTATTTCATATAGGTTCAGGTCCATATCTTGGTTTCAAACCCGATGGACACCTCCACAAACTGAGTATATATATATATTAAATTGTGTGATAATTGCCTAGTAATTTGCATTTTGTCGTAATTTCAAAAAGATTCCTTTCTGTGTAAATAGATATACGCTATCGGTTGAAAAAAGGCGTAGGACATCATATATATATTAGCATTTTGTTGGGTAAACCCGAAGTATGTGAACCAAGATGGCGGACACCTGAACGTAGTATGTGTATCAGGTTAGGCCATAATTCCAGGTACAAATACTACGGGAGTCACTTGGCTATTGCCCTTACTCGTATTAGAACTAAATAGGGGAGACTGAAATAAAATTATGGCCTAACCCTAACCTGGTACACATACTACGTTCCGGTATTCGCCATCTTTGTTCACTTACTTCTGGAGTACGTTATGTTGTGCCACACTTTCCTGTTTACACTTTCCTTCATAATTTCCCCCTCACTAGACTAAAGCTTATTTTGTATGGATTCATTTGCGACAATGGTAATGTCAGCTGTCTGTCTTATCATATAATGTCCAGAATTAGAAATAAAAAGTCTCGAGTGAGCGCGTGATTTACATACCGATCAATTAGATACCTGACTTAATATAAGACGTTATAATTGTACCGTTTGCTTAGTCGTGTAATGAAAGTTTAGTTTTTTACAGTCGGAAGTTTCCGTTTTTTGTTTAAAGAAAAATAAAAGAAGATTTATACTATGCCGACCTTGATTTACTGCGCAATATATAGTTATTAGATTGAAACATTCTCTTGTCCCATTTAAGTGAAAAAGAAGTAATCAAATTTGAGCATACAAAGCAGAAATTATGCCACTTGCATGAGATGAAAATTATACTGGCACGACTTCATTGATCGATTTTCAATAAAATCTCGTCCATTCATATTTCGAGCAAACCATATTCTCTAACCCGGTGATTTGATTTAAAATATATTGCGGCATGTATAACCTTTAGTTATGCTTGGATTATTAAGTCATTAACAACATGAATGTAGACTGCAGTCAAGACTTTATGTTTTTCCCCACCACAAGTCTCTGCAAGTACATCTGTACAATAGTAGAAATTTTGAAGGTTTATTTTTTTTTATATTCCAGTAATTTGAAATAACGTTAAGTAAGTTAATGAACTTTCCTTTTTCCGCCCAGCTTTATTTTTCCAAACAAAATAGACGTCCGGCTCATGTCAACCCTCATCTGCAAACATCTCTATCGCAAAGCTAGATATATAAAAGTTGAATCGAGCTATTTAGTCGTTATCAACTATTCTCTATGATTATTTTCCGACTTCCAATTGAGTGCTCAATATATTATTTTAAGGAAACTCATTAAAACGCACAAATGCCAACAATAATGCAGTGATAGTTGAATCACTTCCTTATTATACAGTATATATATATATATTTTATGCGATACCACGCCTACTGTATGCGCAAGAAGGACTTTTTATACACGTTTTCCACCCACGATTCGATATGTTGTATTTAGTCATTCTGAAGGAAAAAAACATTGACAATAAAACAAAGATTTCCAAATACTATTCCATAAATGAATATATTTTATTATATTATATATCATACAAATCAAGAAAACTCGAAATAAAAATTGTTAGACTTCATATATATAAACAAACACATGGAATACTTAGAATTTATTACTCCTCATTTAATGAAATAAGTCGATATCAAATTTACTGGTAACAATGCGTTAGGGAAACTAACGATCGTTTTCACGCATCTGCTATCCAACTATTGAGTATTTAGCTTTTAGAAGTTTTTGAAACTGAAAACTAAGAAGTCTTCTTCACATACAAGAACAATGATACAACGACAATACAAAAACGACCACCGTTTGATTAATTACATGACCCGTGGTTATAGCCAAGGCGTTTTTATAAGCGCAACTGTAGAACATATTGATAGCGATTGCAACCATTGTAACTGTATACCTTCTTTCACATTCGATTTTAAGAGTGTCAGGTTCAGAAAATTAATTGAAAAAAGATAAATAATACAAGTTCTCGAGAAATAACGATTTTGCAGTTGGGATTAAAAAGGTACATTTTGCTAGATGAAATTCTCCTTCATTAGATCCATGATGGTGATTTCATGAATTATTAATGAGAGTTTGGCGAAGGATTTGAACTTGATATATAGGTTGCAACCAGTGATGAACTGGAAAAATCGTAACAACCCGAACGCATCTAATTCGCAAAAATGTAATATATTTACAACACGACGCGGACGTTTACAAAAAGTTTTGTCAGGCCTAAGATAGAGACGAAGAACTACAATGAAATATGAAGAAATTATCTGAACTATGTATGTGTAAAATTACAATAATATTCATAGCGATTCAAAACAAATGTCATTATTAAAAGGTATGAGATGAATTCCCATGAGGTCAAAGGTCGGAGAAATATCTATTACACGTTACTGATGTACTAATATAAAATCATTTGCGTGATGTGATGTAAAAAGAATTACGAATTATGGTATAACAAAACATAAATTAACTAGATTCACCAGAGAAATTAGACTTTTTGTACAATAATTTTATTTCACCAACAGGAACGCAAATGCAATAAAATGTCCAACAAACGGAACGCCGGAACGCTCTAGCTCACCACTGGTTGCAACCATTCCGTTGGCAAACTATTTCCCAAGAGTGAATATGCATGCAACTCTGTGTCTAAAAGAAAGACAGAGTACGAAGAATAAGAGTACGGGCCATCCGGATACTTAACCCGAACACAATAGAAAATTGTCTCTAGCTTCTGTTTGTGTATGGTTACATACGAAAGTCTAGGACAATTTGCACGAAAGTTATGTATATACCAAATAACATATCGGCGTTGGAGACAGACTTCTATCCGCTGCGCAAAACCACCGGGACATAAGTGTCCCGCTTTTAGCGTCTTGTGCCGCCAAGTCAGCCGAAAATCCCGCAAAAGTTTTGCATTAATAGTAAATTGCATGTGGTCTCTTTTGTCGTGTATTAACACCTCACTGTGGGTCACACAGGAAAAATGTCAATGAAATTGAATTGAAAAAGGGAAGCACTGCAATAAATGTTTGTTGTACATCAGCTGTTACGATAGTTTTTTTTAAATAAACTGTTTTTGTTAATAGTTTCATATTGAACCTTCAGCCCGGTGAGTAAGTCTATTATCTGGAACCGGTCCACTCAGCAAAGTAATTGCCCACCCCTGTACTGATGATTGCAGTAATCAAAAATTAGTCTCGGAAAGGCTGCAATGGACTATGCTAAAATTAGCTATCAGTACCTGTTAACTGCATTCTAATTTTGGAAAAAATTTCGTCTAATATTAAAGAAAACTCACTTGCAACATTCAGTAAGCGATTAAAAATTCATCTACTTGATGGCTATAGATAGATGAAAAAAAGACTAGGTTTATTTCCTTACCTATTCAAGTTATATTATAATTGTATTGCTGCTATGTCCATGCTCTATAATTTTTGCCCAAATCTCAAATAACTTTAATAACAACTTCTCTCGTATAATAACAAATTCTGCAACTAGTGCCCAATTAGAAAAACAGCCCTCTAACATTCAAATTATAAGAAGAATTGCTTACTGGTTGGAAAAAAAGAAACTTGATTGATTGATTGCATTTCGTTGTTTATTTTAATAAAAATGATGGTTTTGATCGTGGAATTCAGTTTGTGAGAGTCAACTCTCCAAAACACTCTTAAAATAAGCGTTAAAAATTTTGCTATGGTAAACCATGGTTAAGTGTCCCAAATCGTATTATAAAAGGTTACTTTTTATTTTTTATTATGTTTGCAATCCTTCGCTATATTCACCAATGTTACATATCGTGTGTTGTACTTAGTTGCTCTAAACCAAAATTTCATCTCATATTACATCCATGATATTTCCTAAGCAACTTTAACTCTCTATTTTTATATTTGATTACTATTATTTGATGTTCATATTTAAAGTGTCCCAAATCGTGTTATAAAAGGTTACTGCTTCTACGTTTGCAATCCTTCGCTATATTCACCAATGTTACATATCGTCAGTTGTACTTTGCTGCTCTAAACCAAATCTCATCTTATATTACATCCATGATATTTCCTAAGCAACTTTAACTCTCTATTTTTATATTTGATTACTATTATTAAATGTTCATATTTAACGTGTGCCAAATCATGTTGTAAAATGTTGCATTCTTCATTTTTTATTTCATAGGGCTAATATGCCAAGCTTATATTGCATTCATGATATTTTCTCTGTAAAATGAGTTCATATATTCCTACAATTCGATTATGACTTAAATGTTCGCTATCAACTTGTCCCAAATCGTGTTATAAAATGTTACATTCTTTATTTTATTAAGTGAATATTCCAAGCTAATAGCTCATTTCCATCATTCCTAAATTTGTTAATCAAATCAAAATACTTCTTCATTGAGCTCCCTGTTCAATCTAATTTGCATGAATGGCCTGGACTAATGAATTGTATATGTTCTGTGCAATCACACTGCTATTTAATGTTTATATTCAAAGTGTCCAAAATCATTTTACGTAGGGTTATAAAAAAAAAGCATCCTATATATTCCTATATCAAGTCAACTTTTTTGCCAACTGTGTGTCTTTCATTCACTTGATTTATAATTTATTATCGACTGTATTGATTATATTGAATTTAATATTACTTTATTTATACTAAGTCAACACTATCAAATATTTGCATGAATGGCCTTGTCCAAATAAATGCATTTTGTATACAACAAAAATCTGTATTGTTTCGATGATCCAACCCGTGCTTCTGATTTATATCACTAGTATGTGTATGTTATAATGGAACTCCACCCTTGTTCAAATTCCTGCATGTTCTGTATTAACTTACCTTCACCCATAAGTTTACAAGTTTCCCAAATAAATCGTATCTTATTGGAGTACCTGGGCTCCACTAAGCAGTTTATATTTTGGAAATTCAAATTCAATATGTGGCGAATTTCGGTCAGTTGAAAGAACCGTATACCATAGTTTTCGCTTTGATAATAAAACATGTAAATATTGTATATAGTAAACTAACATGAGAGGTATTAATAGATTGACACCGAACCTGTTATTTATTTTTTATGCTTATTGAATTGGGTGGCAACTGACTCTGATGACCTCCAAATGTCGTATCGTTGCCTCCCAGTCATGTACCGAAAACATTTGTTTATTTGTTATGTATGTATGTATATATTGTTTTCTTGGTTTGACAAAATGAAATAAACTCACTCTCTCTTAACTGAATATTCAGTTAACCATGGGTGAACTATAGGGAGTATTTCAGGGGTCAAGGGTCGGGGAAACGTCCATGAGATGTCGGAATTTTGATAAGTTAATTTTGCACAAATGCCAAAATATTACAATATTGCAAAAAAGTGCCGTACCAGCGTTTGTTGATATCGAAACCCATTACGGTATTAAATCCTATGATATTTTTTTCCATACATACCAGTATTTAGAACTGTAGTAGTGTGTCGGTACTTCTTGACATTCAACATTCCTACTACCGAGGCGAACCTGAGGAAAGAAAGTTCAGAAGTCTGAAGCATACCGGTACGGTACCGGTACAAACAGATAAAGCTATACCTACATACCAGTATACATATATCAGTATATAGCACATTAAAAAAAAGTCTTGGCATAAAGTGCTCTGACCAACAAGTAAAATAAGACTTTTATAACTGGATTAACCCTTTTAACTTCTTTCATTTTTTAAATAGTCAACCCATCATATTTGTCTCGTATTAGATAAAGTAATGAAGTATCTCAGGCTCATCAGAGATTCCACATCGAAAACTCATTTACTGAGTACTGGTATTGGTGCATACTTGGGAAGATCAAGTTCAAGATGTTCGTCACAAAATGCGATCAGTGTCAGTGGTATGTACCCACCGATTCCAACACCATTTGCTGGAGACAAGATGTCAATTTCCTATGATCAATTAGCTTCTAACTTTGATAAATGGAACAAAATGCCATTTGGAGGGTATGTTGTCCAAGGATCCAATGGTGAATACCCATTCTTGTCGACTGAAGAACGTGTAGAACTTATAAAACACGCTAGAGAAATGATTCCGAAGGACAAGCTCTTAATTGCTGGCTCTGGCTGCGAGTCCACAACTGCAACTATTGAAATGACACAGAAAATGGCTGATTGTGGAGCTGATGTTGCTTTGGTGATTACCCCTTTCTATTACAAATCTGGAATGACACAATCTGGACTTTCCAAACATTATGAACAGGTTGCAGATCAGTCACCTATCCCAATACTGATTTATAATGTTACTGTTAATACTGGATTAGATTTGCCATTAAACACCATACTTCGTCTTTCAAACCATAAGAATATTATTGGTATGAAAGATAGCAATGGAGATGTTGCAAAGTTAGCAACATTAATTAATAGAACTAAGGCTGTACCTGGTGGCTTCCAAGTTTTAGCAGGTTCAGCAAGTTTTCTTTTACCTGCTTATTCAATTGGGTGTGTGGGAGGTGTGTGTGCACTGGCCAATATATTAGGTAAAGAAGTATGCAATGTTCAAGAGCTCTTTGAGGCTGGAAAATTACAAGATGCTAAAGTATTGCAACAAAGATTAGTTGCCCCAAATGTAGCTGTTACTCGCGAATATGGTGTTCCGGGACTGAAAGCTGCTTTAGATGCATTTGGATACTATGGTGGCTCAACTCGTCTGCCGCTGGAGGATTTGGATGATCAAAAAAAGTCAGAGGTGCTGAAAATATTTCATGATAGCTGTTTTTATCAAAGGTAATTTGATTTGTCATGTTCACCTTTATAATTGTTATATTCACATTAACTATTGTAATTTTCGATAACTTCTAAATGTTGAATCATCATGTTCTTCAAAGATTTTATATTTTTACATCATATGAAAAACAGTGATAACAAACAATAGTAGCAAATTCTTCTTTCATGTTCAAGCTTGAAACCCCACTGGCATACTTTGGTACACACAAAGTGCAATATTGAATTTAATTGTTATTTGGATTTTAGTGGTCTATATTAGACTACATATATATGTATCAAATTTTAAGTATGTTTTATTTAAAATGATTATTTCATATTTTTATTTGTCACTGGAATTGTCATGTTAATATTATATTGTATCATACTGGTAATGGAATTTTTCAAAGAAAGTCATTGAACATAGATTGAGAGTCTCATAATTTTTCTCACCGAATGTTGAATAGGAACATGATTTATTTGCTTTTATGTTTCATACCACTTGTCTATTCTAATGCTGAATGAGGAAGAGGCTGTTTAAAAGTTATAAATGAGTTATGCAATATGTGTCATGCTCATGATGATGATATTTTATTTGTAAAAAGCACCAGGGTTGACACGACTTGAAGTATGAATTCGTAAGAATTTTCAGTTCACATGTGTATGAGAACTTATTAGTTAAATCAGATATGTTTTTTTTCCATTACTCGAGTTAACAAAATATGGCTGAGAGCAAGTTCCTTTCAAGCTTAATAATTTCAGTACCTCGTCTTCTCTTTCAGTACAGACAGTTCTCCTTTGTAGGCCTACATGCGGATAACAATATATCATTGTAAAATTTAATTGCGATTTTTAACTTTTTGGTGTGTAATATGGTAATTGGAGCTCTTCTAATATCTGCTCTTGGAGTTTATTGTTCAGTGTTCAGCATTGATTTTTTTGAATATTTGTTGAATGCTGAAATGATATCAATAGCAATAATAATGAATGGAATAGGTTTTGATGATACATTTTAAGATAATTACCGTACTCCAATGTATGTCAATGTAATTCCAATGTATGTCACACTCGAACTGCACATGCCCTGCAGCTCTTATTGTGAATTCTGTTGTGCCAAAAGTTGATTATGTACGCATATGCATTCATCACCGTTTCAATTCATAATGAAAATAATTCATTGGCTATTAATTTTATTTGTTTTTCCTGGAGGTGGTATGAAATGCAAATATATATTCAAATACTGCAGAATCGCCTCCTTGCAACACTATTCACAAACTATTGCTTTGATCAATACTAAGGAAAGCGATGGCCAGCATCTCGCTGAATTCAGGCTTCGATTCTCAATGGAGTCGAATGCATTATAAATTCAGACTCATTATGCAGCATGCAATAATCAGAAAAACCGAGACAACCGGCCAGACAGGCCGGGTGAAAGAGAAGGTCGGAGTATATACTCCTTATGCAGCACGGTATAATGATACCGGTAGCTTATAAGAAGGCGAACCGAACAACCTGGCCAGACAGGCCGAATGAAAGAGAAGGTCCGAGTATATCCTCATTATGCAGCATGTTATAATCATACCGGTACCGGTAGTTTATAAGAAGGCGAACCGAACAACCTGGCCAGACAGGCCGAGTGAAAGAGAAGATCGGAGTATATCCTCATTATGCAGCACGGTTTAATGATACCGGTAGTTTATAAAAAGTCGAACCGAACAACCTGGCCAGTTGGGCCTAGTGAGAAGGAAGTATATGAAATAATTAATACGGCCTTAATGTGCATAAACGACATGCAAATTGCAAAAGTTTTACGCGTCACGGGTTCATGAGTCCAACAGTCTCCGAAATTAATGTCAATGGTAAATCAATATGTTTTCCACTACGTGGATAGGTCGTAATCTGTTTGCGGTTGGCAGCTTCCGAGCGGTGTCTCCAAAATGTCGTGTACCACTTGTCCTGCTTGACATTTGGGAGACACCCGCTTCCGAGAAGTCCCGCGTTTTGTGTACGAGTTAGCTCAAATTAAGGTCCCGATTCCCTGCAAAACTGAAAGAAATACCACCGAGGCGAATGGAGCTTTAACTCGTTACTTGAAAGAGACAAGCCATGATTTTATTATGAAGGTTTACAATGCAAATATTTTACCTGCGTTTAGCAAAAGTTTTCCCGTGAATGGTATTCTGATCTGACCGCCGTCGGATGCGAACGCGGTACCAGTATTATGTGATGGAATACTGGAAAAGGAGATGCTTTTTTAGACTAAAACTCTGGAACCGGACAAATATAATTCCTCCAGTGAATCTGATTTCATAACAGTACCGATAACTGGTTGGAGCCGAAAAGACTGAAAGAGTTGTTGCAATTTTGGTGAACCATTGATCCGCCTTAACGGACTAGAAATGTTGGGTTCTCAAGCGAAATACGAACAAACCAGAGCCATTATATAATGGCTCTGAACAAACCAACGACTAACATACCGAACAAACGGTCAGAACAATGAATCCCGTGACATTAGAGTAAACCAATATATAATTCTATTCATTGCAAAGAATGCCCTCGATTCTTCTGAAATCTATGGAAACTTTAATTGTTAGTTTTTATGTGCAACAATTGGACTGCCTTCAAATTTTGGTATTTGCATGTATGCGTGTTCTCAAGTTACCGTAGCTATATTTTACAACACAATGGGATTTTAGGTAATCACTCCCAAGTCCGAGTTCAAAAGGCTCCCCGTCACCAACCGGCGCTCATTGGCACATTTGCGTACCGCGTACCCCTAACTGGGAAGGGATATTTGAAATGACGTCCCGATTTTAAATAAACATTAAGTTGCATCTAAATGAATAGTCAAATTAATAACTGGGATGTATAGTATCAGAGGAATATTTCAAAACTTGAACATTGAAGCTAAAGCTAAAAGTGCAAGGGGAGAGATGGTACTTACTAATCTAGCTTAAATTACAGATCTATATTGCTACATAGTATAACGCAGCGTATGTGGTCGAAGAGGTAACAAGTCGATCAAAATTATTGGTCATCATTCACGTTTCTAGATTTAAAATTGAATAGAATAAGATTCTCATATTTATCCCAGGGAGGAGAGGAAAGTCGATAAGATGACGGCTTAATCACGATATGGCGTAACAGGGCCTTTCATCTGGTTTCGGGGTATGGAGAAATAGTTTTTGAGTAATTTCTTTTAAACGAATGGAGGAGGAATCCGTAACAAATATCGAAACTGCGTCATAAAAGACTATGCCCTTTACGCAATATCGTAAACAAGGCCTAACAACAAACGAGACCCAATAAAAATAAACGACAGAGCAATGCTCAAAAATATATGGAACCAAAATATGTGAAACTCGAAATGAATAATTCTCCGTTCACTGTAGCAATTCATATTGGTATCGGTCTGGTATTACCCAGGTCTAGATTTAGACGATAAAGGCCCGTAGCCATAGGCTATTTCAGTTGTGGCGCCCCTCTTTAACAATGACGTCACAAGATCAAAGAATCTATTATGAGGCATAACAGGTCTTTAATGTTATGTTGATACATTATGGTGCCATGCACAAATTTTTAAATTGCAAAATTTTTGAACAAGCCTTTAAAATAATCTAAAAATAAACAAGAGAGCAATGCTCAAATATATGGACACGCAGAACAATTCCCCAAAAATCATATGCGGTGACCAACGACTAACATACCGGCGGTGACTCACCAGCACCTGTATCGGGGTACCGAGACGGTACAGGGACTGTCATAGATATTTTAGGTCCTGTGACAATTGAAACATCAGTTGAAATATCTCGTGATATGAGTCAATTATGTACCGTATTATCGGATCAGGTACCGAACCACAGTCAAACATTTCACATAAAAACGTTACTAAATAACATGCGTCAACTTAACACCAGCCGAATCGGGGTACAATTTTTGGTACAGTGACTGTCATAGCCGTTTAGGGCTGATGGACAATTCGACTACACGGACAACTCACCAGGCCTAGGGTGGTGTAGCCAGTCTGCGGACAATTTCATTCAAACCGCTATAAAACAAAAACCAATATATCTAACCCGTGCATTGGCGGCATTTATTCTACACGCTAAACCTCGTATTAACTTTCTACGACAAAGGGTTGAAGCTATACAAATCCCAAAGTACGGCACTCGAAAGACGTATTTGCGACCGAACGACCAGTGTGCGACCACGGATTTCAAGCCTTGATCATCGTTTATGCTGCGTCGAGACTATCGCATACGCAGCCATACAGCAATCAAACAGACAAAACACGGTGGTCGCAAATTGGTTGACAATTGTTGGTCTTGTGACAGCGTGAAAACATTGGGCTTCTAATTGCATTTCTGACCGTCATATATTTCAAGAACACGGTTATTTCGAACAAAACTCGTTAAATTATAAACAAAGCACCACATCACAGCAATCAAACAGACGAAAACACGGTGGCCGCAAATTGGTTGACAAAGATATTATCGACGTATCGGAAATGCACACCCCCTATTCCCCCTCCTTCAAATGTAGAAACGCGAAACTTTCAAATATGGTTAAAAGAAACACAACTCTACCCACCTGCTAAGTTTCATCTTTTTATTTCTCATATTTGTATGGATTTTCAAGCTTTTGACAGCTACGAGTTAGTTCAGTGTCACCGCGCTGTGTTACGGTACCAGAACTTCTCTATCTTTAGAAGGTCCTGTCTTGTGACAGCGTGAATTGAAATTGCAAGATGGTCCGTTGGACACAAAATGGCGTCCGATATCCGCAGAACGTTTAGTGACGTCATAGCAAACAAAAACAAATCTTACAGAGCTAACAGAAATATTTGAAATAAATAAAAGTGATAGCCTTCTGGAGAAAAATTTCATCTTCAACCACTGAAAATTTCAAAGCAATTAGTCCAGTAATCAAAGAGAAAAGCGACTTTTTAAAAACGTGTCAAAGAACAAGAACAAGAACAACAACAACAACAACATAATATTGAAACGATCGTTATGTCCACTACGTGTCCAATAACAATTAAGGCCCAAGGCTTGACGCTCCTAGGCTTCAGCCTACTTCTCAACCCCGGTTTTTGTAGAAAAGATCGGTAGTCCATCGTGATGGAATACCACGTGGTGGCGCTATGTACGCAAAATCAACACAATTTGGCGTGAAAAATCGGGACCCATAAGACAGGGATAGTGAATGACTCGCCACAAGTTAATTCATTGAGTTTTTTCGGTGACCCACCAACTCTTAATACAAAAACGTATTAAAATTTCAGTGATACAAAACCGGCTTTGATTCAATCTATCAATAACTAATACACGTTTATGACGGTGACCGTACATTTGAACCCATGTGTATATCCGCGGGTTCAATCTATATGCGAGTGCTAAAACCCATGGGTTAGGGTTAGTATGGGTTCTAATACCCGTAAAACAAAAAAAATTCTATAGGTGCAATAGTATGCAGGTGCAATTGTCGTGGGTTCAAATGTACGTGGGTTCAAATGTAATGGAACCGTTTATGACATAACGATACAATTGATTTTCCTATTTCTCTCAACTTGACTTGTAACAGCGGTTCTCTTTCAGAGATGCACGAACTAAGGTGGGTCGAAGAACTAAATTATTCTTTGCAGTTTATTTTTCCCGCTTAAAGGCCGGTTGAAAAATTGACTTAATTGTATTGACCTAAATTAGTGACCACAGAATAGGAAAAACAATGAAGCAGAATAGTAGTGACGCCACTCAAAAATTCTATAATTCCCTCATGGTGGAATTGCCTTTCAAACTTTTTTGAAACCATATAAAGATTTGCCATAGCATTAGAAATCGTATGCTTGCGAATCCATGTTTCCGCAGATGAATTTCAAAAAGTCGAATACCAGAAATTGCCTCAGTCCTAATATAAACGCTGCATGTAAAGCTCAAAACAACATAATACTAACCAAAGATTAAATGAATCGTTGGAAAGATGCAACCCAAGTTGCTCATTGATGCAAACTCTGATTAAATATCTATGATCCACGGTCTTCTTTACCACAAATTTTTTTTTTGACCCATTGATTAAAAAAGGTTCACAATCCATGCAATAGGATTTATGAAAAAAGTTATAGATTTCATTCCGTCTTTATTGAAAATTTAAATCGATTGGCCCATTACCTCCCGAGAGAGAATATTTTTTAGCAAACAACAACATTTGAAAAATGTTGGTATGTTCCAAATAGGCTGGGAAATTTTTCTTCTGCAAATACTAAAATTTTGTTGGAAAAAATCAGAACTCACAAAAATCTAACACTTATCTTATACATTGCCAATAGCTCTAAGCCACGGAAGATAAAAATGCGTAGGGATTATGTGCATTATATGCCTGAATGCAATATATGTGAATATGCCTTTACTAAAATGCAAAGACCGTCATACGTTCGAGTTACATTGTTTGGTGATCATACACAGTTATAAACAAAACAAGTCTTACTCCACGAACTTTGGTATTTTACTTCAGTATCCAGGTACCCAACATTTAACAACGCGCACTTGAGGCTCGCCGAGTCCGCGACTCCGTATGTAGGCAAATATTTGCATCATATCGACGAAGCGCACTATTTTGGGAATTCACATTTCTCTCTCGTTGCGTCGCTACAAAAAGACGTGACGTTGAATCAGCTGATCGGCGTACAATGGTGAACCGGCTCCGTCCAGTTGAAACCGACGAACTGAAATCGGAAGCTTAGCGTCATCGTACACCGACATACCAAGTATGCGTAGCATAAGGCCATGTGTAGTAGTTTCGTTGGCAACGTATCATTATATTCCACTGAGAGGCATACACAAAGCATACCGTACTACGGCTTTGTTTTTGTTCCACCGAAAAAAATCGATGTTGCGAAATGGTTCTTTCTCGTTTCAAAGCGACTACGGCAACCGAGTCGGTTACGTCGGGTGACTAATGTCTGCGTGTAAATTTTATGTGTACGTTTATGACATACCGTGGACTTTACCCGGTAAATTATATTTTAAATTCGATTATAAAAACGTTGAACCAAATAGTCTGGGAAACGGGTAGCAGGCAGCAGGTACGAAAATATTTTTTTTCGCTGTATACATCGAGTATATGATTATTCGACTACTATAAGAAAAATAATTTGAAATCCAAGTTACAAGAACAAGTAATTTTCGTGTTGATAAAATATAAATTCAAATGTTGGGAACAATCCACTCGAAATATAGTTAAAAATTCAAGATGATTACGGAAGTCAAGGTCTTTATTTTAAGATAAAAACTAGATTCGTCGTAAAGTAGAAAAATATATAAATGTAAAGTATAAGTTAGGAAAGGGTTTATTAAAAAAGCCTGTTCTGGTCGAAGGATGAGGATTGAAAATATTGATTTCTGTAATGTCGTTATAGTTTTGAGTGTAGTCATGGGAAACAAGAGTATTCATCCGCAAAGCGCAAGATTTTGAAGCAGTGATATTAGATATCGATGAGGCTCGCTCGAGCGTTATAATGCATAATGTATGCGCAGTTCAGCAGGCTGGATTATAGGTTCATCAGAGCGCACGGCAATGGTGTGGCGTAATTTGCGATCGGAAATCTGATGGGATCGGATTTACATATTCATCCCCGGGGGAGAGAAAAGTTCATAAGCCGATAACATAGCTTTGTGTGAAATTTATTTGCGTTTCAAGTCTAATTTTAAAAGAATAAATTGTACGGATTATTCATTCACAGCGATATTTAGAAGCTAAAGATTCAAATTCGAATCCGTTTCCAAAAATGAAACAATTTTCCATCGTGAACCTTTGTGTCACGATTAACTGCATTGCAAGATGGTAAGTAGTTACGTCTTCGATGCATATATGCTTATTTTCATTTCCGAGATGATTTAGTATCAACAAATCGGTACATCGATTGATTTTTAGCGCGTCGCACGCCTAGTTTGTCGTGATTTCCGTCTCCCGATGCAGAATAATAAAAAAACCATCCTTGCTATTCGGCAGTAATACGCCTTTTTGAATAATATTCGAGTGGCGTCAGTTTCTGTTACTGGATAAGTCCTTGCAACATGGTAGTTTATAATTGGAAGGCGCAAAAATGTTTGTAGATGTCGCATTGGAATATATTTTTGCTTATTATTGTAGCGCTAAAGGGCGAAACATATAATTTATAGCAGAATCGCAAACAAACATAGAAAAAGAAACTATGGTTATGGACAACCCAGCGAGCCCGAGCCCCCTCCCGATAACACTAGATATGATAGATATTTAATAATGTGAATCAATTTTTGTTCTGCAGACTTTATTATTAAATATACATATTATTCTATAATGTATATCTATAGATATATATATCTTTGTGTTTATTTTTCATTACTTGGACAATTTTAATATTTTTGAATTGTGAAAAAAGTTACAGAAAACATGACTGTTACTTATACGCACGAGGTTGCAAATGCAAGATTAGGAGGTTTCTCAAATCTACTCCTACGATGGAAAGGAAGCGTTTATAAATTGTTTTATAAGTAAGCATCTTTTTCTCTTAGAATATTTATTTAATCGCCCAAAACCCGTGCATATGGTCGGGTAAAAGCTTTATTTGAATGGTAATTTACGAGCTATCTTGCAGTGGAACAAAGCCGATAAGACCCTGTTTCTTGGTAAACGAAAATAGTCAATGACCATGCCCAAAATATCATTACTGGAATGTTTGACAGTCTAATGCCTTGCAAAAGTAATTTGCGGAATATTGAAAAAGTGTCTGTTAAAAAAGAAGTGATAACTGAAATATATATTTTAACTTATTTCCCTTTTTTTATTTCAGAGAATTCATCATATACATAACACTCTACACCATTCTGTCATTGGTATATCGATATGTCAGTCATTCAGATTTCAAAAATTATTTCGAGAAATTATGTTTGCAGTTTCAAAGTTATACCGACCTCGTTCCAATCAGTTTTGTATTAGGTAAGTTAATCTTAAATTACTAAAAGTGTATCACTTTTAATGGTTGATTTTGATGAGTGACAAAGCCTTTGATCTCATGCAACATAATTTAGGCCTTGGGCTATCAGTCCGTTTGGAATCCGGGACTGCGAAAGTTTTGAGCCTTTGTCTGCTATTTCTATGAAAGCACTTTCCACTTAAACCACTTTGATTTACATTTGATTTTGAGCTCTGTGACATGAGCTACATTCTACTGCCGCGAAATATATAGGATGATGTTGCATGTTTCGGGATGTCAAAGTATGATAATAATTACGATTCGTTACAATCAATATTCCATTATAAGGCTGCTGCCAAATTATATACGTTCTAAATTATTGAGCGCTGAGGGAGTAGTAAATTGACGAGCATATGGATTTTTCAAGACATAAAAATCAATGGATCGATTCTATTACTGAGATAAGACTTCAATGCATTAAGTTATCAATGTTGGTAGATTTGATTTCACGATTTTCGCATATTTCCGTAGGTCTTATGTTATGTCATAGCTTGATTCTAAGAGGCAAACCTGAACAGGTATGTACATAAGGCACCACCTAAAATCAAAACTAAAACAGGTATAGCTTGGAAACGGTGACCGTACATTTGAACCCACGTACATTTGAACCCATGTGTATATCCACGGGTTCAATCTATATGCGGGTGCTAAAACCCATGGGTTAAGGTTAGTATGGGTTTAACTATCCGTGAAACAAAAAAAATCCAAACAAAAATAGCATACAGGTGCAACTGTCATGGGTTCAAATCTACGTGGGTTCAAATGTAATGGGACCCTTGGAAACCCAGACTGAAAGATGGCCAGTGGTGCATATTGACAGAAGACCAAATAAGTCCATTTCTGAAAAATGTGGCATAAGCGGAGGAGATAAACAACCCTAGTTCGTAAATAGGTATAAGAAAGTCCATATTAGTGCCGGTCAATTCGAATCATAGTTTACCAAATTTTTCGATTTGTTAAATAAAGATAAATAGCCATGTACAACGATGCTTACTGACTTTTATGTTGCTTTTCATCACATAGAGACCGACCATTAGGTAATGATGATATTCAATTTTGGTTAAACCCAGACAAATATAATATTCATGTAACATGGTGATGGAAACCATTGGAACGAAAACTAATGTAACCGTAGTGATAAACATTACACTCATTAATATGACGTAATACCGGCATCTAAGATGAATCAACTCCCCGGCCCGACGACGGACTCAACCAGTTTACTTTTTCGCAATCGTTACTCCCGGGATCCGTATTTTCTCCTGTGGGAAGCAATTGCATACATATGTTGGAATGTGTATTTTATGAGTAATGAAGTATTACATCATTTACTTTTTATGGGGTGATTTTAACCCTTGTTATGACAAGAAGTTTCGGCTTGGGTATGAATAAACACTTTTCTCGTTTTTATTTATTTATTTGAGTATTGCACAATAGTATTGTCAGTCAGGAAAACTTTGCAAAAACAGGTTGAATGATTAAAAATGGAGCGAAGTTTGCAGATTTGTTTAAGTCGACAAGAACTCCGTTTTCATTTTAACTTGACAAACAAATTTTCGTTTGCTCACGATTATTCCAAGTCATCATTTTTTATGGCAAATAGTCACAGTTACTTAACGCGATTGAGTGGATTGGGATTCGCAATTTTTTTGTTTGCCTCTGGGTTTCGAATGAATAATTCGCAAGGTTCAGGTCGAAATATGGCTTATATTTAATTCTCTTCTATGTACAAGTGCCCTAACCAGCATATAATTCGTTTGCGCTTTCGCGTGATAGTCGTCAAATGTTCAAATAAAGAAATTTGCTCATCAACGGCACTGTTTGATTGAAATTCTATCCACGACATAAGACGATACCATACCTTCGTCGCATCTTTTCTCTACTTTTCCGAGTCTCGCCTGTTCGAAAACGAACTGTCATTCGGGCGTATTGCGTCAGACAATGGGAACTTCCATTCAGTATCGGAGTCTGCTTCCTGCGAACCGGTATAAACTGGTTTCAAAATTAATTATTTTGTGAGTGACTTGCCCTTTTTGAGGAAATAAGCCGCAGCGTTAAACACGATTTAACTTTAATAGACACGTACGTGGAAATACTGTTTTCATTAGATGTGTTTACGAGATTGTTTTTGAATTTTTTTGTGGATGCATGTCAATGTTTAATGTTGATTCATCGCGGAGCACGGTAAATTTGTAAGAAGGACCGTTATAAAAATATATGAGGAAGTGTAAACTTTTAAATCTTTTTAATGGTATTGCTGTTTATCTATGCTGATGTTCATTTGCATTCAATGCTCTGGTACTAAAATTTGTGAAAAAATAGATTCCCGAAATCGTGAATATTCATTTTTCGGGAAATTTATGTTGTTTTGTAATTTTATAAAATATTATTTTTAATATGTAATAAGTCAAAAGTTTATTAATCATACCTTTAATTTCCACCTACAAATTTGAATAATAATTCCTCCCAAATACATTTTAATTGAACAACATACCTTAGTCTTTTAAAACCCACAAAAAAAAAATAAAGTGCAACACAAAGAAAATGATCACCCAAGCTTGAAATTTTGTTTATTCTAGTTTTAATCGTATTTCTTCTAATTTGTCGCACAATATTAAAAACACCAATTTTGACTGGAATCTCAACACAAATTTAGCCTTTTTTACCGATGATCTGCAGTATTTTTTGCTGTTTTTTTGTATCAGCCTGTGGTATACTAAATCTTTCTCGTTTATCCTGTGGCATAGATAAGACAGTCTCGATGTGTTGGTCGGGGTGGTGGAATCATTATGCTTAAGTTTAGAGGAGTACGATCAGATTTTATTAGCTTTGCGACAAATACAATCAACGAAAACTTTTTATTCATCCTCAAATGAGAAGCAACTTGGTGGATGGTCACGCTCATCCTGCTAACCGATACCAGTAAAGTGTTTGTCAAATATTGACGCACAGTCTACAACACACCGATAGTTAATTCTAAGTATTGTTTACTTGCCAAGGTTAAACAAATAGATATATGGTAACGAGTCTAAGCGCAATTTTCGATTGTTTCATAAACTTTATGTCAATCGAAAAGTAATAAAAACACTTTTTCTAAACTATTTGTTCACGAAATTGTTTTATGGGGATTTCAATCTAGAGCTTTTGTTCCCACTCCTTAAAATTTATTCAATTAAGTCTATAATGTCTGCATTATAATCGGCCAAGAAGGTGTAAAAATGTAGTGAAACAAAAATCGATGTATTTTAGGTTTCTATGTCAGCATGGTCGTCGGAAGATGGTGGCAACAGTATTTAAATATACCATGGCCAGATCGACTTATGATGGTGATTTCTGCTAATGTACATGGACCAGATTACCGAGGGAGATTAATCCGCCGGACACTCGTCCGATATCTAAGCTTGATGCAAGTTTTGACTTACCGTTCAATTTCTACTGCAGTATTTAAAAGATTTCCAACAATACAGCATGTAATAGATGCAGGTACAATACTGTCACTACATAAAAACCAATGGTTAGAATTTTTTTTATTAATTTCGTTGCGGTAGAGGTAGAAAATATGGAGCGTAGTATGTGTACCAGGTTATGGTTAGGCCATAATTCCGGGTACAAATCCTACGGGAGTCACTTGGCTGGTCCCCGAACTCGTAATAAAACTAAAATAAGGAAAATTGGAATAAAATTATGGCCTAACCCTAACCTGGTACACATACTATACGTTCTGATGTCCGCCATCTTGGTTCACATACGTACGGGAGTACCAAAATATAACACGCTTGGGCTTCTTATTCATCCGTACTTTAAGCAAACAATCATGTTAACAAAGAAACAACTCAAAACGTCAACGTCATCTTGTCAAGTGCTATCATAGTCTAGAAAACAAAAGTTGAAGGGTTTGTTTTCTGAAATAACTAGCTGCTGTTTCTCGATGTGTTGGTATTGCCAGTACTGGGTGTCAACCGGTGGGTCTGGCCGTGTCAAATTAACACGGATCTACCCCATCATTATTGAACCCCCATGAAATTGTTTTTATTGCCCAAATTTTTTATGACATTCGAAAATTGTAGGGCCCATAAGCCATAACGTTACATTATTCTGCCTATGGCGATGGTGAACTCGTTTGACTCCGCGGTTAGATAGCAGCAGTTACGCCGTTATCATTTACGTGTTGAGCGACAATTTTTATGATTTTATGCCTTGAACGGTGCAAAACCGTATATACTACTGTAATTTGGAAGTTAATATCCAAGAAATTTAAAGCAAGAATGAGCGCTTTGACTTTACAGCGTGGACATTACAAGTCGAAATAATTGCAAAAATTAAATTACTTCTCCTGCAGTCAAATCACCATATAAATATCATCTTGAATCTAAATATCATAAAATCAATATTTTTATTAGTACAATAACGTGAATGAATAAACGTGGTGCGTTGCGTTCGTTATGGAAGCCCGAACCATCGGATAATCATAAATGATAAATTCACTGTTTGATGGCTCCATATTACTAATACGTTTAACTTATTTTCAGGCTTCATGACGCAAACAGAATACAAGCAATATGAAAATGTAAAAACGGAAAATGTAAAATATTTTATTCCATGCGTTTGGTTTTCGAATCTTCTTTCTAAAGTTCGACAAGAAGGCAGAATATACGACGACATGACATATCAAACTCTACTGAAGGTGGGTTGATCAAGTAAACATAAACAGCTTCAATAAACAGCCGTTTTTATAAACAACTCATAATAATATTCTAATAGTTTATCAATATCACCATATCATAACACTGGCGCGATCTCCAAGACAGTTCAAGTTAATGCCGGGTAACAACTGACTGGTAATAAATTACGTAGAAACTAAATTAGGAATGGATCAGCTCATTAGAGTCGAGCAAGGCGATTAAAAATTTTGCTGGACTAGACAAGGTCACATAGTGAAGATCTTAGAGTCCGTTATAATAATGTGTAATAACAATAAGATACAATAAACCAAAGATTACCCAACTGATCGCCATATTTAATTTGTTATTCCATTTTAAATTCGATACGCCACTTGAGTGGTATTGCTACTTAATAATAACCAAACCTTATAAAGAAATTCAAGACAAATCAACCATAAATCGAACCGTTGAATAATCAAGTTGAAAAAATACCAGCTATAATTTGGTCATATCACATCCGGAATCAGGATATTGAAAATTGATATATCATTAACTCCAAGTAAAGTAAACCAACGTCTCCTAAATATTGGACACAATCTTAAACCACACCACCTTGCGCAGTTACAATAATTCTTAAACAAGTGTGTTTATTAATAAATTCGAAAATAGTACTTGCTAAAACCGGTTCCAAACCGGTCTTCGCCGCCCAAGTTTGACTCAAGGCGCATTATCTGATGTATACAATAATGGAGAAGTGAACGACCGTACCAGTCTGTAATTGGAAATTCTCATAAACCAATTATGTTAAATATTGCTTTTCTTACACAGTTTACGACTTACAGGGAAGGGGAAATGGGTTTAAATCATTTTTACGGTTTAATATAGTTAACCCACTGCCTTCATGCATAATTCATGCTTTCGTGTTACAAGCTGTGTATGTAGTTTTCAGGGTTTTTGTTTTGTGCTGTTAAAAATACTTCATGTTACTAGAATTTTACCTGATCTCTGGTTTTGAACTATTCGTTAATACTTCACGTTTTAATTTTTTTTCACAGGAACTGAACGACTTTCGTGGATGCTGTGGAATGTTATTTAGTTACGATTGGATCAGTATACCACTTGTATATACACAGGTATACATACAGAACTACTATCTTTTTGACTAATATAGTGTTATGGGGTGTGGCGTATGTCGTACAACACTCCGGTGCGAATATCGAAATATGGAAGGAACTTTTAGACTAGAGCTTAAAATTTTAGCAGTACGAACCTAGCTAGATAAATCATATATGTCATGTTGAAAATAAATAAACCCAACATCATCAATGTTTCCGGCTAAATTTAGCCTAACTCAATTGGAAATCGCCAGATATCGGACTAATAACGACGCTGCCCATTTATGTTTCAACGAATGAATTCAAAGCAAACACTGATAAGCTAAGAGCTGCGAACGAACTTTTATCGACCCTTTATGAAAAATGTGCAGAGAATATACGAATATCAGAAATTCAGTTTCAATGCACAATTGAAACTTCACTTATTGTCACATGTTTTCTCACTGTACCGCGGTCCAAACTATAATGCATTACATTCGTGATTTAGTAATACATCCTGTTGTTGAGATGATGCTTTACCAGGAAATGCCACTATTTGACTCCACTAGTATCGTGCTATGCACATTGTTTACAAACGGGTAGTCTATTTATATCCATCCATAAAGGGTTCACATTCGCTTGAATGCTTTCCTTTTATCATATGGTTTTCTATTACTCAAAACGAATTTCACGATTTATAGCTTTGAAGCCTTAAAGGTGCTAGCAGATTTTGTGGGTGTTTTACCTCTCTTCGCAGTAAGTACCTGCAGGCTTTTGGTGACAAAAAGAGACCATATCATGTTTTATTGGATTTTCGGTCTAGGAGAGACTTTTATTCTCAGTCGTAAACTGTAGCGTCCAAACTGCTGGTCCGATCTGGTTAAAATTTCTCACGTTATGCTGTCACCCTATAGTAATGTGTGTTTCACCAAAAGTCCGCATTGGTGTTTCGTTTCCACGGCATCAGCGAAAACAAACGCCAAATTCTGAGAAATTTCTAGTTTTTTCACATTTTGTCGCCATTATCTCGTAAACTACCTCGAAAATTAAATTCCGAGATCGCTACGCCCCGTAGACGTAAATTCTCTTTGGAACAAGCCATTTTCATCTCGTTGATTCATAAACTGGGGTAGCCTTATAGGAATTTTAGTTAACATAATTTATTATTTGCCGTAGTATACCGCTCACTTAAGGATACCTACGAGACGCGCAGCGTCCAAAATGAACTGGCAGTTTCGGTATCACAGTCACTGTCGTTGCGTAGTACGCTGTCGCTAGGCTGCAATTTTGCGTGGACGGTAACCGTTTACTGATGTGCGGGCCGCTCCATGTATCAGCTGAGATCCTGAGCGCCTACCGGCTTGTATTCTATATTCCCAAGATATTATAATGACAAAAGCTTGCGTCATTTTACCATGCAATTCGAAATGCTTGTTTCAACTTTTTCCAAGTATATATAGTATAATTTGACTTTTATCTACGTATTCCATCGGCACTCGTTATACCCCTCATTCATTACTTCTGTTCTGTTTTCAATTCTAGTAACTGTACACAATACACATACATGTTATAATATATTTCCTGTGATTTAATTTTTTAGGTTGTGACGGTAGCGGTCTACGTTTTCTTCATGTCCACACTTCTGAGTCGTCAATATTTAGACGTTACCAAAGGATATCCTGGACATGAAGTTGATTTATATGTCCCTATATTCACGATCTGCCAATTTTTCTTCTACGTTGGGTGGCTTAAGGTAGTTTATACATTCATTTTCTATGTATTTGTATACTTTTTATTAGGCACATCATGCCTCCACTGGAAACGAGTTCTGGTCTCGGCCTACTGACATGATTACCTATTCAATTCAGTTCTATATCATATTAGGCTTGCTCTGCGCAATGCTTTATATAAGCAGACCGTCAAGCACATTTGCGAGAGTAGTTGGAAATACAGAATGGTTAATTTGGAAGTTCGTGTGCATGCGAGGGTGTCCAGTCTCATTTATTACTTTGTGTGAACATGTATTATATGACTACAGCTTCGAGTTCGCCTTAACAACTTAGCTATTACCTTTCTTGCCAGGTTGCCGAGCAGCTTATCAACCCGTTTGGAGAAGATGACGATGATTTTGATGTGAATATGATTATCGATAGAAATCTAGAATTGTCAATGTTAACTGTTGATAACATGTACCTGAGTCATCCAAAGTTGGAAAGAGATATCTACTGGGACAACCCAAACCCAGCTATACCATACACTGCTGCTGCGGCTAATCATAAAATGGACGCTTTTCTGGGTTCTACCATTGATATGAGGTAAAACGTTGTCTCGTTTTCATTCAGTCTTTTTATTAAAAAAAAGTTAACTGCCATCTTAATTGTCATCACAGACTTATAAGTCGTGCAAGATTTTTCATTGGAAGCTAAGCTAAAAACTTTTTTTAAAAAAACCAAAAGCGATAAATACTATTTGAATTATCGGTTATCAATTATTGGATAACGTAATGTGTAACATAGGCCATAGCTTAAAAATTTTAAGACGGCCAAAAATAGCTAATAAAATTAACCATACTTTGCAGCTTGGATCGATATGAGATGCGATTTTTAGAACAAGCCGATGCACCTCAGAACAAGAAAGACAACAATCATCTAGATATTAATCATAACGATGCAGCATATCAAACGAAAACAGAACAAAACACTTTACTGAAGGAGCCGCCGCCTTTTACACCAAAGCAACCTCCCACCAGGACAACAAATCCTGTGAATTTTTGGAAGAGAATTACAGGAAAGGAACAAGAAAGTGAAGCGAAGAAATCATTATTAAAAATGGACTACCTCTCACCGCGTGCCAGTAGTAATAACGAGAAAAATGAGAACAAAAAGAGATCGACCGATAACGACGATATTCTATCTGCAGATTCGGTATGTATTGTACGGATAACACCTTAATTGAATAGACAAAAGAGAGTCAAACAGATTGGGCATTTTTGTTGAAGGTTCGGGCAAAATTGATACCGATCTGATGCATACACCGTTTTACTCAGACATACTCGGACAGGCAAATTTGTATCGTTATAGGAGTTGAAATATAGTACAAGTTTATTGAATAAAATTTTTTCTTCAGAACGAAATACACAAGCACATACAAACTTTACCATGCAGATGAAGATGACGTGTGCCTCATAGTAGACATATTTCAATGATTAAAATGCCTTGTGCTTCTTAATATGAATTACTTTAATGGTACTTACGGACATTTCGCGAAACATATATCGACCCCGATTCAGATATTGTTACCTTTCTGTCCCGTTCGATTCAATGGCTAGAGTTCCATATATGATAACTATACCTTCGCTATCGATTTACAATACTCATTTACAATCATCGCAATGCCAGATAGCCCATCTACTCCGCACATGACCGTAATTACGCTTTTATACTTTTAATGATGAGTGCTGTATAATGAATGATATCTGTATAATGCTCGCGGCAAGGAATATGTTATTTTTCAATAACACGACAGTATATATGTAGACATTGTAGACCTTACGGATCTAAAAATCTTCCTAAGGTCTCAACACATATTCTTGGTGTTGCTTTCAGGAACTGTACACCAGGAGGCAATCTTGTTGTGTGTGATCCTGTGGTATCTAAAACAGTAGCCAATTTATGCCTGGAGAGATCGACCACCGAACTTACAATGAACGTGGGCGTCCGTCATAAACACCAATGATGTACGGATGCTGACGATTCGGATGAACTACGATTTTTTTTTATAATTTTATTTATTTACACAGGACTCAGATTCCGATGTTGCAGATAGTTCGTCAGACGATGGATCGGGAGATAATCGAAGTCAAAGACGAACTAGTTTGTCTTCAGAAGAAGGAGAATGCGTAGAAAAAAATAACACTGACGACGACGCGCCTTGTGATTCTCAACGCTCATTGTCAGCAAAAAAACATTCGATAGGTGAATCGGATGATAGACCTAAAGCAAAGAAACCGAAAAATGCGTCCCAACCTCTTACTAACACAAAAGATTCGTGTTCAAAACCCAAACGTCCCGATGTTCTTGTTACTAAGCCAAGCGAAAGTGATTTGAAAAAGATGGGCGGTCGGTTTGTTATGAGCAGAGCAAAGAAGTCTCCCAAAAAGAAGGTGAATACAACGAAATTTCTGAAGAGACGTAATCAAGAGGAAACTGAAGACGAACGACGAAACGCTCAAAAGAGAACTATTGGACTACTGAAAGCCAATAAGTATGTTTACATCATTTAAAATTATTAGAAAAGAAAAGCTTATTTTAATTGTGTTTAATTGTAAAGAATGTACGGTTGAAGACTATCTTATACACAAAAACAAGTTATATTTGACATCCGTGTATATTTTTTAAGTGAATGCTTTTTCACACATTAACTTTACAATATTTAAACGGTGCAATCTTTGCATTTCATATGTGACTTAGGAATTGCGTTTATGATAAAGAAGGATAAGATAAGGTACAGTAGCTCAGCCACTTAATACAATCCGACATTTTATTACAGAAAAAAATCAGTGCAAGCGTTGCAGAGAAACGCGCGACGAACAAACTACCCTGGAAACGCATGGCTGAGATATAATTACTCTCATCCATTGCTAGATAGGAGAGATTTTCCAAACGCTGCTGATTACACATCTATGACGAGTGGAGCGGAAGATCACGGAAGAGCTGAATATTATGATTCACCATTCGGTTCAATCATATCGTTCGGAACGTCCATACCATCACCTAGACCTTTGAGATTTTCACAATTTGTAAAACGGGGAAGAAGAAAAAATTTTGATAGTATATCCGCGTCATCTTGCATGACAAGTCCATGTGGTGAGTAATTGCATTTTTTTACAGCGTTCACAAGTGTTGCAACTTGGATCGAGAGTTTTAAAATTAATGTATGTTGTGTTGCATACGAAACATTGTCTAATTTACTTATGCTCATTAAAATTAATGCCATTCAATCAAATGGGTTTGTTTGCAATTGAGATATGCCGACAAATTATTAGTAATTATTAGTAACTCAAATTGCTCTGGTTGTAAGCATTTCTTTCGTGTTGCTTCACTTTGAAGTGTTGCAATTTGCAATTCTTCGCACAGTTTACCTTATTACTATGTTTGCAGCAAATGAAGACTACTCTCCATCGTTTGGATTTTGCAATGGGTCTCCACGATCGAGGGAAGATTTCATACATCAACCTCATCTACAGCCTTCTACTTCAATTAGCATGCCTTTTACTGAAGATCTGCGTCGCAGACTTCTTGTTGTCAACACCAACACTCCAAACTCGTCTAACGCTACTTCGCCTATTATGTCCCGCGCATATTTAGGGATGCCAGAATCTAACAATCACAATCCGTTTATTCACACACAACCAACACTTACCCAATCCGACGACTTACTTATGATTGCGCCCACTAACGGACCAACAACGAGCAACACGTGGAGCGGGAAACTAGAAGTCATTGGAGAAAATCCAACATCTGAAAAGTCGATTTCAAACGTAGTCGGTACCGATGAAAGGACATCCGAAAAAATTAAGAATGAATCCCTAAACGAACCGCAAACATCTTTGCAACGTAGCACTCAAATTAACATGACTTTGCCAAAGACAAACGTCGATAAAACTGGAAAGACGCCTGTTCCACAACTTGTTTCTAACCAAAACAAAGTCGGTAATTGTGCCAACAGTAAGTCGACACGCAATATCCTACGATCAAAAAGTTGTCCAGATGTTCCAATATCAAAAAGTAACACTGCCATTCCTATTGAACCTATTGAAGTTGATAATTCTGAAAAAGCAGAAGATAGTTCATCGGACGATGAGGAAGAAAACACAGAAATGAACAGACTACTTAAATCTAATGTTTTTCAGTCCACGGCCACCCTCACAAACACCTCCAGAACCACCTCACCAAATCATCGCGTCTCTGTACACTGGGAAAACGAATGCAATCAATCCAACAAACCTGATGTAGATGAGATTTCCGAAATTGCTGATGACGTGATCAACACAAGTTCAGAATACGCATATAAAGAACTCGCCCGCTACAACTCCAGTGAGCTGACTCCGCTAATATCTCCCGATGCATCGATAGATACAAGCAAAAACGAAATTGAACAATTTTCAGAAAACTCAAGTAAAAGAGTAATCAGTTTGGACAACGGCCTTGGCACTAATACAGAAACGGCGAAGAATACAACGAAGTCGATTCCTGGACACCCAAGCTCGATTGCATCGGATCTTGGGTATGATAGCGCCAAAGAAGAACCCGATGGAACTGGTTCTGTAAAACGGTTAGATCCACTATCTAAAATCAGAGATTTTCAAACGATGGCACCTTCAAGAAACAGTTTTCAAGCAATTGCTAAAATCGTCTCCAAAGAGAAAACAGGAATATCAAAAGGCAATCCAACCTCGAGCTGCAGCAACGAACCAGAATGCGCAGAAAGTGTCGTTGTATCTGAAGTGAACTATAAAAACGATGATACAATACTAAATATTGTTTAATTTCGACAATGCCTAATGGATATGTCTCTGTATATAAGTATATTCATATCAAAAATCGATACTAGACTTTTTCGAATTTAGATGCCATATGGCACGAACCTCAATCACAGTAGCTTTTTGGGTTTATACTTTTCATAGCCAATTTAGTTTTATTGAAGACTTCGTTCTGCATCTAATCAATACAACAAATAATTGTATTTCGCGCAATCATCTTTTTATATATATTTTTAAATACATCAGTTGATTTGTATTTTAGTTGTTTTAGCATAACTGTTTTAGAAAATTTCTACCTTGACGTTCAGTATTTGTATATTATATATGTATATTTTGTTCCATCGTATTTTGTTCCACTTTTTGGCGCTATTTTTCCTTAGGTCGTTTATAGCATCTTTGTTAGTTTTGATATGGTTCAACTTCTGCTAGCTAAATAAAATATTTATATAACTTCAATTAGCGATGACTATCCAAACTCACTGTTCGTATAGATGTATCTGTGTGTATGAATTGCACTGATTACACCGCGAGAAACACTAAAAATTGTTTAATATGACCTGGACAAGTCCAATTGATGGAACGTGTAACGAAGTAGGGTTTCTCCGCAGTACGCGTCTGGAATATACAATTTTTGACTGGCGTGTTCCGGTCACATAATACAACTCAAAATACAATTTATCCAATATTATAATTAAGGTCGACTGTGTAATTAGCTGTGAATATCTGCTTCTTTATAACTATTTTTTTATTGTGTTTTTTTTTTCAATTTTAGTGTTTGCACCGTCTATTTCAGAAACACCGTATTTGTCGATTCGTTCAATTCCATGACGAAGAAAAGTAAATATAGTTGTTCCGCGAACTCTGGGGTTTATTTTTCTCCCGGGTATCCGGAGCCTTTTACAATTGAACTTATTACATTTTGCAAGCAGAAAACTCAGTATGAACGACATAAAAGCTTATCGAAGCATGCCACCAAAGAACAACGCTAGCATAAATTGGATAATATAAATATTCAATTCATTGAATTGAATAAAAAAAATCAGAATCAAATTATTTGTGTTGGGCACGCCGATTTGCGAGTTTTAATATTCGTAATCTGAGGTATTGTCAGGCTTGACCATGAGAAATGTCCCACGGGATGGAGTGGGGCAGCACACATTTGTATTTCCCACGCGACACGAAAAACGTATGATTTTCGGAGAAATGATGGTAAAATATTTATTTATGGATTTCGTGTCCATATAGTTGAGCATAGCCCTTTTGTTAGTTATAAATAACAAAATATATTCAACACTAACAATATACTCAGTGGAGGAGCTGATGGACACATGTATAATAGTTATGAATATAAAGTTAACAAAGTCCGTAAATTTTGTTGTTTTGCATGTCTCTTCGTACATTTAGTCCTATTTTGTAGACGCTAAACCAAATTTTAACATTTTTTATTGAATTGGGAATCCCATGGGATGGAATACGCATAATTTCGATGGAAAGGGATGGGACAGAGGAATATGCCCCATGGACAAGTCTGACACAAAAAACATGGGACGAATCAATTTATTCATACTATACTTGATCTCTGACCGATATGCCAGAGTCTGGCGGTTTGAACAAAGATGGGTAGGCAGTATTGTGGAGACTTTGGGAAATTTAATAGTTTGGCAAATCATAGTCACCGGAGTCACGTGTATTAGTCGTATACCTCCCTTTGATAGCCAGTAGACACCATCTTGTATCATTTTTAATGATAAACCTCATCTAAAAATCAAGTGCTTACTTTCACTCCGCCTCTGACTAGTAGTCGAACGCCAGTTACCGGTAGCATACATTCTCCAATAGTATTTGCGTACTGAACACGTTTACATGACTCAACCTTTTAATAATGAATTTCAGGATCGTGACTGAGACATTCGTCAACAACGAAATACTCAAAAGTTGAACAAAATGAAAATTTATTCTCTTTCAAAACAATATCACAGGTTACAAATACTGCAAAACAAACCATATAATAAAACATTGCTTTATCCCAACATATATATTCAAAAAATTAAAACACAAATACAAATTTTAAAGACTTACCATTTACCTCAAATGCTCATCAAATCCTGATTAAGATCCTGGCTATTTTCAGGCCCAAACAAGTAAGACAACAAGAATATATACACTATGAAAATATTGACAATGACCTGACTTGTCTTGATATATATCTATATATATATCAGACATGTGTATTACACAATTTACTTTTGAAAAAAAATTTTGATAGAAATAAAAAACAGCCCCCTTTAAAACTTTGGTATGAAATTAGCATTAACGCTTCAACTAACCTCAAACTGAGGCATATAGAGTTATAGGTAAAGCAATGGAAACTTGTATATATAACTCATATATACTAAAAAAATTAATAATGGAATACTGGGAATCAAACCTCTTATTTGAAATTTATTAACAATATTTTTTTAGGATGAATCTTCAAAAATGGTTTTCGCGAACTTCCATTATTTCTTTAGTCTTTCTCTATTACTACTAATTATTTCAATTCAAATTCAACCGAAGGTCGAGACGGTGTAAACTGCAATCTTTGCCACCAGACAAACGATGATGACACAAAGAAGAATGACTGTTATTATGGAATTTCTGCTTGTTTTGTCAAAATTTTTCACCAGAATACCGGAGCACGCCCACAAAAGCACACCATACCAAGCATAAACGTATTTAAAATATTCATAAAACACTGTATTCTCGCACACAGACCAGCCGATTACAAGAACACCCAGAACTGCAAGAGCAATAGTTCCTGATGTAATTTTATTCACGCGTTTCTTGACCATGGGGTCATAGGTCAGGGCACTGGACAAATTCAACAATGTCGCTATGGTTGTCCAAGAATAAAATAGATCAGTGCCGTTTTGTACCAATACGTATATAAGAGTTAAGTCTACATCAGATTTTTTGCTTAGTTCATCGGCATATTTTGCAGTAGCGATGCCTTGGAAAGCAACGGCTGCGTATCCGGATAAAGTTAGAAGGAGCAAATCAATAAATGCTATCAGTAAGTATTCTCTGTCCCAGAGAAAAAGCCATCCAACGTAGAAAACACAGCTAAGTATCCAGAATATGTAGAATTCCATTGGCAACACGTCCGGATTCATCAAAATAGGTCCTGAAACATCGAATAGTCAATTTTAACTATACGCCAATTCATTTTGTTAAGCTGATTGTTTTTTTTGCTTTGTTTATCAATTCGGTTTACACTGTCTGACGACGTTGTTATTTGAGATGGGCGTTCCGAATCGAATCGGAATTGTTCGAATAGTTTCGTATGAAAATTACGAATCGCCGCCATCTTCTTTTCTTCCGCTCGTCAAAGGTCGAGTTGAATTTTCCCCAATTTTTTTGTTATTGAAGCCATATTTTAAAAATGCATAAGATCCTTATCGCCCGAGTGAGTTATCGATAAATTGTGTGTTATTTCATTGTGTGTTTGCACTCAGCGACCGGCATGAGTGGTGAGTTTTCAATTTCAGTTTTCAATTTCAGTGTTGATAGGACCCTTCACAAAGTCACCTTCAATTATACATATCCCGTAAATATTCGGGATTCGATTCGAAAAAAAATATTCCATTTGATTTTGAAATCATCAGGTATTCGAAAATGCCCGACCCTAGTTGTTATTAGCAGGCTTGAAGACGTATGAATTGATATAATTTCATATATGCGCCCACACGTGCCGTTCTTGTATATCAGCAGCGAAATTTTAGACCATTTATATTAATTGAATTAAGTGATTGGACTGCAATATATTTCATATTCCGGTGTTGCTTTTCATATTATAGATTACATTGATGGCAAACGCAGGATAAATATACGTTTTTTCTTTATTATTATAATAGTTTACTCAAGAGTTGAGATTGAGGCAAGGTCGAAAGGTCTAACTTCTTCGAACTTTAACCTTCAATTAGGATTATTGAATTATTCAATGCCGTGGAGAATTAGCCCTTAGCCTAATCTTTGAAACAACGAGTCAATAAATAAACATATATAGTATATAGCGTTTATTAACGGTTGTCGAGCTTTATTATTGATTCGGAGCAAAATGCAAATTAACCGGTTTGCATGCTAACTCTTTGTTTATTGCGAAATTAGAAAACGGTCATCATGCGCTTATAATAAATAGTACAATAAGCATGGTTAAAAAATGGTAAGTTGATCCGATTTTTTTGTTTAACAAATTTCAATAGCTCGGCAAATTTATAACGTTTATATCAGACAGACTCGAAGCTGCGTCATTGATTAGCGACCTTTATCCGCGGTTAGGTAGGTTTAATTTTAAACTTATGTAACGAACAAAATGTGCCTCGCTTACATAACAAGGAATGGACATGTCGTGACGTACGTAATTGTAGTGGAAGGAAAATAGCCGCTTCTGAGAATTCGTAGCCCATGAGTACAAGCGAAAGAAACAATCAAAATGAATAGCTTCTTTATGAAGGCGGATTATCCAAATTTCGTCAGTTCTGAAGAGGGGCTTGATACACACAATTTATTGATGTACTAATTATGACCAGTCAGTCGAACGGAGGTGTTGTGTTTTTAATTACACGAATGGCCGGCCGGCCATGAAAAATATATTTCGCAAATGTCTGAATGTAGTGTTTCGAGGCATATTGGATTTTTAGGTTTATATAATTAATGTTAACAAATTTTTAACACACAATGCATAGTCGTACCTTCGGCCGTCGTTCTCCATATACTGCTGACGGCAAAAAGCACCCAAGCTGCCTCCCATAGAAATATGAGGTTCCAAATTCCAAAAGCGTAATTTGCTGGTGTTATATCCGTTTCATATCTACGAGATACTTCTCCCACGCTGTTTCGGAACAGTGGATCTAGAATATATCAAAAAATATTCAAAGTACGCTCAGTTGGTTGTTAGAACTAAAGTTTAAAAGGGGTAAATGAACTTAGTTGTGGATGATTTTTCGGCTCGGATCGAGCGAAGGAGCCATCTTCCGAAAAAAATTTATAAATATGGCATTTGGCTTTAAAACCCTTAAATTATACTTAAAATTTCATGCTAGTGGTTGAATCGGTATATGGAGTCTTGTCCGAACCGATGACTATAAATGTTTTGAGATGTTCTGCCGGTGAAAATATCCGACCAATTTGCATGTTCACGTAACACAGTGGGTAGAAACACTCCTTCTTCATTATGTGTCATTACAGGCTTACATGAAATATAATTTTATGCACTTTCACCTACAGTCTGCTTCTCAAGCCACATTTAAGCACAACGCGCAGGCCGACACAGTCATCGGTGCGTAAAATAGGAAGACGCACTTCATTGGCCACAAACTTTCCGAAAATGATGGATTATAGATTCATTCGAATGTATGAACAGGAAGAAACATTCTAGACATGAACTAACATTTTTCTGATTAATCGACACGTCACATGGAGAACAAAGTCCCAAATATAGATTACATGTGGACGCTCCAAAATAAAATAGAATATTCTTGCTTGATATTCATACATCGAAACATGTTATTATTGAACTCAACAAGCTTGACCATGTAAAATCGAAATGTGAAGTCTTGAAGTTTTGAAAGCGAATCTTGACAGAGTTGACCACATACTGTACCCGCAACCCATTGTGAGATGCGATATTATCAGCTCGGGTTGCTGTCAATAAATGCGATTTCTCATACAAATTACAATGTTCATTTTACAAATTGGGGAAACGTTTTTATCTAGTGTGACTAGAAGGTTACTGCTGTATATGCCCGACTTTATCAGTCAGTTATGCAATGTAATGTCGAGAGCCAGGTCAATATATAATCACCATGGTTTTCAAATTGTAATACCGAAGCAAAAATATTACATAGTAAATAAATTGTGTGAGAATATATGCCAAATTACAATACAACATTGGGCCTGTACGTGGCAAATAACACATAGTATTGCGAAATCAGATCGAAGTAAATGTTTATTTTTTATACAAATTCGGCAATACCCATATCATTTGGAATGTATCATTATAATAGCATCATCTGTTTTTCCCTCAATTTCTTGGAGTTATTCAGTAGAAGTGGCCGAAGACCCATCTATTAGCTATCTAAAATTCCTAACACTTCATTTTGTTTATAGAAATGAGTTTGAAGCATATAGTAAACGGGGGTGGTTTCAGGTTGAATAACACCAGATCTTTACCTATACTTCATCTCAACAATTGCCGTTACATCAACAAAAAGGTGCCAAAACACTCACTGTTTCGTACAACGCTTATTCCAGTGAAAACATAAATGCAGATCAAGGCCACCATGGCCAAAATCGTTAAAGCCATCATTCCTGTATTGTCGATTGTGTCCATCTTGATTGTGGATCAGCTACAGGCTTGTTTCAATCGCAATTTGATGTGCATCAGCAGTGCTAACTGTAAAACCTGTTTCAAATTCAAAATATATGCAGTTATACTTGGGGCAATGGATAAATAGAACAACATATGCGGATAAATTTAGGCCACACTCGATCTACTAAGTCCTAGGAAAATCTTCGAATCTCTCGTGTATTGATCCCAAACCGTTGGCACCAACAAATTCTACGTCAGGCTTCGACTGCAAATCACATTTATCCGTTTCACGCTGCACGCATCACTGAATGAGGTTTTGCGTTTACGTAACACTTCAAAACGAAACATATTAAAATTACTTGGCAACTTGATCAATCGCTCCGATTACAGTCCGAGAGAAAAACACGGCTTTTGAATGATAAGGTCGTGAATATCAATTATTCAATGACTTTTACCCTGAGGCTCGCATATAACAAATTAGTTTGTAAACAATCCTACAACTCTTGTCAACTAACTCACATGCTGTTTTAAATGAAGCCAACTCAAAACTGTAACTGTAAATAATTATCCTAAAATACCTCATTATATCTGACCATCGTACGTCTAATACATTCGGCATGAGGTCTGTGATCCTCAATGCGCCAGAACAATATTTACGATCTCTAGTGCAGGGCTGCACGACTATCTTCATCGAAGGTCTACAAAATTCAAAAATTATCATCCGGTCATTTCAAAAAATATATCACAAAGTACAAGAGCAATGATCAATATCGCGCTTTGGTGCAATACAATACACAATGTAGGGGTGCCACTTTGTTATGCGGTCTCAGCATCATAAAAATACTTTTGCACGTAGTCCCACTTGCCTAATGTGATGTCAATCGCATACTAAAGTGACGCCAGTTGTGGTGCCACATTGGTATGCGTTAATCTTCCTGAAGACATTCTCATATAATTCATTTTCTAACCCTGTCATTATTGGGTTAGATTAATACTAAAATCACTGAGACCACATGCCGAAATGGCACCTCTATACATTGAAATCACTGTCAAACGAGTTGTAATATCTGGTGTTGTATTCTATCAGTTGTCAAAATCCTGAGATACAAGCAGAATGCTAATGCCATATGCACTAGATTTTCCTTGTCTTCTTAACCAAACACCAGTATAATATACATACATGCCTAAATATTGCATTTAGTATATCTCCGTGTTTAAACATATACTAAGTACTATTCAATCTGTATCGAAGGCAGTTGAACGAATATGAGCTGGTGTTTTCATTATTGCTTCTATTTATACAAACGTTCACGCTCGTTACAGGGCGAATCTGTGTTAGTGGTTTCATTATAGTTTCTAATTACAAAACCGCCACGTTCGTTGCATAACGTCATTTTCAAAAATTGATGACGTTAACGTGACAACTGAAATTACTTGCTACTTGCTCGTTTGGTAAAGAGAACATACTCACTAAGCTGCTCAATGTTGTGCTCAAGAAGTTGATCTTAATCCATTGCGAGCGAAATTGTACTTTAAAAGTAAAATGCACTCATGAAAACTAAACTAAATTCATAATACCGAAATATCTCTTTATATACCCCATAGGTTGTACACTGGACACGTGTGCGTACAATATAGTAATCTCCGAACAATACAAATCATGTACTTAACAATAGAATGGTAATTTGTATTCGCGATTAAAAAAACGGATAACGAGATTTCTGTTGCGTAAAATATTCAATCCATGACCGATGCGAGCATTTAACGTGTCTCGTCGTTATAATGTAATTGTGCTCATCGTTACTCACCCTGTCGGTGCAAAACACGAACAATTGAAATTTATTTTATTGCATTCGGCTCTGTCGCTAGTTTCAGAATGAAAAAAGGTACATCGCGGATCACGTGCACAATTGACTGCGTGCGGCTCCGTCGGTAGTTTCAGAATGGGAAAAAGGTACATCGCGCGCACAATTGACTGTGTTTCGATTTCGCAGTTACTACGATGAAAACCTAACATAACACCAAATTTTGTAATTTACAATGTCTATAAAAACGTTTTCTATCTGAGATGAGTCTGCTGAAAACCAAATTTGTGATCTTCTCTTCTAAGTTTCAGTTTTAATATTTTAGAATGCCGTTTTTCAATCAAGAAATTTGAGTTGCGGATTTACCTCTTTATTAATTATTATTTTTAGCATGTCCTCGCCGATGGCTATAATATGGTAACATAATTTTCACATTGAACTCATAATTCCCCACGAGAACAAAAAAGCAATTAACGTCGTCAATGTGTAACAATACATGTATATATATGCCGAGGGAAATTTTTGATTCACGGAGAATAAACACCGGCGGTAAAGATGTTTAAAGGTTCAAAGATACGCCATGCTGACGAAAAAAATCGGCAATCGAACAAAATGCAATCGCGCACGTTATTAGCGGCCTTTTAGGTCTTCCAAAAATGTCGAAAGGGAAAAGATTCGACCACTAATTTATTAATGTTTGTCAAGTGTGAAATTTACAGCTTCAGTATATATATAATTTATGTTTGAAATTTAAATTTATGTATGACTTGTATTAACCCTAAGGTTCAGCATTTAAATTAAGTAAAGTACTTTTAACTTGCTCAAGAATATTAATCTGAAAGTAACAATTTTAACATTTATTTTTTGGGGCTCCGTGAATAATAGTAAACCTTTTCAAGGGCTCCGCAACACCAAAAGTTTGAGAACCCCTGCCATAGGCTATATAAGATCTGGGTAAAATGTTAATGGTGCTCAGGTCTTCTACCGATTCACGTCAATTTTCGTTCGGGCCTTTGAGTGAATTTTATTTTGTTTCGAAATATTCACTACTATAGAGTCAGACGATATTATATGCTATACTCTGCCACAAAATTCCAATGATATGCCACTTTGTAGCCTTCAAAAATCACTGATAGTAGCGGGTGTCAAGTGAAAGCAGTCATCTCAAAGTATAAAGAATGTTGACTATTCTGACGTCAGTGTATGCCTCAGTTCTTTGGCCGAAATATGTTGGAATAAATTAGGCGTCTCATCATTGTCGTCACTTTTACAATATTCGAATTATCTTGTGTACAAGTACTATAGTACGAAGGCTAGCAGAGTCAATAGCATCGAAATGCCTCACCACGCATGGATAATATCGTCTAATTCAAATGCCATATGCCATAAGTCGCGGAATTTATGATACATCAAAACGATTTTTATGCTTCCATATATCATTTATCATCCCAAAATTCAACAAATTTTGAATAAATATATGTCTTTCAGCTAATGATTTCTCGAAATGTCCTAATAGATGCAACTTTACGGCACAATACAGTGATAGAACTTCCATACATAAGATTTTATGATAACAAAATAGCACCTTTCGCATAACAGAACATACCGATGAATGTGCTCATTTGATTTGAACCTGTGAGCCCACAATCGGTTATCAGCGACTAGATGACAAGCGTATTTAAAGCTCAGTGCAATGAATTCACTAACAGTTGATGCCGTTGAATGAAAAACAGGAAGTTTTGGCGCGTTTCAATGCTGCATACTTTACTGCGTACTTCCATTCCAGTGGATACAATACTGCCGGAGTTCGATTTCGTTTTCTCAGACAAATTTTCTTTCTGATTGAAAAATGAATTAAGCTTGAAGGAATGCAGTATATAAATTATAACTAATTTTTTTTTTATCATCCCACGCAGCAACAAATTGACTTATTATGTGGCTAACATCAAATATAATATTATTTCTTATACGGTAATGTATCTCATTCTTCTCTAAAATATTTGCTTTAAAAATTCTTTGCATCTTACATAACAGGCTACACCTATTGTATTGGCCTTCCCAAAACAATAATATGCCATTGCAACTACGCACAGTTACATTTACGCATATTAAATAATAAAACAGTACGCTTTCTGGGTATATGTAGTACGTAGAATTAATTCTTTTCGGGACGCTATATCATAGCTATCAAGGAAAATGTCTCACACACATATCTAGATGTGCGTCGAATAATTCTGTCTCCACCAGGTTCAGTAGTATTGGTGTCTCGCGACGTGTGAGAGGAAAGCTGCTCAAAAAACTTTATTAAACTCTTTGTAATTGAGTGTGAGGCAAAAAAAAAAACAGATACAATGAATCATTGATTATATGCCTAATAAGAATAGGATTAAAGGTATACAAAACCTGTATATTGATCGATTTTTCTTTTTATCATTTTAAGAAAATCGAACCACGAAGCAAAATGAACATTTACTGTGCCCATGGTATTCATCTGAAGACGATTTAGACCAAAAACATACGAAAACTAAGTTAAAATATTTGGATTTACTTTACACGTGTGTCTGATTGTACAGTTTCAAACGAAATGGTTTTAAATGGCCAACTAGCTTGTAAAAGCAGAATTGCAGAAAGTTCCACAATTAAATTACAAAAATCTTGTAAAGTGTATTGAGAATATCAGGGGTCAAAGGCCGGAAACAGTTCCGTCACAAAAACAACAAAACGTACAACGTAATAGTAGGTCAAAATATAACGTTTCATAAATCTACTTAAATAAATAGTTTGTCAATAATTATTGAAAATGCGGAGTTCATTTCAAAACAAGGTGCAATAAACCCGTCTGGCATTAGACATTTAATGGGATTTATATTGAAATAAACAAAACGGTGCCAGGAAAATATCGCCGCGCTAGTCCAGCTCCGTACAGAGTGGTGGCCGCCTTATCTCACATTGTGACGAGTTGTAAACAAGCTTTGTTTGCTCATTTGGTATTAATATGCCAGCAAATATGCCCTGAAAAGCATTTGTGAATCAGACCACTTCGTTGCATCAACGATCATGAGCGTTTCAAAGGACGAATGCGAAAGTACCGATATAGAATTGGATTCGGAACATAATATTTCTCAGCATGATAATGCCGACGCATCTTCAAGCTTATTGTCTGGAATATATGGAATGCTTATCACCGTTTTTAGCATGGTAATATGCATCAACCATTACGTCACTGATGACGTAAGTATTCTCTAATTATGTCGTAGCAAATGATTTTTTTAACTCCCTTTTTTCTTTTATCAAGTAAATTTTCATATTGGAAAAAGTTTTCAAAATTGGGGCGTCTATATACGTTTTACTAATATAATAGAAAACTCGGTAGGTCTATTTAGATATGGATTGAACAGTTACTAATATATATTTTCAATATAAAAGTTAAGGGCAGTTTGCTTTACATTTATATCCAGGTAACAGATGTTACAGTCGATGTATATTTTATTTTGTTATGTCTAATTGGGAGTATTTGGATGATATCATTTCGACATATTGCGACATCTTGTGGTAAAGAACCCACTAAATTTCTCACGGTAAAAGGAAATCATTCAACAAACAGATGGCTAAAAGGTTTGATACTGTAATTGTTTTCCTAATATATATATATATATAAATATGAATAAAACTGTTAGACTGATTGAAATAGTATTACCAAGCGCTTGCTTGTAATTATCATTCCACTCAGCCATTTTTTGTAACACAAAAATATTTTTAATTTTGTCGTTGTCCGATATGTGATTCGAATTCAGTACTGAATTCTTTAATAAGAATGAATGCGGTTTATTTCCAGTAAAATTATCAATTTATCAAAAAAATACTGATGTTTTAGGTATGTAGACTTACAATCAATGCTTTATATAGCAGGATTTTTTAACTTTGTATACTCTCTATTATAGATATGTGTGCAGTATATAAAATTTGAAAAATATTTCTCTAGGTTTACAAATAAGCATAATAACATCTATTGGGCGACAAAAATTTTTGCAATCTGCTATATGGTTTAATGGCGTCATATGGCCATACTTTCATGTTTGGAACATTTATCCCAAATGGAAGAAAATTTCCCCCATTATTAAAACCCTGTTTGATAGTGTGTTGTCGAGAAGCTGTTTTTGTCCAATTTGGTGGTACTGTATTGGGAGCAATCTGTAATAGCATGTGTTCAAAAAGGGGTATTTTTTTATTCAGGAATATTGGTTGTTTTCGGCATTGCAATTATTATCAAGGATGTTCTGGAATCGTTGACATTATTCGAATACACCACAGAAGATTGCAAGAAGCCGATTTATTTTATAGCACCTGTCATGCAGATAGCATTTGTAGCCATTGAAGTCAATTTTCTTTTCAAATATTCGAAGTTACATTTGCAAGATCATCGAACTATAAATCAGTAAGTGTGAAAATAAAAAATATAGATTTTGGTATTTTGATGAAAATAAATGTCTTTGCTGGTATAGATAGCCTTCAGTTTTGAGTGCGCTTGAGAGATTGTTGTATTATATCACTAGTAATGTTATTGTAAACATTAGCATTTGTGATTCTTTGTAACATGATCACATGATTTCAAGTATTTTATTAAAATCGCAAATGCGTTTTTAACTTCAAAAATTATTAAGATTTGGTTCAATGCATGTATTGGCAACCAATCTTTCAATATGGATGCTTGTTATAATTGATGAATCAATGGACGGTATTGTAACTCTTGATACAAAGAAAAATATGAGCTCAGGTCGACCAATCGAAGATTCTGCAGGTGAGTAAAATATAAATATTACTCTCGTTTCACCTATTTTAATGAATGTTCCACCGACCATGGGTTTACTCCATGGCAATGGCTAATCAGCGAGGCCTCAACAATGACGTAACAATAGAAACTTTTTATCGGTGGCCTGACATCTTTTTGCTTTGAGAAATTGTATGCTTGTTTCGCGTTCACAAAGCTTATCTAGTGATCTTCAAGTCATGCAACTGATTTTGGTAGCTCATACTAACGTCCAATTTCCTCCTCCTTCACCAAAGAAGACATTCATTTGTTTTTAGACATTAGTATACGATAATTACTCAAATAATAATTTTGTTTCTATTTCTTACTATTTTTATCAGAGTGTACCTGCAACACGTCATATTGTGATGCAGTTGTCGGGGCTCATTCGTTCCTTTATCCTTTCTTGATTGAATTCAGCCTTGTGTCAAGTTGTATGTTATACATTGTATGGAAAAATATCGGAAAACCAAGTCACAGTATACCGTCAATTAAACCTGCTTATAAATTCTATAAATCGTATAAAGGTATGATATGATAGAAAGTAGCTCGATTAACGTATAAACTCGTCTATGAATTAAACCTAAAAACAACTAACTAACCGCTTTATGATCGAGTTATTCGGACGTATCCTATATATATTCCCATTTGGACGGATCACATGCGCAAATATATCGTTTCTAAAGTGAACAATTTCACCAATTTCACGACGATAACATGTTGAACAATGCAGTCTTTAAAGCGGTATTGTCGCGTCATTTTTTCGTAATATGACGCCCTATTTTTGGTAATGTTATTCAATTGACACCTCCATTGAAATTCCATGTACGATACTGCTTTTTCTTAACATTTTATTATAAGAACAAGCTTATTGTTGCCACAAAACAAATTGCATTTACTCAATGTTGGCTGACTCATTTTACACAAACTTCACTGTTTTCCAATACATAACTGTGGAGAATATTACTATAATCAGAAAAACGTGGGGAGGATAAGTATTTTTAAGGTATTATATGTGTCACGTTCAGTTGTAAATTCACAACTGATAAACAAACTGTACGTCATTATTTTTTATTACCAGTTTGATTCAAACATTAATGTCAATGGGTTGCGTCGCAATATGTTATTGTATCTTTCACTTTATGTGCCGTAAATATTTAGTAGAGATTTTAGTACTTGACTTTGTTTTGTATGTTTCACACGATTCTTGAAAATGCTTGTTTGAAACGAATTTCATCATTATGAAACATTATCATTACTGGTTCCAGTAACAAATAGGAGAATTGAAACAATATCACTGTGATTTAGTGTTCAAAATAGAATATGACGGAAAATCAACTAATCAAGAGTTCAATAAGAGTACTAACAATACCAATTAATACTTTTTTCGTAACGTATAAACTTACTTCAGTCAATTAGACATTGTAATTCAAGCAAATCATCTTCGTGAACCAAACAGATAATATTTATTGATAATTCAAATCCAGAAAGAATCGAAAATATTCATAGTTTGGGAACCTAAAATGGCAGCCTATTATAGTGTAATTTTGTGAACGAAATTCAGTATTGCACCACTTGTCTTCAATGTATCAATGGAGCATAGACAGTGCCAAACACTGCTGCTACTCATCTGTAGGAACAAGTGTTTGTGTTTGCGTCACTCGTCTTAGTGACTGAATGTATAAAATATACTCGTATACACGAGTGCTTTGCATGTATGTTGAAGTAATATCGCCGTATTTACATTTTTTACAGTATGATAATATAGCTAACCTCTACAAGAGTTTAGGGATGTTACTTTTGCCGCCAACATATTGCTTCAAAACACCCTCATGTCAGTTGATCTTAATGTCCATATATATATTTGAACTTTGCTCCCTTATTTAAAATGCAGGTGCTGTTACGTTTTAAGACATGTTTAAAATAAAGTTATAAACCACGCATGGTCTATATCGATGTAGACAAGAATCATACAATTTGAGCTATGTTGTAGAAAAAATTTTCAACACTGTAATTCACAGTTATACTTTTTTGTTTCAGGTTTTGTTGCAGGCGGTGCTACTCTAGTCATAACTGTTGTTGTTCTCGTCTTTATTAACAACAGTCATTCTCAAACGGCTGCAACAGAACAAAGTTATGACTCGGAAAAAATAACCTTAATCATATTTAACACGTATATGGTGAGTTTGTACTTATATTTTCAAAACCAACAAACTTTGTAGCGAAACAACCAGTAATTCCAGAGAAAATACAAGAAAATTTATAAGTTATAGCCTTCGTGAAAATCACTTTGTATAATTCTTGACACCGGTATTTACGCAGATCATGTACTTTTAAATATATTTTACAACCCTAAATCCACTAAATAATCCGTATGCAGAGTTCTATGGATTGGGTATGCTATGTCAGTCAAAGAGCCTGTACACTTTTACACTCTTATATGCAACATTCTCTGTGTTTTAATATTTGAGCTAAAACCCAGATATCAGGGAGTGAAACAACCGCAAAATAAATAAAAATAATGTTTCGAGACTATACTAACAATAATACGACACCGGATTGTAGGGTGCGTTACAACATGTATTACTTGAAAAAAAAGTCGTACTGGTTCGAAATGACCGCAGAAGCGTCATCGTGGTTAAAGTACCTAAACCGTAACATTTACATAAGAGTACATTTTTGAACGTCCAGTATTTCATGCTATTTACATCTAGGCAACGATCTTGAAAATGTCATTACATCGTTGGGGGTACCACACTTTTATTAGCAATGACTCAACAGGAATCTAATCATTGTTTCTTTGTCGTAAAGCAATACACATTTCCACTTATGTTTAGTCGATGTCTCATCTGAAGTAAATACAAACAAGTGTTTGCATTCTGATAACTCATTTATTAATAAATTTAGTGACATTTTCACAAAATCTGTTATTTGTTTGACATTCTTGCCACTTCATATCGTTATATACATATAAATAGTTTTTGCTATATAACAAATATATATATAATTTCTCTCATATCCAAAACAAGTAAACGGAGAGCATATATATATACTTTTTCTTCAGACTGATTGAAATATTTTTTTTATGAAACGATATTCCAGTAACATTCAAAATCGAATGGAAAAGATTCGACAGAAAGACAATACAAACCGTTTGGCTTCTTTTTGCGGATACTGAAACTATATCAGGAAAGTGTGGACAAATTAATAAACTGCTGTCTGTCATGAATTGATTGCAAATTCGCTGCGTTAAATTATATATGAAGCCAACATAATATCAATCCACACATATAAATACGGACTGAATATTCATTTTGTTATTGCTTCTTTCATTTAGCTAACTCACTCATATTTATCACAATATTGTCATCACAAGTTTTTATTCTGGAACACAATTCATGAATAATATAACATCTTTACAATTTCAGGTGGCAATAGAAGTATTTATGCTCGTGGCTTGTGGATTCGGATTGTACCTATTTCATCGAGAACCTCGACCGGTGATTTCAATCGTTAATCTAGATGTTGTTCTTCTTCTTGTTACTATAACTGGGAGTGCTACACTTGATATATTTTATGCATTTGCAATATATGCATCCATAATATCAGATGAAATGTGGTATTGGGGAGTCGTTTATCCTGTCGTCGATTTGCTGCAGATTATTGTGCAGGTATGCATATTATGGGGCGTTTGAAATGCTTATGAAAATAGTGTAACGTATCATGTCACTTTTATCGTTACTTTCATCGAAAGTCCGCTTACTTATTAATCATAATGTGCTTAACAAATGTTGTATTACATACTCCACGTGAGCATATATTTTTGTTCGAGCCTGAATATGAAAGGTAAATTGAAAAACTGTAAGTATGCATGGTTGTAGGCGATAAATAATTGTTTTTGCGAGTAGGCTACCGGCACAAAGCAACAACTTTGCCACGAATCTGACAAAAAAAAAATTCATTTTTGATCTGATCAGAATTCAAAAAAGCTCGAAAAAGCTTGACCGAACTCAATAATAACGTCCCCTAAATCTTTTTTTTGTGAAAAATGTTTTAACATGTGTGTTTTGGCTGCAATTTAGAAGTTCTTTTGACAATTTCAACCCACTTTTGATACTCTGAAGGTTATGTTTCTAATCGCTGGATTATCCAGACATCCAGTTGTTGAGAAGGAAGAATTGTTCGAGTTAAAACAAGTTTCCTCGACAAGAGAACAAAAAGATCTCAACCACAACGATTTTACAAACAGAGCTTTCGACGGTGACGAAAATTCAGTTAAAGAAAAGAAATCTACAAACATGTCTATAAAAGTGGATATCGACGGTTCCATAAAACATAGTGACGTCATAGAGGATGCTCAAGAGTCGAGTTCTAGCACTCACCAATCGGATGGCGGGGAAGGCAGCTCGACCGGTGTTTCGTCATTATCTTCTACAAAAACTACACTCATGAAGAAACAAGAGGAAATAGATAACGTGGACAATATTTACGTTCAATTTCATAATGATGAAGGCCAAATACAGACCCAAGTAGTTCAGCCTGTGCCCAGATATGTTGAACGTCCCAGAATTGCGGCTCCGAATAAAATAAGACTCCGGATTCGCAACACTGTTATGTTTTTACTGATCGCAAACGCGTGTGTGTGGTTCTTCATGTCCTTGGAAGGCACAGCATTTAAATTATATACTTACCCGTATAGATATTATGGCAGAAATCCACCTAGAAATGTGTGGCAAACTGCTTCTATGATTTGTCTTCCATTGAGTATATTTTTCCGCATGCACTCATGTGCTTGTCTTTTTGAGCTATGGGCTTTCGCTTAAATAGAAAAGTGCTTTGCCTATCACGAGCTATAGAATGTAAATGAGAACATGTTTGTAACATTGATGATATGTCAATTATAGACCGTAAACATTTACGTTAACCTGACTTTTTAAAAATTCTACCTTATTTGTAATGACATGGTAAAACTTCCAACAATACAATATGAATCATTGTACATGGTGAATAGATAAAGAGCGTGTATTGCTGGGTTGCAGTGTATATAATGTGATCTGCTGTTTATATTTTAATCCATTATCTTACTTCAGTTACTGAAATGTTTTTTATCGCTTCGTTTTACAATTTAATCTCAATTTTTTTTATTGAATACATTTTCAAAAGCCTGGACTGTATTGACTCAATGCAGCGATATAGACTTTAATGCCTGGGGAGGGAAACTGTTTTTTATGTGTTTATTTTATATTAATTAGACCAGCGGTTCCCAAAGTGAGCGAAAACGCCACCTTGTGGGCGTTTTCGATAACTTGGAGGGCACTGATGGCGATTTGGGCTGACATCAATACGGGAACTCACAATAGGTGTGATATTTTATGCCACATGTTATGTCATATGTTTTGGTTCAAACTAGTTTGCTTGTGATTTCGGCGTTGGAAATTTCTCGCCTAACGTAAAATAGGTATTATGACTTTTCAAACCCGTATTGTTTCATAATGATACTTGTCTAGCGCAAACATCATATAGCCTACCGTACTTCGTTTACCATGCACTTCACGTTTCGTTGTACTGTATTGCATTACATCTTCATTTTACTATCGGGTGATTTAAAGCGGTAGTGTAAGTACAACACCCTTATGTTATAATTTTGGTTTTAGAGTAACACGTGTGAGCTAGGCATGTGATCGAAATGGCGTACGCCAAATAGGACCATCTCCATGTTGCGAGTGACTCGACTGGTTTATTTTTATTTCTTAGGTCATTGGATAATAAGGCTACATATGTAATACATAAATTGGCAAACGGCAGAAAATCTAGCCTGTTGTTATATCATGTTGTTTTGACATTGTTCGATGTCGGTTTATCATTTGTGTTGCGCTAAACTATCGAATACAGTGACTTAAGCAGCATATTTAACTGATTTATATTAAAAACAGTATTTTACAGCGTGGTCCCCAAAAAACGGAACCAACAATTTCTCAATTACTTCTACGAAATGGAGTGAATTATTTAATGTTGTCTATACTTGAACTTCTGTTTGCGCATGTTTGTACCCAAAAGTGTCGGAAAATCGAGGATGTGCTGCACAAAAATTATGTTGTTTTTCGAATATGTTCCAAATGCTCTCCTCGACTTTGAAGAAACAATTGCATTCTTTTTGCAACATTGTCAATCACTTTTCTTTGGGTAATTCTCTGTTTTATTTCTGCAATTGCAGCCCTGAGTTCACTAATCGTGAGGATTGTCCTGATACTAATTGTTCTTCGAACACCCTACATATATATCTAAATCTGAGAGGTTTCAGTCCAATAATTAAGGTGCCCACTGCATATCATTGCTGATTGCTTTTCTCTCAGGAATGCAGGCGTCTGATTTGATGTATTGGGGGAGGGGTTGTCCCGTCATGCTGGAACCACTGCTGGTCACCTCTATCAATCCCTCAAGTCATGTCCAGATTTTTCTCAGCACAACCACGTAATGTTCTGTTTTCACCGTTTGAACTCTTTCATTTCCATGGCCTGACAGCAGAAGGTGCGCTTCATCAGAAAACTAAGTGAGTGGTAAAAAATTTTGGAATGAATTTTCAGAAGCAAAAATGCGCCACTGTTCACTACCCTTGGGTTTATACTTTAAACCCAGGTTCAGTCTTTCAGTGTTGCATCTTTTTGACAACAGAATCAAATTAAAATATCTTCACGTGTAAGATCGGGTCAAATTTTATTATTATTTTTCATTGCTCTTGCAGTGGCCGCACTTTTACATATCAAGAGAGATTCTCTCAACAGGGTCAGATAAGACTCGAGACTCGAGGTATTTTAATACGCTCAACCTTCACATTATAATAATAATGAATGGGGAATAAAGTTGCTTTGACTTTTTTTTCCTTCAGGGGGGCGTTCGCTATTTAAAAAGTCGTCCAAGGAGACGCTGGCAGAAAAAAAGTTTGGGAAACACTGATATAGACCAAATCCAAACTTGAAGACATGAAAGCGTTGGAACTGATGGAAAATTCTTTGCGTGCTTTACCATTGTAATTATTTTGACCAGCGGGTAGTGTTTATACTTGGCTTGTAAAACTGGTTTATATAGGTCGATAGTCATCGTTTTGATTCAAAAATTAAGCTACTTGCTAAAATTTCCTTTGAGTAACAGATATCACGGAAAACTTGTGTCATTATTTGTATTTACTATATATATATAACGACATTATTGTGAATGGTAGTGTAGACTTGAATTATATAAATAAATACGGAAACAGTATCTTTTTCAAGTGCTGATTTCTGAAGATTCCAAGTTTGTTTTCAGAAAATGAATTACTTCTTTCCACGATTTTTCTTGGGCTATCGCATGATATTTTACACTGCCGCTAAAATCAGTAGGTTTGTCTGGGCTTACAGCATGATAAGCATATATAATTGGAGCTATGTACGGTGGCAATATCAAATGTCCTGTTTTTGCATATTTTAAAATTTTGTACTCCCTTTTTTTCGACCTTTCAAATGATTCTTCTATAAGCCTTATCACTTCGTCGCAATGAAAAAGTTTATCGTCCTCTCCGACAATGATTAAAAAAGATGCGGATGACTTATAAAAAGCAGGTATATGATGCTTCATGTCATCACTATTTGGAATGGTATGTACGTCTATGTGATTTTGTATATTATCGGATAATGAAATTCTTTTCATGTTCATCTCTACTGATTTCCATACTAGTTGCTTATATTTTATATCCACACCCAAGGAAGCATTCCTGATATATTAACAACACATTTTATTTTTGGTGAACAGGACGCAATTGCTAGAGCTAAAGTCCCTCCAGCTGAAAAGCCAACTGTGCCTATCCCAGACTTCATAACACTTTTGTGTTCGTGCAGATAATCTACTGCTTGTTCAATATAGTCAAGACTGGTAATCTCTAACTTTTCTGGCCTATTTCCACAATTAAAATATCCAAGGGCCAGAACAGCGAATCCATGATTTGCTAACAAGGATGAACGAAATTCAACGACTCCACCAAACAATGCATCCAGATGTAACACTCCTGTATAAAGCTCATTTCCACAAGGCAGAAATAATGTGCCGAATATTTTTTCATTATTATCTGTATCCTTTTCGCATTTTCATCGTTGTATCTACGTTCGATGCTAGTTCTTGCAATTTCATGTGCTGACCAAATGCGCTTCTCTTCAAGAAAACCGTTAAAGATTTTGAGAACCACTGTGGATGGCGCAACGTCAAATTTGAACAAATTTCCAAAACTTTCCTCAATGTGACATGGTCTTTTCATTGCCCAGAATAATCCCATTTCAGCAACACCGCTGTAACTTCCTCCCAATGACGTATCAACCAAGGTGTATATCAACCTATTGTGGTTAGCAGCATAATAGGCATATGCGTGAAAAAGTTGACCGTTGTTGTTTGCTTGCTGAGTCTGTATTGAGACTTTCTGGTGAGGTCTCAAACCGTTTGCTTTTATCGCAATTATTTCATCAGCCAATGAACTCGATGGTGCAATGATTTCAATCATTTTGCAGCCTAATATGAATTTGTGATTCAATCATAATATCTGAAACGATATATATATATCTAATGTAGAAGTATACACTCTACCAGGGATGGCGAACCACTGACCCACGGGTCACAACGAAACCGGCCTTAATTTTATCTAACAATGAGCGAACGCTCATTTAGATATTAAAACGATGTCATGCACACTAAAAATACAACAAATTAGGGATCATAAAATTTGATTTGGGATCGAACAAAAACTTGTAGACTTCAATTAACAACCCAGGAATCTGAAATAAAAATCCAGCAGGATGGTAGTTATCTTAATGCGGTTAAAAGCGGTCGAAAAGTTTATTTTTCTCAGATCGGAATTCTTTTTCTAACTTCTTTGAAATCATTAACAAATTTGTTGCATCACGATAAATGTTTTTCGATAATTCATATGCATGCAGGAGAGTATTTGCTCACGAATTTCATAAAATCGATTACCGGAAATAGCCTCAGTTCTGATAAGAGTGCTGCATGTATAAGCCCAAAACTAAACAATACCAGCCAAGAATTATATAATATATACTTGAAGAATAGATGCAGGAGAATGTTTCCCGTTGATTGATCAAAAATATATGACCCACAGTCTTCTTTTCTCAAACAAATAAAATATATTTGACTCATTTATTGTAACAGGTTCATCACCCCTACCTTATGATAGATGAATAGGAAGAGACTATGTACGTGATACCAGCAATATGTGTATTAAAGTAAATCTGAGAACAAATCACTTTTTCCCTGGCCATCGTAAGATCCAATTGCAAATACATGAGGATAAAAATGGAATGGGATTTTCGTACGTCTGTACGTTGTCATTGTGGAACCAAATCAAAATTTGATGGTCTGGTCGTCTCTACACGTTTTAAGCCTGCAATATGTACTGGATATGACTACGGCAGACCTCAAATAACCATGACCCTGTCCGACAAAGTGACTATTAAAAGAGCTGAATATATCGAAAATACCGTTTCTGTCTAAGTCGATACAGATATCGAAAATCGGCCGGAATTGCTAAGTTCATCTCTAATATATACACTATCGGTAGGGCTTCTGACCCAATTGAAGATCTTTATAATTTATAGGTAATTTTTTAATGAATATTTTATGCAGCTAATGTCTGTCAAATTTAGGTAGCCCCTTTGTTTTACCTTCGTCGTCTCATTCTACATAAAAGCAACATTCATCTACAATCCACATCATTGTTGCCTTGACCGCTCAATGACTGGCACATCATATTTAGAGCCAGTAAGACTGCATCGGTACAGTTTCGGAATTAAATATGATCGTCAAATTAGTTTCTAAAACTCTCAAACGCTGCCGTGTGCTGCAAAACCACAGTTCTATAGTCGGATAATGCAAGTGAAGAATTTTATTATGCAATTACTCGAAAGCGCGAATCAATCAATTATGCCACTTCAAAAAGTATATCTTCAATAATAGTTTCTATTTGGCTTGTTTCTTTATATGGGCTTTCAATATCAGTTTTTCGTGTCCGTTTCTTAATGTTATCAAAAGTAATTAGATGGCTTCTCATTTTTTCCAAATTTTCTATTTTATAGGCTCGGCATTTGAATTATATTTCCCTTTTCCTGTTTTCCCTATTTCCCTTTCTTGCAACGTCTTCATTCGCTAGTAGAGTTCTGGGTTCGATATTTTTGACTCCATATATATATATATATGAGTTCCGATTCGCCATGTTCATAACCATTATTTTTTATACCTCGCACTTGGCATCGTGGCTATAAACCTTTTATAACCTTACGCTACGATAGAATGAAGATATACATTGATGAGCGCGCTATTAACACCTCCATCCCTGTGTTATAAATAGTTCATATTTCTAAAATGCTTCAAAAAACAAATAAACTGAAATTGAAGTTGAGTATTGGCAACGAAATCGTTCAAATCTCACAGGAGATATTATTAAATTAGATATTTGTGTTACTGTACTTCATCAGTCATTTATTTGAAAATACTGTCAATGGTTACGCTATATATGTAACGTAAAATCTATCATAAAAATATTACCATTGTGACGTAATGTGATTACTCAAATGATGAGTAGCGCGACAACTCTTAATTGTTGCGGTGCAATGCATCTCATCTATTCGTCTGGCTCACCAGTCGACATATAGTTGTGTTAACTTGTAGACGTTGTTTATGATCGCTGTTTAAGTTGTATTATTAAAGTTGTGCCGCTGTTCTCAATAAATGTAGTTCAGCTGTATACGAGTTTCTATTCTGATCAGATAGCAATTAAGCAACGAAACATGGTGTCAGAAGTGGTTCTATTCTTTGTGGATTAGCGAGAATACGAATTACGCCTGAAATTGCTCATCTGCAGACTTCAGATAGAAAATGAATCTTCCTACTCCAGCGCCATTGAATGTTAAAAGTGGCAGTTTATCTCAAAATTGGAAGATATTTAAAAGAGCATGGGACTACTATGAAATTGCCTGCAAGTTAGACAAAGAATCCAATATTCTGCGTACTGCAACTCTGCTGACTATAATTGGCGCTGATGCGGTTGAAATATATGATGGATTTAAATTTGATTCTGAGGAAGACAAGAAAGATATCAACAAGGTTCTAGAAAAGCTTGAACTATTCTGTATTGGCGAAATAAATGAAAGCTATGAAAGATATGTGTTTAATCATAGAGGGCAATTGCCTGGTGAACATTTTGACACATTTTTGTCAAGTCTGAGATCATTGGCAAAAACCTGTAATTTCGGAGCGTTGGAAGATAGTCTGATACGAGACCGAATAAATGATGGAGTACCCGATAATGACCTTAGACGAAGATTGTTACAAGAACGAGATTTAACTCTGGCAAAGTGTATTGATCGCTGTCGAGCTCATGAATCGACAATGATTCGCCTGGAAACAATGAAGTCATCGATGGAGACTGTCAACGCAACTGAAAGCAATCAAACAAAGAAGACCCAATTGAAGCCTGTGACTGAAAGTGCTAATGAGAGCAAACTCAATATTCGTGAGTGTAAATTTTGTGGTAGAAAGCACATTTTTGGTAGAAATTATTGTCCAGCGTGGGGTAAAGTTTGCAACAGATGCAATATTAAAAATCACTTTGCAGTGAAATGTCGATTGAGAATTAAATATAACCATGGGACCGATGGCCCAAATGCTGAATGTGTCGATACTTATCATAAAAATGACATTGTTATGTGTGAAAAAATTTATACCAATAGCAGTACCAATTTATCTCGTAAGAAATTTTTTACTCAATTATTGTTGAATAATTTTAGGATCAATTTTCAAATTGATTGTGGGGCAACTGTTAATGTTATTTCGAAAAGCCACTATATTAAGGCCAGCAACGACTATAAATTGATTAAACTAGTACCTACATCCGCTAAATTATCAATGTATAACAAGACGTTAATCTTGCCGTTGGGGAAGATTTCTTTACCGGTTTATAACCCGAAAAATGGTATATCTTATTTTCTAGATTTTATGGTTATAAAACAACCATTAGTACCATTACTGGGATTTGGGGCGATTCAAGAACTGAATTTAGTTACTGTCAATTATGAAAATATCTTTTGTACCATTTCCAAATCATGTAATTTTGAAAAATTTTCCAAGATGTCGCTCAGCCAAATTTTTGCCGAGTTTGCTGATATATTTACTGGCACGGGCAAACTTGAAGGAAAATTGAAACTGGAAGTTGATAATACTGTTACTCCAGTTCAAATGCCTGTGCGAAAAGTACCATTATCACTTCAAAGCAAGGTTAAGAATGAACTGGACAGATTGATGAATGAGGGTATTATATCCCCTGTAGATTGTCATACGCCATGGATTTCAAATTTGATTGTAGTATCAAAGAAATCTGATAATATTCGTTTATGCCTTGACCCAAAGCCTTTGAATAAGGCTTTTAAACGGAACAATCATCCAATGCCTACTATTGACGATGTATTGCCTCACTTTCACAAGGCAAAAGTATTCACCATTGCCGATGTTAAAAATGGTTTTTGGCATATTGAACTCGATGTTAAAAGTAGTTATCTGACAACATTTGGTACTCCATGGGGTCGCTATAAGTGGCGATTGGCGAAGAATGGCATTCGGACCTAAACGGTCCCCTGAAAAGTTTGTGCGCCGTCTGAACTTTGCTCTTAATGGTTTAAGTGGAGTTATGCCAGTTACCGATGATATCTTGATATATGGTGTGGGTGATACCATAGAAGAGGCAACGCTCAATAACAAAAAAATTTTTATGATCTTCTACAAAGATGTAGAGAGAAGGGTATTAAATTGAATATAGATAAATTACAATATATGAAAACAGAAGTTGCTTACTTGGGTCACGTTATCAGCAAAGACGGTTTAAAACCAGATTTGGCAAAATTGGAAGGTATCAGAGATATGCCTCATCCGACTGATAAACAAGGTGTGCAAAGAATTTTGGCTACTACAAATTTTCTACAGCGATTTGCTCCGAAATTATCTCAAATTAGTGCACCTATCAGAGAACTTCTTAGAAAAGATAATGAGTTTGTATGGGACAAAAAAGTACACGGTACATGTTTCAATACAATGAAAGAGACTCTGATGAAATCTCCTATTTTGCAATATTATGATGAGAAAGCCCCTATTGTCCTACAATGTGATGCTTCTTCAAAGGGCTTGGGAGCTTGCTTGATGCAAAATGACCACCCTGTTGCTTGTGCTTCACGTGCTCTGACATCTACTGAGTGCAACTATGCCCAAATAGAAAAAGAACTTTTGGCGATTTTGTTTGGCATGGAAAAATTTGAACACTATGTGTATGGAAGGACTGTACGAGTCGACTCTGATCACAAACCACTCGAAACTATTACTAAAAAGCCATTAGTAGATGCACCAAAACGACTACAAAGAATGCTTCTTTAATTACAAAAATATGACTTTGTGGTAAATTACAAAAAAGGTGCAAATATGTTCATTGCCGATACCCTGAGCCGAGCATATATTGATAAAAGTACTGACACGATTGGTAAAGGTGATATATTTCATCTGTCACTGGCTAATGAAATTGAAGAAATTGATATGTTGAAAGATATTCCAGTGTTGGACAAAACAATGCATGTTTTACAAAAATCTACAGAGATAGATTCGACAATGCAAACTCTTAGAGCCCTCATTGAAGATGGATGGCCGATTACCAAGAAACAGCTTCCACGGTCCATGCAAGAATATTTCAATTTTAGAGAAGACCTCACTGTTCAAAATGGGCTTATTTTGAAAGGATGTCGTATTGTGGTACCAGAATCTGCCAAACAATATGTTCGGCAGCGCATACACGCAAGTCACATTGGGATACAGGCTTGCATTCGTAGAGCAAGAGAGGTTCTGTTCTGGCCAAAAATGGCCAGTGACATACATGATTATGTCTCGCCATGCACTACTTGTCGAGTGTTTCAACCTAATCAACAAAAAGAGCCGATAATTCACCATGAGATTCCTTCTCGACCATGGCAAATTATTGCGTCCGATTTATTTGAATTGCAGGGCAAAAGCTATCTGGTAACAGTTGATTTTTACTCCAATTTTTTACTCCAAAGTTGACAGACTTCATACGACGACATCTGCAGAAGTTATCAAAGCATTAAAACAACACATGGCTAGACACGGCTTGCCTGGAAAGCTGATTTCTGACAACGCTCCTCAATATAGTAGCGAGGAATTTAGAAGATTTGCTGAAGATTATGAATTTCAGCATGTTACAAGCTCTTCTACATGGCAAAGCAGAGTCCGCCGTTAAACAAATGAAGAGCATAATGGTAAAAGCTATTGAGAGTAAGAGTGATGTATTTCTTGCATTGCTCGATTGGCGTAACACGCCGAGTGAAGGAATCCCAGGATCACCAGCACAAAGATTATTTGGAAGACGCACAAGAACTCTGCTTCCAACATCAAAATCTCTTCTCCGCCCGAAAATTGTTACGAATATCGAACCACATTTAAAGAAGCGTAAAGACATCCAAGCTAAATATTACAACAGGGGAACGAGGGAGCTGATGAAATTGTATCCGGGGCAGTTGGTCAGAATGAAGCCGGACCGTGGGAAAAGATGGCTCAAAGGTAGAATTGAACGACAAGTTGACATCAGATCGTATCTGATCCGAACTGAAGATGGTGGTCTTTATCGAAGAAATCGAAGGCATTTGAGGCATACAAGAGAACCTGATGAGTTCCAACCCTTTACAAAGAATTATGATTACGATTGTAGTATTTCTGATCCATACACATCTTCCTATAACAATGGTGGTATAAAAACACATGACCCTATTATTAATGATAATATTCCCGATAGCAGTGTTTTAGTTAATCCTAGTATATCTGATCAGAAAGAAAGTAGATCAAGCCCCCCTCTTCTCAGGGTATTGGTTAATAATGTTTTATTTTATTGTACATTTATTAATGCTATTTGTATTAATATGCTATTTCTTGTTTGACGGGAAGATGTGACGTAATGTGATTACTCAAATGATGAGTAGCGCGACAACTCTTAATTGCTGCGGTGCAATGCATATCATCTATTAGTCTGGCTCACCAGTCGACATATAGTTGTGTTAACTTGTAGACGTTGTTTATGATCGCTGTTTAAGTTGTATTATTTAAGTTGTGCCGCTGTTCTCAATAAATGTAGTTCAGCTGTATACGAGTTTCTATTCTGAGCAGATAGCAATTAAGCAACGAAACAACCATGTCAGTAACTAAATATGTATATATAGTTAAAATGAAGTGAAATGTCCATCAAAACATATATATATATATATATTGCTTGTTATTGTTGGACTCCAATGCCAAATATCCCAACCAATGTTGCCATAAACTGGAAACGTAAAGAAATGGGGTAGGGCGAGACCACTTATTCACTCTTGCAATTAAAACAAAACAGCCTTTTAATATTTGAGAGATTTCGGCTAGATGTATTTTTGAGCCAAGTCAGAATTTGGCAATCTTGTAGCCTAATGTGCTATATATATATATTTGAGATGGTTGTCAATTTGGCTCTATGGCCGTTGCAAACATCCGAAGGTATTCAAATCTGATATGTTCTTTAGATATTTTGAATTTCACTGTCCATTTTATTCATTCGTTTACACTTTTTTTTCAAATTTACTTTGATACATATATATCTGTTATATTCCGGTACCGTTATGGAGAGCATATTATGTTCCAAATTTGCAGTTTTCAATAAGAATTTAGTGTATGGTTCAAATGTGTAAGTATGAAAAAAATAAGTAATCCAGTCGTGTTTTCATCCTCATATTCACATGAACTTTTTTGATTGCGTTTTGAACCTTTTTTTTTTGAATTTCCACTAGCTTTTTCTGGTTTTACATGCGTTGTTCATGCTTTATCAGTGTGTTAATGTCGCTTCTATTATGTTTGAGTCAAAATAGAAAATATGTCCAGCTGATTGTCATGTCCTCGCTACCCGGTTACCACACTCGCCATAAACCGCATTCATCAATCAATTTTATTTTGGTCGATCTGCTATAAAACAACACTAAACTGACAAACAAAATGCAGAGGATCTGGAAGTCGAGCATATATCAAGAAAGAGTTAAAAACGTATAGAGTTCGCGCCCATCCACCAAAAGCGTTAAAGCACACAACAAAATAACCACACACGATACAAAATCGGGCAATTATTCTGAAAACAATTCAATGTGAAATAACTGATCAAAAGAAGAACGGGGCAATCTTTTTTACAAACTACAAAAATGTTGTGGCCGCGGTTATCATATGTGCAATATTTAAAGCAGAAATTACTGCATATACGCTACATTCCTGATATTGCTATATTTACAATGGATTTTAAACGAAAGCTTTGTCTAGATGAAATATTGGATAGTATTCATCTATCGGAGAAAGAAAATATGGCACAATAAAATTCAGCATTGGCGCTAAACAATGCATCCATCGATATGTTCCATCATTCCGTTTTTAGAAATCCTTATTTTTGCTAGTCGTATTTTTCATATCTTTATGCAATTAAAACGGCAATGACACTGCATATAGCGTTTTTTATTCGAACAGATTTTGAGGCTGGATGTAATGCGTAAATTCCCCCGTGTATCGTTTACAAGTCGTTAGTCGCTTCACGAGAACGAACTTAATAAGTAAATGACGATACGAGCTTGCGAGGAAAAATGTTTTTCGTATGAAACGTAAACGTGCTACGTGCCAACGTAATTGCTTAACGTCGCTGCGTAACGGCGCAAATGTGTTAGATCGTTATTTACGTCACCTTGACGTCGCCTCGATCTTGCGACAAACAAAATCACGAATAAAAATGCTTCTAAAATTTGAATGGTGCAACATACTTCCAATCTAATGGTATCACTGGAAAGCTATCTTCAAATTCTACAAATGTTGTCGATAATGTAATAAGTTTAATCGAAAACAAATTGAAGTTTTGTCAATTAGATTTGAGAAATTTTCAGAAGTTTTTTACGCTTTTTAATTTTGCCAATTTTCATAGGATGATCACAATATTTTATTTCAATTTTAAATTTATACCTAGTCCTGTAGATTATCTTTCACACGATGTAAAACTTGTTTACATATAATATATGGTTCGCGAGATATGAGGTTTCAAAGTTGCATACCTCATACGGGATGCGAAAGCCGCTAAAGCGGCTTTCAGCGTCAGAAGACTTTCTTGGGAAAGCCGCTATAGAGGACTTGCACGGGTCACGTGACCTTGTTTACTGGACGGCAATAAAACAAAAACGTACATTTGGCTCCTGTCAGTTGCAAGTCGGATTATACGTTTCCGTTTTGTTTGGCTGTTGAAGATGGTTATTTCGTATTGTTCCGCTGGCTGTACGTATAGTATAGACAACGAAATGGATCTTAAGTTATATTCCACTGTTTTCAAAAGATCCGGAACGTCGCGCAATGTGGATATCGACTATTGGCAGGACTGCTTGGTGTCAAGTCCAGAAGCCATATCACTTGTGTTTCACTGTTTGCGGACAGCACTTCGTTGATGGTGAGTGATAATGTGCCGTTATCAATTTTTTAAATATTCATAAGCTCCCTCATTTCAATGGTAAGCAGATGACAAACTACTGTTATTGGTAGGCCTAGGCGTAGGCCTACTTGCAGACTTGACTCGTGTAAATTATTAATCAATAATTGCCATAGGGTATTGTTTCCCTAGTTAGCAGGTAATCTATTAGTAAGTGTGAAAAGTTGAATAGATAACTAAAGTTTAACACCAGTGCTAGTGCAAAAATAACCAGAATTCAATTGAATTCTCCATCTAAGAATACGCTCGCCACCGCATCTCTGACCCCCCTGGGAGTTTCACAGGTTCCAATCCCATGCGGGGATAGTTATGTGCGAGGGGATTGCAGCTCTCCTCCCACTGAGGGTAGTTCATACGACCACTGGTCGATTACGACATCCCCCACCATCAAGTCCATGCTTCAAAAACAAATAACTGGCTAGCTAATCCCGACATAGAATGGTAATCGTACGATGTTGCATCTTGCAATCTGTCCCCAACCACAGATAAACTCTATCCTAAAAACTATCCACATTGTTAGGCATAGTTGCGTTTTAAATTGAAAGAAATCTTCATTAATGGTCAGGGGGTGTTGTATGAGTGTTTTGTTAGTTAGCAGGTAATTTATTACTGATCTGATACACAAACTTGGCACTGTCAAATGATGATTAGTGTTTAATTTCTTTTCAGGAAAAAGGGAAGATAACCCATTATCAGCTGCTTATATGTCCCATCGATATTTGTATTTTCGCCATCCTCAGAGAGGAAGAGAATAGTTAGAAAAAGGGAGATTTTGAAGAAAGGCAAAGGCAGGACCATTTTAACAAATTCTGTTAACTTGTATGCGTTGCAATATTAATTTGCAGTTGTTAGCATAAACATTTAATGTGCTTTTCGACTAGACCTACCACACTTTAAAAAAAAACGCCTACACCCCTTTTCACTAGAACCATAATACTGTAAAATATTTGATAGAAATTACCCCCGAGGCATCATATCTTCCATTTGAAAGGGAACGAGCCATTTTTTTACTATAAATTATGAAATGTTACTTCCAGGTTATCTCATCCTTGCTTATAGATATCTTGAGGTTAGTGACTCCAACTGACCCATGCATGCCACACTGAAAATATTTTCTTGTGTACTCATAAAATAAGGCTGTTGGAGCCTTCAGACCTTGAAAACAGTCGAATCTGAGCACGATGGATTCATGTGAAACACGTAATATGCATTTAGAGGCAAAAATATCCCATCCTGAGCAGCACCGATCCACAACCTCCTGCCTATGGAATCAAAACATTAGACAAATTGGTGTACTGTGCGCATTCACAAATCTTTGCGAATCAAGTGTGCCTTTTGACTAAAGAAAATTTAGCATTGAAATGGGCAATCTCAATATCAACCTAGTATCTGCAGATAAAACCAATTGTTTTTTAAAAGTACATTTTTGATGTGCTTTATTTTTCAAATATAATTTATAATTACTGTAAAGTGTGTGATATATTGGTACCATGAATACCATTTGCAAGTTAGCTTGGGTTACACCCCACTCAAATAAAAGTTTAGACTCTTAAGTCATATCTCATAATATTCTTTAAAAAAAAGGTTGCGGCTAGCCGGCTACCCATCAGAATTTCCTTTCAGATCACAAAGTCGCAATATTACGCCTCGGTAAGTTTCCTTGGCAACTGTATCTGGTTGTAGTATCGGTGTCCAACTTTAGACTGAAACCTTCACTACCAGACCCACCGAAACAATTTTTTTTTTGATAGGGTCGTCTTGAAGTTGCTTTCATTAAAGCACAATGAACACTTTATCTCCACCAATCCACAGTAATCACAAGTTACTTTGTCATTACGATAAGCATCAATAAATGGATACTGAGGATGTATTATCAAGTCACGCAAACTGAGGTCTTGTGCCACTGTGGTCTTGTTGCAACTTATCCTTTGCCATCCATCTATTCCATGGTCGCACCCATATCTGTAAGATAATGGATAAAGAAAGAGTTTTCATAAAATCTAACGATCAAGGAGTGTGAAATTTAGGTCCATATCCCACCACAGCCACTCGTCGTAAATGAATTTGATTCCGGGTAGCATATCTCTTTTACCAATGACAATAAAGACATTTTGGATCAGTTGTACAAGCACCATTAGGATAGAATTTATCTCGGGGGGGAGCCAGTTATTTGTTTTCAGAAGCATGGACTTGGATGGTGGGGAGTGGTCGTTTCCGATCAGCGTCATGTGAACCATCCTCGGTGCGAGTAGAGCTGCAATCCTCTCGCATCCTCTCTGGGATTGAAACCTGTGAAACTACCAGGGTGATCAGAGATGCGATGGCGAGTGTATTCCTAGATGGCGAATTCTGGTTATTTTTTGCATGACCACTGGTGTTAAACTTTAGTTATCTATTCAACCTTTCACACTTAGAAATAGATTACCTGCTAATTAGGGAAACAATACCTTATAGCAATTGATTATTAATTCCTTACTGTCTTACACAAGTCAAGTCTGCAACTGCAAGTAGGCCACGCCTAGGCCTACTAATAACAGTAGTTTGTCATCTGCTTTCCATTGAAATGAGAGAGCTTGTGAATATTCAAAGAAATTGATAACGGCACACTATCACTCACCATCAACGAAGTGCTGTCCGCAAACAGTGAAACACAAGTAAGATGGCTTCTGGACTTGACACCAAGCAGTTCTGCCAATAGGCAATAGATGATATCCACATTGCGCGACGTTCCGGATCTTTTGAAATCAGTGGAATATAACTGAAGATCCATTTTGTTGTCTATACTATACGTACAGCCAACGGAACAAAACGAAATAACCATTTGCAACAGCCAAACAAAACGGAAACGTATAATCCGACTTGCAACTGACAGGAGCCAAATGGACGTTTTTGTTTTATTGCCGTCCAGTAGCAAAGTCACGTGACCCGTGCAAGTCCTCTATAGCGGCTTTCAGGGTTCAAAGAGTTAATGGAGAAATAATGTTACATAAAAATTTGTTGTATTTATATAGGGAAAAGGTTCTTGCAATACCAAAAACACTAATACTGTTGTAAATTCAAGGTTCATGAAAACTGTATATGTATATTGCATTGTGTCATATTTACGATTGTGTGAGTAGCTTCTAGCACAAAACAATAGTGTAAATAAAATAATTATGTAAACCATGAACACACGCGCACAAACAATTGTAAACAAAGGCTAAAACGGTAGACTCGGAAAATTCATTTCGGGCGTCTCAACTTTCCACGATGTTTATACACTATATACATAAAATGTCCAGTACCTATTCAGATAAGCCACTTTTCACAAACCAGAGATCAAATCAAAATTAGGGTCGACCTTTGCCCTTGTTGGGCCAACCGTCCAGCTCAAATAGAGCCTCTTCCGGGGGATCCGTCACAGCTTATAGTTCATGGCGGAATTCTTGAATTTGTGTAATGTTTCTTAGTTCTTCAGCTGTCAATCTGTAGACCGATCAATACTTTTGATTCCCATTTGTTTCAATTGTCAATTCCAAATTCGCAGGAAGATAATTCATAGAAGGGTTACCAGGGACAATAGAATCATTCATGAATCAGATTCACAAATTTAAATGATGAACTATACCAATATTCTACCTATATTAAGGACGAGAAATGAATTTTGCATATAATAGAGTTATTTTTTCGTCCGTCCTCTCCTCATGAGTAAACATGAAGATCCTGTTTATTTTATATACTTTCTCATTGTAGACTCGTTGCACTACGATTGTTTTGCAGATGAGTCTGGTCTTTGGCAAGTCTTTGGTTGTTCATTTGGTTAGAAAAATATAGATGCCCAGTTGTGTCAGTGTGCAGTAACATCAATTACTAGTGTACTAGTAGTTCAGGCAGTCAGGACATCTTTGTGAGAACATTAATATGCTTAGACCAGTAGACGCTGACGGACAGTCCCTCAGACAGTCCAGCAGTCAGACAGTCCTGCAGTCATACAGTCATAGGCCTCATTCTGTCATTCCAGTTTCTTTGCCAGCCACAGTGACTGCTGGAATATGTATATCTCAGTATATGGTCTTGGTTTTCTTCGGCATAAAAGAAATCTCAACTCACAGACTCAGCAACTCGAAGACTGAAACCTTGTGGTGAGCTCAGAAACTGGCTTACAACTAATATTACAGTTTAAGTTTACACTAACAGACTAAGTAGGTCAGCAGTTAGGTGAGTTGCAGTCGGAGGTTGACGATATAGAAATTTTTAATACCTTTTGAATATGTGGACATTTTGTATTTGGAGAATTAATTATTATGTGTTACACAGGGTAACTCCAAGAAAACAACTTATTTCAAGAGTATTTTTTCCCAATCTGCTATTACTGTACTGTACAATAATTTTTAAACCTTTAACATTACTCTTTAATATCCATTTGTCTTACAGTATTCACTCAGATCAATGCAAATTTCGTGCAAAATCTATTTCCAGAACTCCTGGCCATTGTTGTCAGAATGTTTATTGGGAGTTAGATAGCAATCTGAATACAGCATTGATTGCTTGCAACTCAATCTATGAAGAATGATTTCTCGACTTGAGTGAGGTTACCGAAATTGAACTGAATTCTTGTTTATTAATTTCAGATTTATAGTATTACTATTAAATAATATATTATATCAATAAAAGTGTAAAAAATGGAAGTAATATCAGATAAAGTTCCAATGATGTTATCCAATTATGAAATGCATGGATTATTGACAACATATTCTGCAGAAATGAAAACAGGGAAACATAAAACTGGACAAAGAGATCAAAATTTATCAACTATCACATATGAAGTTCTTAAATATCTGGAGGGAACACCATGTATTAATCAAAATGAACAGTGCATTAAAGATGCATGCCTTGCATTGGCACCATATAATTTGTCAAAAGCAGAAAAACTTCAAATAATGAATTTACGACCTACGACCCCTGTTGAAATTTCACTAATTGTGGAAGAAAATGAAGAAAGAATTTCTGAAGAACAAATAGACGAGATTCTAGAAATCGTAAAAAAACTTCCTCCCGGTCCCGGATCTGAGGACAAGGAGAATGAAGTAGAAGAAATAGAGGAGGAAGCGGGAAATGAATGATTTCACGTTAATCAACAGCATTAGGTGGTTGATGGATCTTCCGTCATGAAATATGCTGATGTTAGACATTGACTGAATTGTAAAGGAAGAAGGTAAAGCATTGTGGTTTCAAATGCATATTTGATTCACTTGCTTATTTGTAATGAAGTTAATTTATAGTAGGTTTATAAAATTCTATCAATATGGATTGAGCAGAACTTGGAATTGGAGATAAAAAAACAAAAACAAATTGAAACATTGGCTTGATGATTAATTGACTGCTTTGAGAAATTATTTGAGACAGCTTTACTTTTTCAGAGATTGTGCTTTTCTTGAAAATCACCTATTCAAAGAAAAAACTTTACTGTGAAGGCAGTTCTTTACAAAACTGAACTGGTTGGATGCATGAAAAGAAGAACACATGGAGATTTCAGATTGTTCTATTGTATAAACAAGGACATTTATATTTAACATCTTTTTAATAAATGAAATTACTTTTTATAGCAATGAAGTAATATTCTTTAATGTTGGACTCAAAGTGGACCAATGGATCGTTTCGTTATTAAGTTTTTGTCAAAATTTTTCTTCCTATCATTATGAAAAAAAATCTTTTTTCTCTTCAATCACTAGACAAATTGCTTTAAAATTTTTAGTGGTTAGAGATTGTATTTTTTCCAGAAGGCTATACCGTACTATTTGTTGTTATTTGTTTGATATTTTAACTAAAATGCGGTGTAATCTTTAATTAGGGGAACTCATTTTCATGCCATCGTGATGACTGTCTTCCACAATTGTATGACATTGTGACGATACTGTAACAGATTGCATACTTGTACAACAGCGTTTTTAACTTTGTGTTCTTATATTTGAGCATCGCTCTCTTGTTGTTAATAGTTTTCGAAAATGCTTTAAGTTCTCAGAATACAAGTACCGATAAATAACAAATTCTACTATGCTTCATTTCACTAAGTTTATTTAATATTTCAAGTTACTTATTAAAGTCTGAACTGATACGTATTAGAAATCATATATTAATAAAATTAATATAACAAACTTCCATGTATGTGTGGTGTGGTTGAAAAATAAAATAACAGGGAACAGAGAAAATGAAAAGTTTGTTACCATGATGGCATCATTTTGAACACATCATCTGTTGTATATTTCACATCAGATTGCTTTGGGTTAGCCTAGGTTTTGAAGTATTACCATATTAATATGTAATGTTTGGAGGAGGCCAGTTTATTATTATGTCACCATTGCATGTCTTCAGAACAAATCATTTTTTTGCTGACAAATAATTTTCGGTTTTTAATTACAGAACTGATTTGTATGGTGGTGTTATTTTGTTGTTGTTGCCAGCTTATTTTTTTTTCTTTGTCATTGTTTGGATTTTGAAATTTGTTTCTGCATGATATTTTTTTGTTGATTTGTTTTATTTTGTTTTGATTTAGGTAGATACCATGATATACCTACTTTTCAGTGTGTATATATGGTATCCCAAAAATATGAATGATTGTGTGGTTTGTAAGTTGTAATTCTTGTTCTTTAAAGTTCATGATTGGAAGAAAAAAATGTTCCCGTTATTTTGGACTATTTTGCTGCATAATTATTGTATGAGCTAGCAATGAAGTTTTTTCAATTTGTTTTGATTTTATTTCACTGTATATGTATAGCAGTATGAAAGGCAATATCAACTATGATTTGTATGATGAATTAAAATCCTTTTAAGTAATGATCTTCTGAATTCAAATTATAAAGCATGATTGCTGATGTTTTTATTTTTATTTTCAAGCATGCTGTATATACTAGTTGGTGTGTTTTGTTTGAGCTTAGCTTTTTGTACTTTGGATGAATCAATGAATAATTGCAAAACACTTTGTGGACATGGATTTCAATAGCGGGTGAGTTTTTTTTGTTCAATTTATTACATTTGGATGAAATTGCTATATGTTAATTTTGGCAAGTTTTACTAATTGGCTATGTGTCAACCTAGGAATATGCTGAAATTTTTTTTCTTTGTGGGGGGGGGGGGAATGGCCCCTCAAGGCCACTTGACATATGTATAATGCAGTTTTGCGGCGTTTGCAGTGAGACACAAATTCATACGCCTTTTCCAACACCATATTGCTATATTCTTAATGATTCACTGAAAACCAGACTTTTCCTGACTTACTATCAATAATTGTTTCACCAAATAAACCAAAGTACGTCTATAAAACGATCCTTTATTAAGATTTTTAGATATCAGTGGCTACTTTCTGTGGAGCAAAAGGCACGAGTGAGCGTCATATTACGTCATTATATAAACAAAAAAATTTGGCCCCTCCTAATATTTGGGGCTGACTACGCTTTTGATATCAGTGATCTTGATTCAAAATCAAATTTAAAATAATTTATTTAGATTTATAACCATCTGATGGATGCCTTTTCCCAACAATAATCAAGAAAGCATTTATAGTAAAAAGTCCTATATGAAATTCTTTTGCTTAGCAAGTATAGCAACCCTCTGAATAGGAACCACTGTGCTACACACTTGCTGCATATTACATCAAAGTTTTTTGTACTGTACCCATGCAACAGATTTGCTGGTTTTCAAATTTGGATTGTGGAGTTTGCTTTTACCCAATTTAATTGATGATTTAGCTTAGTATTGTTATGTTACTCGATGATGCTTTGATCTTTGTATAATTTGCATGTTTTTTGGTTTAATCATTGTATTCAAGCTCTTTTGCACGATTTTTTTGGTTGATAGGACTTGATGCTTTTTTTTTTTTGAATGGATCCACACTTGATGCTTTATCTATAATGTGTAAGGGGTCTGCTGTTTGCTAGTTGTTATTGGCTGTGCCAATTCTTGAAGTAAAGTTTGTCAATGATAGCATCTTGGTAAATTGTAATATTTAGTCATGAAAAAGAAAGATGTCGGGATAGCTCAGTCAAATGCAAACACTGCCTTCCATCTGCTTATGAACTCTTACATTTGCACAGTTCTTCTCAGTACAAAAATCACTTAATTCAGGCCAATCTTTAGTGCCAAAGCTCAAAGTATCTCCTAGTTAAAGACAAGATAAAAAAAAAAACATGCCAGTAGCTGTCACTACAGAGTTGACAAAATATCTTTGTAACTTGACCATACTGATTGAATTTTGAAAATCGCGCAAACGTTCGCCAAATATGTTTTATGCGTTTTATATAAGTGGGCAAGCTTTTTAAAGAGTTTATTCAGTCTTCTATTTTTGCGCGTAAAAAGTTTAATGCAATTGTTGAGTTATGCCGCGGCATTCGGAGTCTTGTCGGTTTCATTTTTAGGCTTCTGATTTTATTTTTGTTATATTTTTTGTCTTATTTTCGCATTTGCCCTCAATTTTTGTCTATTTACCTGGAAGTGGAAAAGTACTATTTCAAATCCTGCTCATCTGTGATTTTCAACATTAATAAAATGACTCGCGCTCAGGAATCGGAGGAGCGCATACGCGTACTTGAACTTTTTATGTTGCGTGACCGCGACTCGATATTTGGACCGAATATTGTCGCGGATGAGTGAAATAAAACTCGGGTCGTTTACTCTTGGCCTTACTCCAAATAGATTGCGGTTTTCAGATTTCATGCGATTCTAATTTCCGAGTCAAAAAGTACTTCACAAAGCTGAATTAAAGTCACGCCATTTTGACAACTGCCTCCCTCAAGTAAGTGTTTCGTAGTTTTTCGAAAGGCTAAAACAAGGAATTGGATTATTAAAAGAGCTAAATAGAGAGACAAATTTAGCGGAGCATTATAATATATTGCAGGAAATGGGAGAAGTGAATTGGGTTACCTTACAGCAACACGGACCACTCTGATGATGCGAGTCGTTTTGCAACTAATTTTTCTGTTTGAAATCATAAAATCGCTTTGAGAGCTGGCAAAAAAAAATTCATCTTTATTTACCCGAGACAGTTTTTAACACACTGGGGCATGGCACTCTTGGTCTTTACAAGAAAAAGGCTTGCTTGCTGGTTTGCATATATTCTGTAGAAGTGTAGAGCCTATCTTCTTTCGAGTGAAATTTTTTTTCAAGGCCATCTCACTTTTTCTTGGAAATCCTAATAATATTAATCCAAAAACCAGTCTGATTCTGCTTTTGCATTTTTGTCATATCGTATTTCTTCGTGCGGTCGTGGCTGTCATCGCCAAGGTAAATATTTTGTTTGGCGAACGAAAAATGTTTCCAGCTTGAGGAGTGCACATTCAGAATAGGTAAATCGCGCGTTTTCCTACGGTCACATACTCACATCATCAATGGTCTGTCCGCTGCTCAGGATTGGAACTAGATTGCTTTATAGATTTCGGGTTTTGATGTTCCATTACTCGCAGTCTTTGCCAAACCATTGACCCAACTCGGAAATAGACTTTGACTCTGGGAAAATACAATTTTTAGTGACACTATCATCTATTTGATTTCATTACGCGAATTGACCATGGCATTACTCGACCATACTTAACAAAGCATCTTGGGTGTATTTACCGGTATTTTCACTATTACCTTCGTTTGTATTGACATTCTCTAAATTTGTTCTCCCGCTAGTGTTGGATTTTGAAAATTTTAAATCCTAAGTTGGAATTTCGTTTTTCTATGATGTGAAGTCTGATATTTGAATTCGGTAGGACAATGTCCCCGATTTCACTGCCGCATCCGCAATCCATTTTTGGCTTTGTTTTGAAGGTGGCGAGAGCACACACCTGTTTGTCTCGTGAAGACTAGATTGTTTGCAAAAAGTTTGACTGCGTTCGCCGAATTCCATGGAATGGTATGCAATTAGTCTTGATGCCTTGCGCGACAATAAACTTCTCAAAACTTTGCGGTAAAAATCGTGAACTTGGTAAAACATTAGAAGGAAAATATCAATATTTTCAAATAAACGCATTAGTTACATTATTGTACGTAACAAATATTCATGAAATTTTCCAATCAATTTTCGATCCTTTTTTAATAATCAAATCAAATTTCTGATGCGTCTGATTAACCGATTACTGAAAAGCCTTACGTCATGGTTTATAATTATTTATTTTTCCAGTACAGTTTAACCCATTCCTTACGATTTACTGTATTTTGATTGATTGCGAGTTTTTGAGGGTCTGGTTACGGCCCATCAATATTTTGGTCCTTCCTTGCGTGGACCATGTTATTTCGAGCACGTTTAAAAGTAAAACTATATACCGAGATGTATAGTTGTCAGCCCGTCTTTGTATTTTTAAGTTTACCGTGACTGACTCAGCCCCGATCGACTTGTCATCCACATCCGTCTATTCTCGCAAAATTCTTCCAGGTAGCTGACACAAAGCCGCTCTTGTCTTTTAGACGCATTCAACCACATAGTCTGTTTGAGTAGGGAAGTGTGCGATGTGCCATTTTGCCCTAGAATTTTTATTTTTCCGTGGATCGCTTCGAGTTTTTTAAAGATGTGTATATATTAATAATCGAAGAATTATCCGAGAATTAAGAATACAAAAAGCCGACTGACCCAGAATTTCGGGCGGGGTCATATGTATTTTATTGTAGACAAAAGATGATTAAGACATCACGTCATACATTCATACCAAATGTCATCTCTTCGTATACATGGCCTTTTAAATACTTTATTTGAGGCGTTTGATCACAATCTATGCGATTGTGTTGATCTGCCTCGTCCATAAACATGTATTCGATATGGTTTTTCTGAAATACTCTCAGCTTAACTTGACGTCGAATAAAATTTGAAGAAAATAAAAAAAAAATAAATTTTACTATTTGTCATGGTATCTGACCATTTTATATTTTTATTATTTTATCTTTGAAATGAAAGTTTTGAGGTTATTTTTTGTTACGCTATAAACAAGTTGTTGAAATTCTTCATTCCCATCAATATATTTTCAAACTGTTTGTTGGAATCATATTATTCTTTCTCATTAGCACTCGCTGGGTTCGGTATATCGTCAAAACTGGCTGATGATCAGCAAAGAGACATTCTTTCTTCCTTGTGTCATGAGTAAATATATAGGCTTTAGAGCAGGCAAAACAAAACTGATAAATGATGCATCACCTTCATATTCACTCAAATGGGCCTATCTGGTAGTTCGACCCAGTTTTGTTTTGCAATAACAACACGTATGGGTGGTCGTGCCATGAATCTGTTGAACCCCTTGTTAGAACTGCAGTTCTTTGCAATTAACCCCCTACCCCACAACAAAAATGATTGCAATAGATTTTTTTATGAAGGGTCTCCAAAAAATAACGATCATACACGATTATTCTTTGAATCATTTGTATCATGATCAATTTATCAACGGAACTTTTGTGGTCCACCATTATTGTTATGATTATTATTTTCAGGCGTGCATTTTCTTATCATTGCTGAAAGCTTTACCAGTGTCATAGTGTTTGTTTTGCGTACTTCAGTTATGGTTTGTAATTAACGGAATTAGGGGTGAAACTTTAGCCCAGGAATGTTCGATAAGAGCCTTGCTCGCAATTTGAAAATTATGGAAATGATGGGATAGTCTAAGTTAAATTATCACCAAAAGACTAAACTGATGCAATGTCCAGCATTGTTTTAATACAGCAGCGCAGAATATACTAAGGAAAGTCGATACGAATAGCTCTACGACAAGGATTTTAATCTCATTAATTTATTAAGCGAAAGTTATTTTTCTCTCGTTTGAAACTGTATTTATAACTAGATTGGAATTTATTTTTTAGCGGCAATCTTATTGGGCTAAAACTTCCTTATAGCCCGAAGTTCTCAAGACGTCAAATTCTATTCATCGTGCAATTTATTTAACATCATCAACCAATTATGTAGGGACGCTAGTGAAATCGAGTATAATGTCTCCTGCCATTTCATGATGTTGTTGGTGGCCCTACCAAATTCATATGTTTACAAAC